TTTTTAATTACTTATATTAAAAAGTTATTAGATATTTTAATTTGTATACAAATCGTATACAAAATAAAATTCGAATTTTAAATCTTTATAACTTTTTATATAAAATCACTAAAATTCTGAAAATCTGTACCTGATCTGATAACTATATAAAGAATCTATGATTAAAATTTCATTCAATTATATCGAATGAATAAAAAGTTATAAAAATCAAAAATCACTGTTTTTGGTGTGAAAGGGTGGCCCGAAAGGGGGAGTGGCCCGAAAGTAGGGTAGTTGACTTATGTAGCATCAGAGACCTTGGGCGGGCACGAGAAAGTGTATATACATGGTACCTCATGATCATCCTCCTTGGAACATACTGTTAGTATGGATCTATGATGGATGGGATGCTTCTACTCATGTCCTGCATGGACCATGAGTCCATGACCCGGCCTCGATGTTGTGGAATCTAAAGAGTGCTGGCCGGTGTTTTGAGGCTAGGCTCATTTCAATTAGGGTTTTTACTGCAATAGTGCAGAGTGCAGAGTGCAGTCCAGATTTTAAACATGAAATATGTTTGATTTTCGAAAGGGTAGGCTGGGGCTTATACTGCATCGAGGCTAAGGATAATTAAAGATAGTACTGATAGTTCTAGGAAAGTCCCCTGATCTTTTATTCACTTTTGGATGTGGTTTCAGCCTGGTATTAATCATGATTGAATTGATGACATGTCAAATTACGCTCGACGCTTTTTTCATATAATAGAAGCTTTCTAAGAGGGTGAACTGAACCACATGTGCGGTCGTTTGATACGATGGCGCAGTTCATCGGATTGAATCGCACCTTTTTTATATGGATATCGACATCACTTGAGGATATAATATCCAGTCTCTCTGTGAATTCTATGACTCTATGACCCAATAAAAGGCTGGCTTGGAGGAAAGAGCCTGAAGGTTCAATTGCTAGAGTTATGAATATACGTACATCTTTTGAATATTGAGTTCTGTAAACTGACCCTTTGACTTTTAAGAACCAAGAGGTAACAACCCAAAAAGTGTTGAACCATTAGCATTCATATTGTCTTTCTATATAACTCTCCAATGTCCATTAAGATCGATGAGATCAGAGCTAAGTATATCTCATAACAAGAGACTATACTATTCTCCTCAACAGAATCCAAGGTCCCCGGCCCACTCATCAACCCCAAAGAAGAAACCTACTTAGCTACCACGCCATACCAACCTAATCCATCTACTCGAGTATACCAAGTAAACTCCACCCCTTCGCTTATTCTCCCCGCTCACCCACCCATAATTTTACATCAATAAGTATACTAAAAAATGCTCATTTTCCATCAAACAAACCAACAAAACCAGCCCGGCTAGCTCAATCGGTAGAGCGTGTGACTCTTAATCACAAGGTTGGGGGTTCGATCCCCCCGTTGGGCTCAATTGTTTCTTATACAGACTTTCTTTTTTGGCTTTTTGTTATATTGTATATATTTTTGGATTAGATAGGTATTTTGACAATTTCGATGATCTTTGGAGTTTTGGAAGGGGGCGGGAGGAACATGAGGGGTCAAAAGAATTTGAGATTTATTTTTTGCCTTTGGCTAACTCGGATGAAGATCTATGCGCGTGCATCCATCAGGATTAGGCCCCGCTAATTGTGGGTGGGAAGGGGGGCTCCTGAAGGGTCGGTTGTTGTGGATATTCAATCATAGTACTATACAATTTATTTTAATGTTTTGAATTTGTTAGAATCGAAGTTTGTGATAAATGGTACATACATACAGTACATTAAGAAATCTGCCAGCTTAAATCAATCTTGTTCAAGAATTCAAATAGAAGCATTATTCGTCTGATTTAATATTGAATTCCAGAATTCTAGCATCAATTCACGGACGGGCGGGATATTTTGAAAGGGGTGTGGGTGTGCTTCTAGACAAGACCCCTCTTCTCTCTCCTCTCTTCTCCACCAACTAAAAAAACCCAAAGAAAAACTTTCTTCTACTTTTCTCCACTCCATACTCGATGCCCTCTTTCTCTCTCTCTCTACTTTCCCCTTCATATCCATATCCCATCTCCAATCCATATCCATCTCCCCTCCCTCTCCTCTCTCTAACCCCCCACCTAGTAGTACCTACCCCAAAACCCCCCGAAATAACAACCAGTAATTTTTAATTACCATCTATCTATCTATCTATCTATCCGCCCCTTCAATTTTCAGAGAACCCTTAAAACTCAAAAACCCAGATCCACCCACCACCATCCATCCAATAAAGATATTCATTCATACCCATCCAAACAAAGATGAAGCCCAACGGGGGGGTCGAACCCCCAACCTTGTGATTAAGAGTCACACGCTCTACCGATTGAGCTAGCCGGGCTGGTGCTATTTTATGTTGGTAGACAGTTGTTTGATCCTATATTGAAAGGGAGATCTAGGGGGGAGGGGGACGGTGGATTATCTACCTAGGATGAGGGTCTAGGATGGGAGGGGTAATCCATTGAGCATCTAGAGAGACTAGCATCATGCTTGTCGATATTCGAACCGGGATCAAGAGGTCTCTTGTCATGTAAATTCCATCAATGCTACAACTACAGTATCCCTCAAAACTCAGAACGGATACTAGATGAGTGTCGTACGTTGCTTTAAAAACTTGGTACCTCTCACCACCCCCGAGCCGATTGGACCGAAAGCACTATCCTAGTAGGTAGTTTTGATGTCTGCTTTTATTAATTATATAGGTGGTTATGCTTTGCTATATGAAGAGGAGGGGGGTATAATTTTCGAAAAACAAAAACTCAAAAGACTAGTCGCTGAGGGATGATTGAATATGCAGGTAGGATGTCCCAGCCAAGATATTCCAACTCAAATTCGCTCCGTTCGCTGGAAGCCTATCCTCATAACGCCAACCAAGGGGGTATTACCCAAAGGAAATCCAGTAAGCCTGTCACTAATTCGTCATCTCGTTTCCAGAGATGTTATGCATCTTGTATGCAACCAACGCAAATGCTGTGTGAGGGCCGGTATTATATACAACCACATTATGACTCTCGAGTTCTCATTACTTCGTGCCCGATTCAAGTACCCATGCATGAACAACGTGACCTTCCACCCACCCTTGTGCTGGCAATGAAGCGTTGTCTTTAAGGAGTTTGCCCATATAATTGATTTTGACATGTTTGGGCGGAGAGATCTGGTTGACTATGTTAGCTTTATTTCGAAGAGAGCTTTGGAAGATACAAACCTCGAGCTTCTCCGTGATGGTTTTGACAAGTGATCGTACCAAATCGTTCTTCCCAACCTTGAACACTACATCTCCATTGAAACCATATTGGAACCTCGCTTTTACGGCTATCATCTCTTTCGCCTTGGCTTTCCCTTTCGTTTCCCTCATCCTTGAAACCTCCTCACCCACTCCTTCAATCTCCTCTGCCAGGTCTCCTTCGTCATCACTCTTCCCTGTCGCTTGCGCCATAGCATCATCCAAAATATTCGCTGGATCAGATACAATATGTTCAGGTACCGAATAATGTGCACCTGAACTATCATAACATCCCCCAATCGCCATATCCCCATCCGGTAGCGTCACTTCCGCCGCATTCAAAATTGTTTGTGCAGTCCCCAGCCCTCCATCACCTTCCCCGATTTCCCCCCCTTTCCACATAACTTCCAATGAAGCTCTTATAGCTTGCCATATTTCAGGTCTTCCCGTAACGCGAGTATCGAAGTATTCTGTTCGTGCTCGATCCAACTCTCGCCGTGTCCATATTCTGCTTCCACTCATCCATACGTGAGTCCGAAGAGGTTTGTTTATATGTTCATTGAGAGGGACACGGTGGTGGTGGTGATGGTGTCTGGGAGGAGGAGGGTTGCTGGTAGTGGATGCATTGGTTGACGGCCTAACTGGTCCTGATCGTGATTGAGGTTGTGAGGAGGTTGCGATTGCTTGAGAAGAGGAAGCATCAGCTCCTGCGGAGTATTCAGTGATGCGGGGTCGAGAGAAACAGCAACCCTGGGAGAATCATGTCAGTTGTTCAACATGTTGAAAGATTTGTTTGAATGAATTGTAGAGGAGAAACATACCATAGCGCATAATATGCCAATGAAGTCACAACGTGCACGCACGTACTATTAGATTAACTCTGTAGAATTGTGTATGTAAGTAATGTAGAATAAGGTGAATAAAAAGTTTCGAGGTAATTTCCAAAAAGTTGGAATACAATGAGGTCGCCACAGCCTAATAGTTCATGTAATAGAAGTTATCACCAATGTGTATATGAACGAATGCTGATTGATACGGGTAATAGAAATAGAGAAAGTCTGGGTTATTCCATAATTGAGTACTACAAAATTTGTGGATTGCTGCATATACTGTAATAATTAATTTTGGTACTTGCGTGAGGTCGTTGGGTTGGAAAGTATAGTACAGTACAAGCACATGCACAAGTACAAGCAAGCACAATTGGAAGGGGAAGGTTTGAACTTTGTTAGATGGATCTGAAGTTGAAGGTTAGAGGAAGGATCCATGAGTCCGTGCACATCAGAAAGCTTATAATCGTAAAATTTAAAAATTACTCAAGCTGGATCTTTATTATATCTCATCTTATTCATCTCGTCATCTCCTTATCATCGGATACAAATGGGAGGTGTATTTATATGTCTATATCTAAGACTCTATTAATGGATCATGCAAAGCCGTTGGATATATCTCAAGCCACTGTTCTGACTACAACAACATCAACTTGTGTGCAGTAGAAATAGTGCTTTCAACCCCTTCCCTTCTCCAAATTGCATGCATGCAGAGATATCACACTTCTGTCACAACAGGACTGGCCAGTATTCTCAAAAGAATCCCCACTTCTATTTTGGTCCTTCTAGGTATGGTAGTACTCGAATAAGAGTTGCCGTATGCAAGAATTGGTGTTCAAGTCTTTTCTTTAATTTCAACCACTAAATGGATCGAAAAGGGTTTATGATATGCCGGCACTTTCTGTATTCTGAGTGAAGGTTGAAAGCTTTCTGATTATTTGCCATCCTTACCTAATATGTCAACTAACCCATAATAGTCTAGACCCATCTGGACTACCATACCCCACATATAATTTATCATCCTTTCCTTTCCTCTCAGTAATCCATGTGATGAATTGACTTCTTTGTAAGAAAATCTTCCCTCGTCACCTACATCCAACACCACAACCACAACCACAACCAATTCCAACCACCATAAACAAACTCAAACCTCCCACTCACCAAATCCCACCCCATCAAAATGGACGACGCCTACCAAGTACCCACCTCTGTCCCTGCGACAAACCCTACACAAGCCCCCAACCCATATGGCGCATCGGGAGTCTTGGGCGATGGACCTGCGATTAAATATTTGTGCGGCGATTGCAATGCGAGTGTTATGTTGAAGAGAGGTGATCCGATTAGATGCAAGGAATGCGGTCATCGAGTCTTGTACAAGGAGAGGACTTCGAGGTATGTGGATTGCTATGTAGACGGTGGTGTGGGTTAGGTTGAGTGGAAGAGAGACTGATTTTGGTGATAGAATGGTCCAATTCGAGGCAAGATGATTGGAGTCAGTGTGCGGAGTAAATGCACGATTTGAGAGGAAGAATTTTACGGGCTAGGAAACGTGAGAATAGAGAGTTGTGGGAGGGGATTGGAAAATGGTTGATGCGATTTTGATGGAGTGGTAATGGGTGGTTACGGTACGAGTCATATCTCGAGGCGCATGGGAATGAACAAATTGTCACTACTCGATGGCCGGCGTATCTTCTATAGAGGGTTAGGACAACCATATTGTGTACATTGAATTACAATTTTTTCTACCCAAAGCTATATTTTGGTATCAATATGCGCCGTGAATGCTAATGTTAAATCCCCAAAACCCAAAACTCCTTTGTCATAATAGCCAGCTTTTCCTCCACATGCTCATTGCGTGTTGTTCATCTGACTTGCTCTGATGTATCGAGTGAAGCTGTGATCGTCGGCATTAGTTGGACCTCCTCCATCTGCTAGAGCTGCCTTATATCTTGAACTTAACCCTTCAACATTGTCCCCACCACCCTCATCATTTTCACCACCTGATAACTCGTCCTCAGAGTCCTCCATATCACTTAGAGTATCCATATCGGTGGAGGGCCTGGCATTTGGTGGACCCTTAGCCTTGGAAGATGAAGGTTCTCCCGAAACGGACATATCCTTCATCAATTTGCCTAGCTCTTTCTCTCGATGTTCTTCCTTCTCGTCATCCCTTTGTTTTCTACGTCGTTCCAATTCTGGCTTGTAATCTCTTTCGAACTCCTCCGCTTTTTCTGACACAGCCTCAAAGAAATCATCGATACCAGCACCAGTCATCGAGCTGACACCTACCACACTCAAATGGCTATAGAACTCCTCTAACATCAAACTCATGCTATTGAGTAATGACCCCATGTATCCACTGCCGCCACCTGATCCACCAGCACCTCCTTCTAGACCACCGAAGCTTCCTGCCTCCTCCTCTTCTCTGAGAGCAGCCTGGAAAGACTCAAAGTCCGTCATCCATTCCTTGGCGAATTCGGCATCCTTAACATCTGTCTTGTTGAAAACCAGAATCATTGGTAATTTTGTCTTATATAAAATACTGCAAGCATACAGCATATTACTCATGAAAGTACTCGTAGAAGAGGTTCTCGGTGTATCAATAATGTATGCGATGACTGTTGGAAAACTCGACGCGAAAGAATCCAATAAAATGCTTCCTGAAGCGCTCCAAACGAAAACCTCAATTTGACCTGGCGTATCGACCAAAATATGTTTGATAGGAGTCGCATCTGGCTTCTCAGGGTCGGGAGTAGTGCGCCTTTCGAGAACATTCAATATCTGATCTATCTTTGTGGCAAAGAGATTGAGGGATGTGAGGATTCCTCCGTTTGGACCGAGGTTGTAACTTTTCATCACTTCTTGATAGTTGACCGAGTCGCGGATATCGATGTTACTATCAAACGGAACATTTCGTACTGCGGGATCGAGATTGATAACGTATGGAGGTTCTTTCTTGCCATGTAGATGCGAATTAATTCGTTGCATGAAGGTAGTTTTGCCAGAACCTGTTGAATGAGAATTAACGGTCGCAATCATCAGATATAACATTAGGAAACTTACCGGCCATGCCGACACATACAATAGACACGGGCTTAGCAGCCTGTGGCTCCTTAGAATCTGCCATGTCGTAGATATTGTAGATTATCGGTAGAAAAGCTCGAGTTGTATGTATAAGTACGAGATGTAAATAGAAGACTTTGGCGGGGGTGCGAAGTGGGATGGCTTTCAAATAAATTTCCTACCGTAGCCTAGCATTTAGCTTAAAGTAGCGCTCCCGTAATATATGTAATGCTTCGCTACCGGCACAATACTGGGGCGACCATCATTAAAAACATCAAATCGCATTCACGTCAATAAACTTTGCAATAATGGATGGTTTGGATGAATTCGAGAAGAGTTTGGCAGTGGAAAAGGCAGAGAGGGAAAGGAGTTCGCGCAAAGATAAGGATCGAAAACAACGACATAATCATAGGTCACGGCACCACAGGTCTAGGGAGGACGATGACGAAGATAGAGATGATCACCGACATAAACGATCGAGGCATTCCAGACACGACGAAGAAGATGATGATAGAAGAAAGCGCAATCATGAGAAGTCATCGGATCCCAAGGAAGATTTACCAATTCCGGATGAAGAGGAAGTAGAAGCTCGACCGAAAGTTTCTCGCGATTCTTGGATGACGGACCCTGCAGCTTTCGAATTCGATTATACACAGAAAGGATCTAAGAAGTCTACAGAGCCTAAAGTTGCACCTAGACCAGATTATGATTTAAAGATCCATAAAAACGAACTCAATCATCATCTACAAGATCTAAATGAAGGGGCCAAAAGGCTGGACGATATCGAAGCAGATGATGAAGTCGATTACACATTTGGAGATTCAGGAGCCCAATGGCGAATGACCAAGCTAAAGGCAGTACATACTCAGGCTGAACAAAGTGGGAAATCCGTCGACGAAATAGCTATAGCACGATTTGGAGGTCTACGTGAATTTGATGATGCGCGAGAGGAACAAATTGAGCTTGACCGCCGAAGACTCTATGGAGAAGGTTATGTTGGAAAAGAGAAGCCTAGTGGAGAGCTCTTTCAGGAGAGAAAGTCTAATTTGGGTATTAGAAGAGGTTCGATACCACAACATGATGAGCCAGCGGATCTACCACAAGGGGAAATTATGGAAGAAATAAACGCACCCTCTGTTCAGCTCGATGCCACGGCCCTAAATCGATTGAAGGCTCAAATGATGAAAGCAAAGCTCAAGAAATCACCCGACGCTGCGAGACTGGAGGCTGAATACAATGCTGCAGCTTCCGCCGGATCAGTAATTACTTCAGAACCTGGTGTTGTAGTTTTGGGTAAGATGGATAATAGAATGTTGGCGGGGACTCGAGGAGAGGTGAAGTCGATCGAGAACAAGAGGGGACGCGAAAGGGGTCTAGTGGAAGAGAACGAAGATATGACTATCGAAGATATGGTGCGTGAAGAACGACGGACGAAAGGACAAGCAGGTGGTGACAGTATGCGTTCCGCTGAACGCATCGCCAAAGATGCCAAATTTGACACTGACCTCGACTACATGGACGATAACGCAAAGCAGCTTGCGAAACGCGTACAAAAGTCCGAAGTCAACTTGAGGAATACAGCAATAGGAGATTTCCAAAAAATGAATCGCATCCTGGACTCCTGCCAATTGTGTCATCATGAAGACAAAAACCAACCTCCCGTTGCGCCGCTAGTATCTCTGGCTACACGAGTCTATCTAACGCTCCCGACAGAGCCGGAACTGAGTGATGGTGGAGCCGTCATTGTACCCATTCAGCACCGGACAAACCTCCTCGAATGCGACGATGATGAGTGGGAGGAGATTAGGAATTTCATGAAATGTCTAACACGCATGTATCATGATCAAGGACGAGATGTAGTATTTTACGAAAATGCCGCAACACCACACCGAAAGATGCACGCAGCCATGCAGGCGGTACCACTGCCCTATAGCCTAGGGGAAACCGCTCCAGCATTCTTTAAAGAAGCCATCCTATCTTCGGATGAAGAGTGGTCACAACATAAGAAGCTCATCGACACGGCAGCACGCGCGCGAGACGGTCTTGGGAAACTAGCCTTTCGCCGATCGATCGCTAAGGAAATGCCCTATTTCCACGCTTGGTTTGACCTAGATGGTGGCTTGGGACATGTAGTAGAAGACGCCAATCGTTGGCCCAAGGGAGATCTTTTTGCGAGAGAAATTATCGGCGGCATGTTGGATATTGAGCCTGATGTTGTTAAACGACAGGGCCGGTGGATTCAAGGGAGGGATAAAAGATTGGAGGGCTTTAGGAATCGCTGGAAGAAATTTGACTGGACTAGGGTGCTTACGAATGAGTGAGCGAGTGGGCGTGCATGAAATTGAACATACTACATACTCGCAAACCTACCTATCATATCATATTGTATCATACCCTACGAGGCATACCATACCATATCATAATCCTAATTGTACTATCTATTTGAACTACTCGTACAGTACTACCAAATGCACAAAATACGTACATACATACATACAAAATACAACAATCAGATCCCCATCAGGTCGCACAGTGTCGGATCGGGTTATCTCTCCAAATCATAATCATATTCCTGGATCCCCGGCCCGCCATCCGGTTCCCACTCCTTTTGGCTCGTCTGTTTCTGTATGTGGATAACATGACAGGAAAGTATATACAGTACTGAGTACAAGTAAAACATGTTACACAAAATAAAGCACTTGTATGTATATACATATATACGCATTGTATCTCCTAACCCTATATCGTATTGCTTTCGGGCATCGAAATTTTCATTGGATAGATAGATAGAAGCTAGCTAATCCGGAAGAAAATTATTGGCTAGAACACACATTATATATACATATAAATCCAAGACGAGTCTAGTCTAGTCTAATCTAGTGTATCAAATTCTTCAAATCATGGATAGGATAGGATATGATAGCATACCTACCTAGGTAGGCAAATAGAACTCGGTTTGGATCGGTCGGCGTTATTGTGTATAGAGTACTTACTGTACATTAGACATGAACACAAGATTGCCTTGCCTGTATCCCCTTGGTGTATATCGATTTCGAGCCTGAAACAAGAAAAACGTTTTGGTGCGGGGGGAAATTGTATGGATGGATGGATGGATGGATGGGGTTGATTCTGGGTTGATTCTGGGTTTGATTCTGATTCTGATGACGGGATTATGTTACGATTTACGATTTACTAGCTAGCTATAGGTATGTATGTACGCTATGCTACACATACACGCGATATCGGTGCATGTACAGTACAGTACTGGATAGGTATACATATACATACATATACACACATATACATAGATATGATATGTATAGAGATTATAGATGATTTATGGAAGAGAGTAAGTAGCACGAGCAAGGGGTCGATCTCACAAGAACGATGCAGATCGCCTGCCACCATGGATGAATGGCGTGGAAGGATTCTAGAAGATGCATTGCTCCTTGCTCTTGTATATATATGTACCTCCTGATTACGATATGATACGAGTGGAAGTACAACATGTTTTTGACGGTTTTGGTACGCCGTCCCATGTTTTTGGGGGGCGGTCGGAGACATGGTTGTGGTAGGTGTGGTATGGTGTAGATAGGTACAGCATGATTCTTGGGCGATGCTGATGAAGATGGAGGACAGTGTTAAATTCAGGCGAATGGGGATTGGTTTCGGGCTTTCATTCATGATGGCTTTGGGGGTTTGACTTGCAGGAGAAGTATCAAAGTACTGTAGAGTAGTACATGATGGATTCATTCATCTCAATACCTTAGCCGCACTTTGAATCACAGGATTGAATTCTTCACGAGGTATTCTGTTCACTTCAGCCTTTCAATCCCTCCTTCAACGTACATGCATCCTCGGTCACATCCGGTAAAATCAAAGGTAGAACCGAAGCAAGCAAGCAAGCAAGCAAGCCAGCATGAAAACCTTCATGCTTCAATGTAGGCAGGACAGGCAAGTGTAAGTACGTACCCATATAACCCGTTTCGAATATTGCTGAAACGGATTGTGTGAGAATCCTTGTGTCCTCCTTGTTCATGTGAATCAGGTACGTATACTTTTTGGTACACAGCAAAAGCTTGGGTCCGAAATAGCTTGGATCCGAAATAGCTTGGCTCCGAGATAGGATGTCACCAATGGAAATAAAGATCTCATGTACAATCGTTTGATCCCGAATGGTATTTATCCTGTGTGTGTGTACTTTTATGAACCACGAGGCTGAGGGGTTGCGGGAGATGGCATGCATTGATTGTACACTTGTTGTGCGTTAGACCTCCTTTTTTGCTCAAATGCCGGGTACGAGGATCTAAGATTAGAGGTTTAGATAGGAGGGTAATGCGGAGACGAAATTGGAATGGGTCGCGTCTTGGTACTGTCGTCTTTTCTGTTTCTATTCGATCGAAAGACTGCAGGTGATGATTAGCTAGGCAAGTTGTAGAGAATATGAGAATCATCCTGTATTATCCTTTACTGTATGCGCGGTTCTCAGCCGGTCAAGGTGGTTTGTTTCAATGTTGCAGTGGCTTATCCATTCAGGCTATCCAATTGGATGTGGTTGCTACCCCTAGGGAACTGGAGATCCAACCTTCATTCTTGGCCTCATCAACAGTTTGATTAGTGTATATATTCCAACATAATGTCTGAAGATAGATGTCTGACATAACCAAGGTCATAGGGGGTTGCCTGAGTTCACAGAAAACAAATAATCGACACTTGAGCTCAGCATCCTCTCCAATCCCCAGTATCTATTCTCAGAGCCATGTAAGAGTGAGGGGTGAGAGTGAGAGTGCCCTGAATGCAACCATCTTTCACGAGTGGAAAGGTAAGTGGAAAGGATATATTACCCTTTTAGGATACACACCTCCCTCCCCCAGTCAACGTGGAGAGATGATCTTCACGCGTGCTACCTCTTTCGCACCCGTCGGTTTGTAGCGAAGCTCTCAAAAGTCAATATGCATCGAATATTCCATAATTATTCCATCGCTTGTTTTTAGTTCGCTGTAGATGAATTAAACGGTCATCATCTGAGTGAAGGGGGGGTCATTCAAGTGGCTACCTATGTATTCTTCGACAGGGGGACTTGATGTACTGTATTGTGTGTTGTGCATGAAAGAAAAGGCGAGCTGCGTACAACAGTCATTGTCATGTTGGATGAAAGGTAAGATGCGACAGACATTAGATTGATGTTGTATAAAGAAAATAATTGGTAAATTGAGACTTTTGATAATAATGTATTCACTTTTTGGTTTAATGATTCGAGATTGTAAATGAATTTGATAAGGAGAAACAGGCTAGCCTTATTTGGTAGAATATAAACAGGATAGATAATCTAGTGATCATGATAGACTTTTTATAATTATCTGCTCATACTACTCATATTTACCTTGGTAGATAGGTATATTCACCAGATCCATTTCAAAGTCGAGGGAAAGTTGATAATAACTTATAATACTACTACTAGTAACTTAAAGCTATGAATAATTATATAATTATATACAACTAGGAAACTTTAGCTTAATAAATAAAAGAAAAGAAACTTTTCAACTATCTAGTAATTAATGATAGAAAATAGTATATATATATATATACACTTTTAGTCAAAAACAGGAAATGAATTCATTGAATAGTAACTATCAATCTAGTAATATAATATAGTAGATAGCAATAATAAAGCCGAACCCGATTTAAAAGTTGATACCTTGAAATTCTGGCATATAATTTAATTTAACTTAATTCAAGTCAAGGTTCCGGTAACCAAAATAAAAAAACAATTAAGAAATCCATCGAGACATCCATCTTGTATCCGCAGCTTCTTATTCCGACCGATCTACCCTTTTTACCTGACCTTACTCTATCTGACCTCTCTACCCTTACTTACCTTACTTTACCTTATAACAATTTAACTTGACTTAATCCCATTATTGTATTGTATCTGGACCCAGACTCAGACTTAAGCTTTTCAGCCTTTCTAGTCTGTCTAGTACTATATTTATATTAATTTTCAAAAGTTGCCTGGCTCCCTTTCAAAAGCCCAAATTGGATTTCTTTTCTCCACAATCAACAATCACAATCCACAACCCACAACCCAAAACCTTCCACTTTTTCTAAACTCTACCTTCCCTCTCCAAACACTTTGTTACTTTCCCCTCAAAAAAGATTAATAACTCTCTCTCACTCTCTTACCGGTACAGCTCGCTTTCGTCCCGTAAACGAGTTCGCTACTCCTTAGTTATACAGCACAGGAAGCCGAGGGGATATCGAATCAATATATTCCGAATTCCGAACCGATTGTTTTCAAAGGACTTGAATCTTTTCTAATCAATTAAAAGATTCGTTGTGTTCCTTTAATTTGGTTGTTAGATAAGGTTTCGAAAAATATCGAATATTCAATACCACGCGCGACCGTGTCATAATCCTAATATGGCACAGCAACACAATAACAGGAATAGTCCGCATTTAAACCATCTTCAACAAAACGGCTCGGCACCTTCTTCACCTTCAATGTCTGGCTCACAACAAGGTAATCAACAACGACAACCTGTTAATTATCCAAGTCCTACATCATATCCATCACCCTCTTTGTCGACTTCGCAATACAACTATCCACCACCAGGTAATCAAAACGAGCCGTATCGCGCGAGTCCGACCGGAAGCAACGGTTCACTTTCTCTTCCAAGTATGCGTTCTTTGGATCCTCTTCAACAGCAGCAGCAACAGCAGCAGCAAGCCGCGCAACATCAGCACATGGGTTCACCGTTACCACCTCCAGTGGCTCAAATGGGCGGACCGTATTATCAAAATCAACTCCCACATCCATCACACCAGCACCAATATCCAAATGTTACATCTGATCCGAATATGCGATACGCGCTTCCAGCGGATTCTCGAGTCATGAGCGGAGGTCGACATAAAAAGGTATGTAGTACCGTAATAAATCGTCGTTTTCGTTGTTCATCGTGTTCATCGCGTCATTCGAGTATCGTCCCTTGCTAACGTATATATATTTTTTCTATCAGGAGATCAAGCGTAGAACCAAGACGGGTTGTTTGACGTGCAGAAAGCGAAGAATAAAGGTCAGTTCTCGATGTTTTAATTTCGTCGCATTCTCAAAAGAATGGATTGAAGTTGAGGTTGAATTTCTTCGCGATGGGAATCTTTTCGTCTATATGCAAGCGAAATCACCTAAGTAGGCGAAGGCACATGAGCGAGCGAGACGAGCGACCTGATACCCAGACCCACGAGTAGAGCGAGATCATCAATTTTCGCGATTGTTTCCGTTGGCAGATCGATAAAAACCATCGTTGTCGCGATCATCATCGTCATCACTATCCTCTTGAAAATTCTGCTAATCTATTGACCAGTGCGACGAACAACATCCTGCCTGCCGAAATTGTCAAAAGTCCAAGCGTGAATGTTTAGGTTACGATCCCATCTTCAAGCAACAGCCAGGTCCTGCTGCCATACAGCCAGCACCTAGCTCTGCCCCTTCACAAACTTCGTCAATTGCCACGGCAAATCCTTACGGAAACCAACCGCAGATGCTACAGAGTGGTTACGGCGTTCCAGCAACAATGGCATACGATCCTGCTCTTACTGCACCAAGCACTGGTGGTCAACATTATGACTATTCATCTGCTATTGATCCAAATTTGGAAGCATCTGCTCCAATTCCGGTTATCAACCCTTTTCACTCTGCTCCACCAGGTATGCTCAACTTCCGCCTTCACCAAAAATACATGCACAGTCCAATTCCATACCCCTCTAAAATATCCGATGTTACCCACCTCAGAGGTGGTGCTGGTTCCCCCCTTTCCCCTGCAGTTGCATCTTTTGCAGAAGGAGCGGCTGACACGACTTTTCTTCCAGCCAAACGATCCATCAATGATCTTCTAGAATTCGGCAACCCCCCTGCACCAGCTGACAACCCAGCGTCGGATACCATACAGTCCCCAGCGGCACTCGAAGAAGCAAAGCATCTATACTATAGTATTTATGCCCCGGGTCTAGAGAGTTTCCTCGAATCGAAGTGGTTCACTGCCAAAGGTGCTTCCAAACTGATGAGCGACCAGCCACTACTTGAAAAGTTCGGAACACTCCTCCTACAATTCTCGAAGACCATTGTAACCGATCCTGTTGCAATAGCACACACTGCAAGCGTAGAAGCAAAGGTTGTTTGGGCTTTGTCCTGTATGGTCAAACTTGGTGCCGAGGAAGAGGGAGAAGGCAGGTCAGAATCCAGAAATGTGCTTCCTGCTCAGGATGATGCAGTCGAGGCAGATCATCGTTTGACGGTTTTCGAATGTCTTTTGACAGGTAAAGTTGCCGAACGCAATCTGCTCACTGCCCCTGTCCCAGGAAGCGGAGATCACCACAGATTGCGAGAATTGGAATTCTGGTACTCTTTAGCAAACTTTGTTTGCCTCCGAGAAGATGACCCGAATTGTGCCAAGGATGTCGATGACACTCTTGCTACCTTGAGAAATCTCTTGGATGGCCGAGAGAACCGTGATGTCTTGTACTCAGTTGCCATTATACGCGCTATCGGACAACGTGTTTCTGAATATACACCTAGCGACACACCACTCCACTTCGATGAAAGTGATAACCGCAGTAAGCTTCTTGTTGCAAAGAAGTTTATTCAAGATGAGGCAAGTGGTTCAGGAACGACAAATGTTATCAGAAGATTGTGTGAGCTTGCCACACGCACATGGACAACTCCGGCACCTCTTGTACCTATGCCAAAATAATTCGACATATCTTATCTCGGCACAAATCTTTTTCAACGAATTTACTTTCTCTGGCGTCTCAGAAGTATGGGAGTTGTTTGTGCAATCGATATCAAATGCATTAAAAAGTGGATGGAAGGGTTTTTTTTCATTCTCTCTCGTGAAAACTCCAATAGCAGTCTTTTTTTTTTTTTGACAGGCTGAGAAAGCATTTGAAGATTGTGGTATCAAAAACAAAATATCCAACAAGGGTTTGGTGGGAGAGTCTTCAAAAAGATCGGTCCTACAATACAGTATCTGAATGATCGTTTGGTGGTTATCTCCATGCATGCATGTAATCTAAGGAAACAATGGGAAAATCGGGATGGACTTTTCAAGACTGTATTTTCTTTTTTTTCATATAACTTTTTACTTCTCCTACTTCTCTACTTATTTGGCAGTATCTCTCAATAATCAATGGTTTCATTGCAACATGGGCAGGACAAACAATTCAGTAAGCTGAGATTTGGAGGAATTTGATAGTTTGGAGTGGTCACAATCAAGGTTGAGTTCACTAGTGGACTGGACTGGACTGGATCAAACAACAGACATGTAAAGCATGAAAGGGAGGGAATAGTGGAAGGGAGGGAGCAAAGAGCTTCGTTCTGTTTTGTGATGTAGCTGCGATGGCCTTTATGCTACTACAATGCATTTTCTCATTACCCAAATGACAATGTTCAGTGGAATAGATGAGGAATAACCTCTTTTTTTTTCTAGGTAGCTTTCTCTGCTCCTTTATAATGTGTGATTTCTGACTCGGTGATTTCTTCGGTTTTAACTTGTGGTTATGTGAATGACTGGATTGAATTGGGTTGGTGTGTTCTATGTATAAAACTCCAGTGTTTCATGGCAGAAAATGCATTTTGTACATTTTCATACATTTCATCCACACATTCATTCTATCATTGATCTGATCCGATCGGACCAAACTTCAGCAAGTTCTGCTGTGGGTACTTCCCTTTTTCCTTTTGCTTTTCTCTTTTAGCTTTCCCTTTCGAGAGGGTTCCTACCTGCATATGGCATATGGCAAATGGAATATAGCAACACAGTATCATACTCTTGATTGCTCTACCTACCCTTTTATCCTTTCAATCCTTTCATCCTTCCGTTTCATTGTTAATTTGGTTGGATGTTAGTTGGATGTTAGGTAAGGTAGGGAAGGGCCTGGAGTATAATGTATATATATAGCTACTACGGTATATGGTATGTGGCTAGGTAGGTATACAAAGACAGCATATATATATATATATATGAGTGGACAGATGCTTTTTCAGGTCCGATACTTTTTTTCAAGGGGGGTGGGATGGAATGAGATGTGATGTAAGAGGAGGGTTAAGGGGAGTTTGTGGATATGGTTGTGGATATGGTTGTATACTGTATGCTGTCTTTTCAGTGAGTTTGGGGGAAGAGGAGGGAGACGGGGGGAGGAGTTGAGGGGTTGTGTTGCGTTATGGATGTATGTATTGTACCTCTCTCCTCCCCTCTCCCCCTCGTATCCAAGATCCGGATCCAGAATCATCTCACACATGACGAAAATCAGATATCTGTTACTCATACAACTCCAGAAATTGTCAAATTCTCGATTTGTAGGTTGGAGTATGTACAGGTCGGTATGTCCCTATGTATGAAAGGAGATATCAGAAGCCAGAAAGGACGCTCAATCATGGGTGATAATTGGTGATTTTAGGGGAGAGAATGAGGGGGGAGGGGGTGTATATATATACAGTACATATATGTGATACAGATGGTTGAGCTACTGCTATAAAGGTGGCATTGTTGTCACTATTAATACCACTATTTCTACGGAGATATTGTCCTGGGTTTAGAAATATGTATGTATGTATCTATCATGTTCGATTGATCTATGATAAGACAAGAATTGAAGTTAAAGTAAGTAGTAAGCTATGTATATGTATTTATTGTCTTCCTCTATCAAGGAAAATATGTAATTTCATATGGGAGAGCAGTGTCAGGATTTGTTAGTAGGCCTCTTTTGAATACTCGTATATACAGTAACTTGTGCGTTAAATTCTGTGAGTTTGTTTTTATTCTATCTTCATGTTCTATCTCCATCAAAGGACGAATCTACACAATTGTGTGATCAAACCATTAGTACCTTCTCCCGTGGTAAAGAGTAAACAGTAGGAACATGGAACATGCATAATGTGAGAGAGAGAGAGAGAAACCCACCACCCACACCAAAATGACATATCTGTATAAAATCATAAATGGCTATTATATTCTTGCAATCCACATATCATATACCAATTAACACTGACTATCCTTATCCCTAGGCCTAACAATGCAGTAATATCAAAATCTTACCTAGGTAAGATACACCAATTCCAAGCCTATCTTTGAATAACACAAGTTGCGAATAACAAATCAAAATTAAAATCATGATATGATATGATATGAGGCAATGAAACGCACACATAGGAAATCCTAGAGAGTGTAGATAATATGATATGATATGATATATGATTATATACTCGAGTATGAGAAAAGTGATATAAGTTCAGGAGAGTAAATGTAGAATACACGTTACATATACAGTATAGCGAATAATAACTAATTCGAGAATAAAACAAGGACCAAGGCCGTCCTCAACTTCCTTCACATCCTCCATCAGATGGGCTTACAACAGATCACTAAGTTTCAATGCATTGGAAAGCAAAAAGCAAAAGACTAATGATTCACAGCCAGATACATCACACACAAACTCCAGAACAGCACCCAACACCTTCAAAGCACGAATGACTTTGCGAACAAAAGTAGGAGCAGGAGGGAATAGGACGGAGTATGGTGTCGTTAGATGATGTTTGATGAGTGAAGCGTGTTAGCGTTTAAGCATATTATCTTGAAGGATGATGGGTAGGTAGGTAGGTAAGTAGGTATGGCCTATTCATTACTCTGAGTAATTGTAACTATTTGTGCACTAGCAGCAATTACATAAAAGGCAAGGCAGAAACTTCAAACACTTACCGGTACTTAAGTACTTGGAATCGTAGTTGTGAGTGACCAGTTGCTCATTGATTTGACAAAATCCCATGGCGAATGGCCCATCAATGTTATGCTGCTGTATCTTTAACTATATCGAGAAACCTCATGGAGAAGTCCCCATCATTGAATGCAAATGCAAACATATAATCGACATTTCTACTTCTGACAAGCAGGGAGGGACCTGCCAAAGTCTGTGTACACCCAAACTTCTATCAAAATATTGTAGTTACTGACCATGGAATGATAGCTAGTACTTATGTCATGCGGTGTGGGTACTAAAGGTTAGGTAAAAAAGACACTCTAGAACCGTTCACGTGGCAAATCAAAGTCAAAGAAAGGTAGTTTTTAAAAATTCTGCATTGTAATCTATATAACCTTTCCCCTTTCGCTCGCAGTAGAATTCCATCCCAAATTTTCAATGTCTATGCAAGTCAGCTTTAAATCCTGACAATAATGGGAGCAATGTTGAAAACGAGTGACATGAATACTATCTCAGTTCTCCAAGGTGAAATATGTGTTTCGTCAAAGGTTGACTCGGAAAGAACACAGCGAATATTTGGGTTCATCAGAGCAAATGGTGTGGAGAGGAAAAGGAAAAAGGTAACTTACATTTTATAGGATAGCTTTCATCGACAACAATGTCAAGAAGTATGCCTAAATTCGATATGAGTCGTCAGCAAATGCCAACTTTAATCGAATATCATTTTGATAGAATCAAAATGCAAGGAACCACAAGCAAATGTCAGGCTAGAGAGTTGTTAGCATTGGTCTTCCATCTTATAAAAGAGTAGCACTTACCTCATTAAATCAGATTTTATGTTGCGTTCAGTAACGGACTTAGTCCGCTTCAAACAGTGTGAATATTTTTCATCATTTAATGCCATGGTCCTGTGTAACAGTAGGAGGAAAAATTGCAATAATTACCTGAAGAAGGGTACGTTAGCATCAATGTTCTAGTTCAACCAGCATATCAAAATGATCCAAGAGCAATTGAGCATTAGATCAGCTGACGAGTTCTCAACAAGCACTTCCTAACTGTCTACCCCTCACAAGGTTTGTACGCCTTGCTTAATGAAAGATAGGAGCAGGAGTGCGCAGTCTGTCCGCCCGTTCGTTCAAAGTTCGTCATATAATGCGAGGAAATTGATGTTGAGTGGAAGTGTATGTACCTATTGCCAATGTATGGTTAGCTTTGGCACACAAAATTTGTTTCAATAATATATAGTAATGGACGATGGGTCAGACAAGGCTGAAACTTAATGCAAAGATTCGACAGTATAATTCGGATTGAGGAATGCCTTTCCAATGTGTTTATATCATCACCCCCAATGGTGCGCAAAAAATGAAAACGAGAATATGGGAGAAAGTATGAACCTTTTGATTTGAAATTTTGTAGGCGCGGAGCAAGTATAATAACAATTGAAGCTGTCTGAAACGATTGTTAGCTATGTGCTCAACTGTGTCGTATTTGAATTCATGATATAGATCAAGATTGCTCAGATTAAAATACAAATCTCCATTGTGGTGTAAGAGTTGGATTGTTCAATATGTGTTTGTGTTCATCATTGAGGCAATTGAAGCTGACAGGAAGGAAGGGATTGCTTACCAAGTAAAGAAAATCAAGTCATGATGAAAAGAAAAGACCTCATTGAGAAGAGAAGATATTTGTTTTTATGGAAGAATGGTTGCAATTGGAAGAAGAAGCAGAAGAGCAAAACTTTTAAGCTCAAAATCAAAAATTATTTTCGCGCTAATTCATTAGCGTAATCTTTACGTTAGTACAGAATAGAGTTAGCCTCTTAGCCACTCATCGATATTTGGTGTGGCTGAGCAGTGGCGATAAACATCCCCGATAAGATCCATCTCGACTTCAAGGTACGAATCCGTTTACAACAATTAAAAAGTGTTGATAAATCTATCATACAGTATTCATTATGGCGTCGTCCGGAGGTATCTGGGCTCCTATAGCCATGAGGATGCTAAAGTAAGTCACTATTACAATCGAACTTCCTTCATGGGAAACTTCCATTTCCTCGTTTTGGTCTAGGCAATATGCATAGTATTCTAATATACATCTGTCACAGAAACGTAGTTCAACGAACTACAAAACTCATCAAATTACGCATCAAAGATGTTACCACTAAACCTGTCACAGCAGAACTCCAACCAATTCTTGTGAGAAGCTCACCCCGTCATCCAATCCATCCAGCGGCCCTCCTCCGTCAAAACAAGGGACGATGGTACACTACCCAAAGTGCTGTCAATGCCGCTGTGCGTCGTTATATGAGCACCAGCGGACAAGCCATTAAACATGATCGTGCTTCATTCCCAAAATCAAACACCGCAAGCGTTGTATCCCGTCTCACAACCAGAGCTCCGTTTGCCTCAACTCTCCGACCAAATTTAACTGGTGGAGCTCTCCCAAGAACAGCGGGAGGTTATGGTTTAGGAGGTGGAAGAGCAAGCGCTCGATACTTTTCCCATTCACCTGCTGCTCCAGCACAAGTGGTTAATAACGTCTCACAAGCTGTCCGAGCATTCTTTCTCTCCGGCCAAAAAGCTCAATTCGATGGTATGACTCCTATGGGCGAGAAACGCTACAGAGCCGTCTCTTCTCTCCAAGAAGAAACATCTCGAAAGATTCATTCCGTCTCGAAATTCTCTCCAGGCTCTTACATCGATTTCCCCGTCAATCCCACCGTCACGGCTCTCTCCCCTCTCGCTGGCGCTCTTCCATTCGGTGCCCAAATGTCCCAAACCTCTCCCTCTTTGAACACATCCGGCTTCCTCGACATTCTCTCCGTTGACTTCTCCCGCGCTTTAAAAGACCTCGCAGTAACAATGAACGATCTCAAAAAACTGTCCTCTCTCGGCGATCTCCCTATAACCCTCGAAAACAAATACATCCTGCGTGTCCGTTTCCCCGGTTGCGATGCCGAATCCGTAGAGCGCCTCTGCGATGAAGTCGGCGTACAGCGGGGAATCATACACCAGGATGCCGATTTCGATGCTGCTGTGGGAACACATATGGCTCTCCTATTCCCTTTCGCTTCTACTACTACTGAAGAAGAATCGCCCTCGCGCCTTTTGTCTCCTGGTTTACAAACTAGTTCGCCTTCCCCTAATCAAGATGAATACGAAGATATTCTACAAGAATTCTCAGAAAACCCATGGATAGAAGGTTATGAAACTATGGAAGAAGATGTCAGCGAAAGCGGTTCAGCATACTTTACGAAGATCAGCGGACATCCATCTACATCTGAGGAATATGAGGGTCTAGAGGGAATACACAAGTTCCTTGAAGAATGTGATGCGAGGAGGTCATAGAGTTGGAACTCTACTGACTTGCTGGTGGCTTATCTGTCTACTTTTATTTGTCAATTTGGGCCATGGGTTTTTGCAGATGCTTCTTTGGGCGTGAGTTAAGCGAAGATGAATGATGATACACTCACTCTCCCAGCATGGGATTTAGGATTTAGGATTTAGGATTTATTTTTATTTTTATACCATTCAGGTACATAGCAGGAATTGAAAACACCAATTCGAAATAAGACTATACCGCTATGCTAATGAAATACCATTTCTGCTCTTTATGTGCTAGCAGCTAGTATGCAAGATGAATTGATTGCAATCATAGTAAGCTAAAAACCAATGCGATGAAATGCAATCAAGGGGTATTTCCTTATGTATGAACCAATTTTGATCTTACTTCCGCGGCAATTTACCAATTTCTTTTGCATGTACTCCATGCCAGCTAACATTTTTCCAACCGCACTGCCGCTTCATCCCATCTCACTTCCACCCAATTTCCATCCATAATCGTAAACTTTAGCCGCTCATAGCTCTCAAGTGACGCGTTTTAAGCAGCAGTAACAGATTCCTCGACCAACGAGACACTCTCAATGGGAAGTGTCAATAGCTCACCACTGACCCAGAATGCAGCCGCCTCGATGATGTGGCATACAACCTGTAGCTCATCCTTGTTCCTTGGTGCATAGATCAAGCAGAATTGTTCGGGCACAACTCTTGGTGATAGCCACGTCGAGAGAGATTTTGGAAGGTACGAGAGGACATTGGAGATGGTTCTCGGAGTAGAGGCACCAGCCATTGGATGTCTTTCGCCCCACCCTTTTTCCAAAATTACCTTGGCGTCGCTCGGGTGTAGGTTCATGTGGAAGCTATTGTCGCTATGATGCACGTGGCAAATTTCTCCCTGGCAGGTGGTGTTGATAGGGTCGAGGGAGAAGAGAGCAAGTCCTTTTTTCTCGAAACAGGAGACTCCTACCTTGAGAATGTCGGGTTGTCTATGGGCGAGATTGTTGAGGCTGATGCGGAGAAGGTTGTACATGGCTCGAGAACCATATTGACTTATTTGTCTTTGGGGAGCAATGCCGGCGACTCGGGGACGTGGACCATTGCGAGTAGAAAGGTGTGGGCGAGCGCGTTGTATGTAACCGATGGTAGGAGATATGTCATCGGAGAGTTTGGGTGGGCTGTAAGGATCAGAAAGAGCGAAGATGCGAAGATAGGTAATTCGGAGGTATCCAAATAGAGTGGAAGGAGTGCCCCCAGGTCCCAGGGATATGAAGTTGTGATAATCGTTATACACGATCCATGGTATTGGTGCGAAGGCGATGATGGTACAGGTCAAGGATGGCTGGAGAAGATTGATGCTGATGATAATTCCTAGGATGGTGAGAACGAGAGCTGGTCCCGTGAGAGTGATTCGAATGATGTCTTGTTGCGTAAGTCCCATTGGTACCTCTAGAGTAACGTCGTGTATAGGATGAGGATGAGGATGAGGATGAGGATGAGGATGAGGATGAGGATGAGGTTCTCGGATCACCGTAGCGGCGGTGAAAGCTGTTGCGGAGCCACTCATAACCTAGAGATGATTAGTAGGTAGGTACATGTCAAGCAAGAGGAAGGGACTGACTGATTGTGAGGCTAGTTTTAGCGTTGCAATGGCGTCTCAATTATGGTAGCTGTTATGCTGTGGGGAAGTAGTACTTGCAAGAGATGAGATCTAACAATCACGTGTGGAACAATTAAAATGAAGGTGATGGAGTGAATGAAGTGAGAGAGATCTTGGTAGGAAATATCCAGAAATGTTAGGATGGGGACGACGATGAAGCAGTTTTTTGATGGCACGCCACAGATAGGAAGGTCTCAGCAATGCACCATAAACTGTTGAACTTTGTATTGAGAACAGATGGAGGAAAGGCCTATATTAAATAGTTTCTTTCTTGCTTGACAGTGAGGTTGAGTTTATAAAAATTGTAATGTATCTGAATGTTTCCTACTCGATTAAAAAAAAGAGATTTGTTGTACTCGAGTATGAATAATAAAAGGTGAAAGGTTTCCTTATTATTCCTTGAATGAATGAATGAGAGTATTCGAGTATAATAAAGAATGGAAAGAAAAGAAAAGAAAAAGGTTGACAACCAAGAGCGAGAAGAGAGTTTAAATATGAATTGATCTTCCACCAAAGGAATGATCTGATTTGACCTGATCTAATTGAAATTTAGGGGTTTGAAAGGATAGGCATGTATTATCAAAAAAAAGGTGCAGGTGCAGCTGAATGTGAACGTGTACAGGAGGTAGGTAGGGTTGGTAGTTGGGTAGTGGCTTCTAATAAGAAGAGCTGACGTTGAAAGGGGAATTCGTTGTTAGGGGCCCACATTGTCTTGGGAACTTCCAAATATACGAGATCACTCACCGTACCTGTTCAATACAAACCGTATTTAGATTAGATACTTGCCTCCTTCATGTGATGGAGATAGGAAGTTGCAACTGCCATTTGTGCAATTAGTAGATTAGTTAATGAAGTTATTAGAGAAAGTGATTGCTGTTGTTGCTGCAGGTTGTACATCAAAATATTGTTTATCACGAGCTTGTGACAGGACACAGACTTGATTTCATTGGTATCAGTTGACGTATAAAACAATGGTTTTCCTTACTTAAAAATGAATGAATGCACTCTCTGAATGGCTGCATCCAAAAGTGCGCATTGAGAAACATTCGCCAAACAATCGCCACAGCTTACCCCTCAAGGCGTCTCTCGCTCTTCAAAAGTTGCTGAATCGTACATATACTGTAGTGTCATGTAGAATTGATGCCGTTAATCTTTTGGCTTTGTGGTCTGAGTCTTTCTGAAAAAGCCGTTTCATGAATCGAATGCACCCCGGATATTTGTAAGCTCTTAGAGTAGTATCTTGGGGTTATCAATGTCCGCAAGTACTCTTTTTGGTAGATGAGCTATGCAAATCGCAAGATATGAATTCGCTTATGCACGGCTTGCATGAGTCGGCGTTGTCTTCGTCAGGAACAATGAAGGCTTGGTGTTTCTGTAGCCAGTTGGAAGTAATGGAAGTAACGGAAGTAACGGAGCCATCTTCCCGGTTCTACTGTACTTATTTTTACCGCTGTATGTCGGTATCGTTGTTGATATAGAAGGGAAATCAGAACCAGAGATAGCTAGTTGGCAAAATCTTTCTGCATGTTGTAGCATCTTCTCTCATGAACCAAAAAGAGCTATACATTTGGAAACAAAGTGTCACATACGGAGGTAGGTCTTTGATTGATGGGTCGATGATTTATTTAGGTTTTCGAAAAGTACCTAGGGGAAGAAGTTGAAGAATAGGGGTAGCGAGTAGGACCTTTTATGCAGCTTTTCCGATCTCGATTCATCAATTGACTCAGATGTGAGAGGCTTCTACGCTTCTACTCCTTATAACCTCTCTTCTAGTAGATATGCGGAGTAGGCGTCTAATCGATTGAAAGACGATCGAGGCAGGCTCGACATCCAAATGAAAACATCCCGAAGTTATTGCTACCGGCTTCTATGCCCACCCAGTCTGATCGTCAATTTACGGCAAGCAGATCGAATGTATCGGCTCTCTCGCTATTACCTAGCATTATTCAGTCAAAATTCGCTCCGAAAATTGATAGTTCCAGATCTTTGGACCACCAAGGTCGACGGATCAAAGTCAGATGTTCTATTACAATTTCACCTGATACATCAATCATGTTAAGGCCGACTATTTCAATTTGTAGCTGGACAGCAAATACGGCAGAAAGCAGATCAATATTAATGTACGGCCCTGACTACAAATGTTTAAAAACCAGTTACCTCCGTACGTTCGAGTTCTCGAATTCTACAGAAAGAATTATATGGAGCACAAGAGAGTTTCCTGTCACAGGAAACCAGTACAACTGTTGGATGCTGTGGGATGCTGTGGGATGCTGTGGGAACTTAGGCTCAATTGAAGTTGGCGTAGTACATTGTGTGTGTATACCTCCTAAAACTCTCACACCTATTCACCTCACTGTTCGAAGATTGAATTGTTTAGAGTGATGTTTAGGTTTGTATTCTTGAGACGGATCGTCAATTCATCATTAATTGTGAGAGAATAGATTGAGAGAAACTCATCAAGTGAGATCATCCCAATGCGCTACTCACTCAAAGTTAGCTAAATGCAAGGCTGAGGTTAAGAATAAGGCTATGAGATGTGATTATTGGTTGAAATCGTCGGATATTTATATTTATATTTAGGTTACATCAGGTTACACCAGGGTTGCCGGTACAACGAATTGAACATCATTACCTATTCATCTCCTATATCAGGGATCTCTACTCCGTGTAAGGCGGGACTCGAGCTTCCTTTGGTCCTGGTTCATGTTCTAAATTCCACAATACACAAATACATAATATCGTCAAATCCGATAATCAACGTCACTGAACTTTAAATATCTCTCTCCTCTTCTATCTTCTTCAATTCCTGAAAATCCATCTCATCCTATAACAATCAACTGCATGAGTTGATCTTCAATGCGTACAGTAAGTAAATATAAGTACTTCTAGCAAGCTTGTAATGAACACTGATCAATTATGTTATTCATTAGACAAGAAATCTGCTCTCGCGATAACGATTTAGACACATTCTACTAGATCTCCTCAATTGTACATATTGGCCAGAGCCACAATGGTGGGCTTTAATTCCTTCAACCCTCTCAAGGCAACCAAACGACATACTCAATATTCAGGCATACCTGCTCAAGAAGAACCGTCCCGAGACCATGATAGCGAGAAGCAGGGACAACATGAAGATTCAGACGAAGAAGATACGGACTATTCCTCCTACCCATCATCACCTTCCTCTTCGAGAGATACATCGAATTCATATCATTCTAATGCTCCGATACTGCGGAAAAGGGCAAATACAGCTACGCAACGACCAGCTCCTCGAAGATTACCTGCTAGAGTTATGAGATATCTATGTTTAGCGATGATATCGACCGTTGTCATATTTATGCTGAGTTTGGTGCGGATGAGCCATTTATCGACACAAAAAGTTCAAGGCGGTCATGTATTAGTACCACCACTTCCGCTTTGGGAAACGTTCCCATTCTTATCGCGATATTACGGTGGAATAAGGACATTGGTCCCGCTTTCCCAGAACAAACCGGAGTATCCTCGAGAGGAGGATGAATTGCCTCTGCAGAATGAGACCTCAATTGAGGAGACAGCTACACCTGCGCGTAGTCTTCCGGCCAGTATAACATTCCAGGCATATACTAACAATATCTCTGGGGTATTCAATGACGATTATGCGCCCGTCCAAGAGTGTTTCCTCGATCGCGAGAACACTGTGCGTGCACCACGGCTACAGTATTACGAAGGCAGACCAAGCGGGTTCCCGGATCATATTATGGGGTCGTATGAAGTTCTCGGTTTACCAGAAGACATCTGTTTCGAACGATATGGCAGATTGGGACCTTACGGTTATGGATATGGTTTGAGATACGGTGGAACTGGGACGGGCCAACATGGAGAGATGGAAGGTTCTGATGCTGTTTGGGCAGATAACTCAAACGCAGAGCAGATGCATTCTGGCCAGGTTGACTACAGAAAGGTTGATTGGGCCGATGCTCAGAGTAGATGTCATCAAGGCAATGCTGCACGCTTCCAACCAATTGAACCGGTCATCAAAAAGCCCACTACGTTTTCGACCGTTTACGAACAGAAAGATAGCCGCCTACTAACAAGGGATGAACAGGTCGAATCCGTTCCCAATGCCAATTCAAGTGCAGTTGATACCACCTCCAACGTAGTTGCAACACCACCCAAGAAATATCTTCCACGAACTGCATTCGTCATTCGACTCTGGGACGAATATATGTGGCGGGAGGAGGATATTATGGCGCTGAGAGCATTGATATCCGAAATTTCCATTGGTTCAGGTGGTCAATACGACGTCCATCTCTTGGTTCAAGTCAAGGACCCTGCTGTGCATCCCGTCTTCGCTGATGAAGATACATATCAACAGCATTTGAAAGATTGCCTGCCTGAAGAATTTGTTGGAATTGCGACATTCTGGAGTGAAACTCAAATGCTTATGCTCTACCAAGGCTTGTTCGACACCTTCATTCGTGGTCTACCGGTTCATGGATCTTATCGGGGGCTTCAGATGGCAATGCAATGGTTTGCTCACAACCATCAGGAGTATGACTTCTTCTGGGAATGGGAGGCTGATATTCGATATACTGGACATTGGTATCACTTCCTGTCGAAAATTAATTCCTGGACAAAGGAACAGCCCCGCAAAGGCCTGTGGGAGCGTAGCAGTAGATTCTATGTCCCAGAGGTTCATGGTACATGGGAGGACTTCAAACAAATGGTTCGTGTACAAACCGAGATTGGGACTGAAAGCCCGAACAATATGTGGATGGGCATTAATGGCCAGAAAGGCGGACCAGTGCGCAAAGGCGAGAAGCCAATCTGGGGACCTGAACGTCCTTCAAATTCGGATGACTGGTTCGAGACGGAGAACGACCCCGTTCCTCCTACTAGCTACGACAAGGACAAGTACACGTGGGGTGTGGGTGAGGATGCTGATCTTATTGTGTTTAATCCACTTTTTGATCCGGATGGAACTACCTGGATTCTCGCAGAAGATGTCACAGGCTACAACCTTACCGGAGGTCTACCACCTCGCCGGGCGACTATCATTGCAGCATCGAGAATGTCACGCAAACTACTAAATACTATGCATCGTGAAACCACATTTATGAAGCATCATGCTTTTACGGAAATGTGGGCTCCAACGACGGCACTACATCATGGCTACAAAGCAGTCTCTGTTCCTCACCCGTTGTTCGTTGATCGTGAATGGCCAACCGAATATCTCGCAAGTATCATGAACGGTGGAAGAAACGGTGCCACTGGTGGAGCGCGAACCTCGGTATTCGGCGACCGAGAGCACAATCTCCGCGGATTGACCTGGTTCTATAACACTGGCTTCGCACCCAATCTATGGAGAAGATGGCTCGGCTTCAAGGTTGACAATGAAGGAGGCGAAGAATTCGAAATAACTGTCAATGAAGGTAGAAATGGGCAACATGTCAATGACATGAGAGGCGGAGAAGGCCGAATGTGCTTACCACCCATGTTATTACATCCCGTGAAAGGTGTAGACATACCCGTTGAAGGATTATCCCGTCTCAACGAGGAAGAGCTGCCGGAAAGTGATCCGACGGCTTAATTTGAACATACTGTAACACAGATGAGTATAGAAACTTAATAATGCTCTGTGGTGTTTTGTTGAGTAACTTAGAAATGGTTTTCAATTTTATATCTCCTTTTTCTACGATTAATTGCTTGGGACAAGGGCATTACCGGTAGGCGTGGCGTTTGAGTGGCATGAGTATGGTATGGTTTAATGAATAAGAAGGATTGCATTGCCAATTTATTATTTGTTGATGAGGGGGCACTGAGATCTGTTGTGTTATGAGAAAGATATGGAACGGAAGCGAGAAATGCCTGTTGAATCAATCAGGATACCTATGATTGGGTGATCAGTGGAGTGGTGGTCGGGATTGAAGTGAATAGGGGAGTCAGTATATATACTTGGTAGAGTAGAACACTTAAATGAATATAAATCGACCTTTTCCCATGCACACCATACCGCACTCGAGATCGAAAATTGACACATACTATCTCATTCATTTTGATATTCATCTGATATCCATCCTCTACCAAGAATACCTACAGAATAAATTAATCCCATAAAAACAACTAGCCCACCCTACCTACCCCACAAATCCCCTTCGCTTACTGCAAAACTACCCACTTTACACCAACTTAAGTATATATTACCACACAAACCCAAAGCTTCCATCAAACACTATGATAAAAAGCTCACCAAGCCAGCCCGGCTAGCTCAATCGGTAGAGCGTGTGACTCTTAATCACAAGGTTGGGGGTTCGATCCCCCCGTTGGGCTTATTTCATTTTTTATCTTTTTGGCTTTTTCTTGGGTTCTTATTTGAAGTTGTGATTGGGGTTTCTGTTTTTTTGGGAGGGGAGGGAGATGGATGGGCTCTGTATTTTGATTTTGTGGGGCATTTAGTGAATCTTAGGCTGTGGATTATTATATTATTAATAGCCTGGCTTTTTTGTCGACCAGATGAGATGAGATCAGATCTATTCTAATCTAATATTTCCAATTGTCTGAATTTGACTGTAACTTAGTAAAGTCTTAAATAGAGATTGTGTATTTTTACATATCATCATCTTTGTAAGAAGGCTGATCTTGAATGATTTTTCAAAATTATGAATATCTATTAACTCTGATTCCACAGGGAAATGTATCGTTTGTGATATGATATGTACGTATATGTATGCATCAAGCATGTGTGTGTGTATATGTAAGAATCATGGGTCCCTCCTTTCCTCTTATTTTCACTCGTCGCCATAATATCACATCTCACTCTTTCATATGTGTCCCTCCCTTCTTGAAATGGTCCCAATTCCATTCTCAATCTCAGAGAAAAATAACCCCTACATTCGAATAAAATACCCTCTCCAGAATAAATCGCCCGTCCTTGTTCATGAACAAGAAGATCGAATGACTTCAGGATCTAGTCTCAAGCAGCCGCAGCCCCATGATCAATCTTCTTCCCCTTAACACTCTTCCACTCCACAAAACACGCGCAAATAGTCGCGATACCACCAACCGCAATTGCCAGAACAAATGCGTCATCCAAAGATTTACAATATGCTAGCAATACGCCCACCAAATCAGCAGGACTAATAACGTCTCGAAGATGCGTAGCGCCAGCCTGGTAGACAACGGCGGGGTTAACATCTGGTGCGTATTGAGGCATATATTTGACGAGGCCGTTATTAAACACATTTTGCGCAATGGATATAGAGATGGCTCCGCCGAGGGAATTAAAGAAGATAGCAATAGCATTTCCACTGGGCATATCTTTTGCGCTGAGAACGACTTGTACGGCGATAAAAGGGATTTGTATGCCCATACCGGCGCCAAATCCGCAGATCAATTGATAGCCTACCCATTTACCGGCGTTGGAATCTACCTGAAGCGTGTAGATGAGTCCAGCACCAATTGTAAAGACTGCGCCAGCGGCAATCATGAAAGGTTTGTAGAAGCCAAGGACGGTGATTCCAGCACCCGCGAAGATGGATGATACGATGACTGAACCGAGGTATGGAATCGTACGAATGCCGGAAGCTTCTGCCGAGGTTCCCTTGACGGCTTGAAAGTAGAAGGGGAGGTAAAATATGTGCGTGTACAAGCCCATAGAAATGAAGCAAGAGAACAGACAGCAACTTAGAACAGTTCGTTGGCCTAAAATTCTGGGAGGAATGGTGGCACGATCACCGCGGCGAAATTGCTGGGCGATGAATATTATGATTAGGAGAGCGAATCCGAGTATACAGCCCCAAACTTTTGAATCGCGCCAAGGATATGTCGATCCACCCCATTGTAAAGCTAACAATAAGCAGATGATGGCTCCCATGAGAAACGAAGCCCCTATGAGATCGATTTCCATAAGTCTCTGCTTAACAGTCATGCCGGATATCTTTCTCGGAGGAGGTTTGAAGAATGCTGCTACTGCTCCAATAGAAATTGCACCGACTAGAAGAGCTGGATGTTAGCAGTCATCCAGCCTAGAAAGCTTTTAGTTGCAACTGAGGAACTCCAGCCTTATCATAAAGTGAAGGGGGCACGCGGCTCCTTTGAGCCGAGACCGTGTGTGGAAATAGGGATCAGGAAGTGAGACATCGAAAAACCGAATACACTTACAAGGAAGATTGATCCAGAAGCACCTACGAGATTAGGGAGTCAGTAATTAACTACCAAAGAAGGGTTGGGCAAAATGGGGTATCGAAGCTGTATGAGAAAGTGGGGTGTATACAAAAGCTAAAACACGGAATAGGTGCGTGGGGGTCAGAGGGGTGTGAAACCAGAAGATCAATTATGCTTACCATCGCCATGAGGCCTTATCAGTCAAAGCGCCACCCAGGAGGGGGCCAACGACACTGGAAATACCGAACATCGATGATAACAGAGCAATATATAATGGTCGCTTAATCAAAGGCACTGTGAAACCAACCTAGTCGGAAGTTAGTCGAGGTAAATTTTCCTGTAAGAAAGATAGACACTGGAATCTGGAACCCGAAACCACGACTTAAAACTAAAGCCAACTTACTATTGTCATGCCGCCAGAAAATAGGGCTGAAGCTCCAGCACCTGCAACCGCTCTTCCCACTATAAGCATGACTGAATTTCTCGCTGCGGCACAGATAATAGATCCAATTTCGAAGAGGACAAGAGCAGAGAGATAGGTCCACTTGACGTCGAAGTAGGTGTATATACGTCCAAATAATGGTTGAAGGGCAGTTGTTGTCAGCAAGTAGGAGGATCCATACCATCCGACATCGTCTAGAGAGTTGAAGACTGAGGTAATTTTGGGAATAGCCGTGGCGATGACTAGGGAGTGTTAGTATGATACTTTGGGTAATCGTACTCAGTGAAGCTGATGAATGAATAGGATATGTCAACAAGGTTGGTGAAATGATAGAGTAGATTGGTCTTTCGAGACATCAACTGAATGTCCAAGTAGAATGATATATTCACCAGTGCAAAATTGTCGATAACCTGTATGCTGAATAGTCCTATCAAATGTAAACACTTACTAGTATTATCCAATGCCACAGTAAATGTAGCCATGCAAAGACCAAAAGACAAAAGTACCAGTGGTACACCAGAAATATAATGGCTCTGATCATCATCTTCGCCACTTGATTCTTCCGGACCTCCAACAATTCCGCCATTTCCAATTATTGGGGGGGCTGTTCCCGCAGAAGCATTCTTGGCAACAATATGAGTGCCTTTCTCGGTATCCAAACGCTCATGTTGATTGTCTACTGGAGGTTCAACTGAATGACGTTTGAACGACGTAGCGGCCGCATCTGCCTTTTCTGCGTCCTCATATACCGGTACTACGTCGACACCACTAAGAGTAGATTCTACTTCAGGTGTTGGAGATGAAGGACGAGACGTTGATTTATGCTCGCTTTGCTTATTTGAGTGGTCCGTAGTTTCCAGTGTTGGCGCACTGCCACTGCCACTGGTAGGCTGAGCGGGTTGTTCCGTCTGTTTGTCCGAAGTATCCGACATGATTGGGGATGTGGATCCTACAAGTCGGTTTTACCCCAGAAACGGTTCGTAAACTTTATTCGACCGTTGATTTTATTGTGGATACTGTCTAGATGCTTGATTTGATATGTATTAGTTTACAGTTATTGCAGAAAAGCTTCCAAATTGATACTGAAATGATGGTGAAGAATCAGAGGGGCTTACAAGTATCGAGTCAATGAGGTATGAAGAAAGAAGGTAAGAAGGTATTGAAGGCATGAAGGTATGAAGGAAAACCTGGCCAGCCGCATCCTCAAGCACTTTAATCAAGTAAATACCATCTACATCCCTTCCTTGCAAATGGATTTAATCTCTGGCCAGGATTCTCCACCGGCTCATTCGTTTTCCGAGAAAAGAACAAGTCTTTTGGGATGAGAGTTATGGAAATTGACAGGGTCGGTTATAAACAACCAATAAACAACCAATATTTTGTTTGTTGGAACGAAACCCCAAGCCATTCTCGACCATCCCCTTGCGGTGCGGGGCATACACATTCTGGCTATCACAACCGAACCTCAAGGGGTCTCAGTTTCAACGGGACAGGCTCTTCTTACCAAGAAATCTTTGGATAAACTTTCTTCTGGAATAGAATTTCGAACGCATGGCACTGATACAAGACGTTGGTATATGGAGACGACATTGTACTTTGTTCCTTTGTACGATGGAATATTTCTGTACTGAAACCCATACACAGAAACGCTGCTGAAGCATTACTCAATTGCTTGGCATTATATGTGTTATACACATGGGGAAAAGGGCGGCGTGCGTAGGTAGGTAGTACAAAAGAACAAATCCGAATACGATCCTGCGTCGACATTTGCACGAACATACTATGCACAAAATAGCGTTTGCAATTCAGCAGGTAGGGCTTTAATATGGAACTTTGGATGAACATTAGTTGACATTCCGTGAGATCTAGTAATAGACCATCCGATACTACTGATGTGTGATATCCTTCGTAGAAACGTTCCCATTTCTCGCTTTGCGCGATGCCATGATATGAATGAAGAATTGTCGAAAATCAGAAAAGGGGTATGCTGCCCCAGTGCCTCAAAATAATGCGTATGAAATACAAGCCCCAGTCGGGGATTCGAATCGAATAATGTTAGTAAATCACTTTTCCAATATTCCAATATCACGCTCCATTGATTGTAAAAGTTGCGCCGAACCAGTTGAACAACATATGCTTGTTTTGTTTCGTATGCTTAAACAACGCGTTTGACCTACGCAAGTCAATCAGCTACCGGCTCAAAACGCCGAAGCGTTCGGTACTGTGATTTTTTACCTCGAAGAATCGTTTCAACCACCAGACCTGGAAGATACCTTCGGCCGCCAGAACTCCCATCTGGAAGATACTCCACCACTTAACTCTGCCGTTTGTGCTCTCCGCTGTATTTCGATGGATTCTCTCGCGCACAACAATGTATGATTGTTCGTCTTTCACTTGAGCAAGAAGTTCAGACAATTGTCGCACTATCATCGATTGTAAGCTTTAAACAAATATCCAAAAGTACAGAATGGTCTAGCTACCTTCTGCCTCTAAAGGATCCGATGGAGCTTCTGCCTCTGGTACATAGACAATGCCGTGAACATTGAAAGATACATCTTTGCTAGATGCCGACCAATGCTCATTGCTGAAACAGTATAGATACTTGCCATCGTGGTTGGCAGTAAATGAATGATCTCCGTTGGATACAGCTCTCTCATGTGTCTCATATCCGTTGGCGGGGTTTTGGATCTAAATTCAAATTTCAATCAGTACTACACCTTTCCCAGAAGTACGCCAATGTGTGCGAATATGACTACAGCCTTACTCACCCAGAAATCAATATCCAAATTGCCAGCACTGCCAAACTCCCTATCTCCAACTTGGAATGTAACCGTCATTTTATCATCTTTGTGAAGTTGTTCGTGAAAGCACTCTCTGCCATGAGCTGCAAGTTGAATGTTATGAGCAACAGCAGCTCCGAGGAGACTGCTAACTGTCAAAAAGACTGCTGGAGTTGAGAATCGCATTTTGAATTGTGTGGATAACACAAGGCGTATAATAAGTCGGGGTTTGGGAATGGAATTTCGTATGGATATGATGTTCGTAATTCACTAAATCTTGTTGTATAGTTTGACTGTTTGACTGTTGTACGATGTAGTTGATTCACAATCGAAGTCGCAGATATTTTGATTGTTCGTATTCTCTCCCCTTATTCAAAGAATCGATAATTCATAGATCGATATCACAAGCTCTCGATTATTATTATTGCCAGATTGTCGAAAGGAAACAGCCTTAAAAATCCGGATCAATATCTCATTTACTCATTTGGGACTGTGATAGGCTAGAGTAATCACTTTAGCGTCAAAATTCCGAAAGAACAGAGAATCACAGCCCGCTGTCCTTCTCACCACACCTTCCCAAGCACACCCCCATCTTTTTGTCAATCCAAAAACATCTCGCTAATAACTTCAATTTCATCTCCACTTGATCATTGTATTGATCATAGTATTAAGGGAAATTGTAAGTATAATACTGTCCTTTGCATTTATATCTTCATCAATCTGGATAGCCTTCCTGGTAGCCCCTTGAAAGTGTGGCAAGTCTTCTTCAACGGACGGTGCAACGGTGCAGCGCGTGCCCATTCACCGATACGATCCAAAGAACTTCCAGAAAGATACCCAAAACCCAGGTGTCCTTTGTCCAGAACGGCAGCCTATTCAGAATCAGAATCTCTATTCGCTATTCGATCAAGGATCTCACACCGACATGTGGCTCCACCAAGGAACTGTCCTTTTAAATTAATGATCATATAAACAACTTGCATCTATTGCGCAGTCGCTAATCTCTGTGCTTTCCGATTAGTATCATATTCCAAGCAAATACCAAATCCACATCCACCCCCTATACACAATCTTTAAATCGCAATCATGGGTTTGACATTCTCGAAATTATTTGACCGTCTCTGGGGAAAGAAGGAGATGAGAATCTTGATGGTCGGTTTGGATGCTGCTGGTAAAACTACAATTCTGTATAAGCTAAAGCTTGGTGAAATTGTCACCACTATTCCAACCATCGGTATGTACCCTTTCATAGATTCTGTTATCATCAGCAGACTGCGAGCTTGTCACTAACTTCATTCTTCTAGGTTTCAATGTCGAGACTGTCGAGTACAAGAATATTCAATTTACCGTGTGGGATGTTGGTGGACAAGACAAGATCAGACCTCTGTGGAGACATTACTTCCAAAACACCCAAGGTATCATTTTCGTTGTAGACAGCAACGATCGTGATCGTGTGGTTGAGGCTCGTGAGGAACTGCAGAGAATGTTGAACGAGGATGAGCTTAGAGATGCTATTCTTTTGGTCTTTGCCAACAAACAAGATTTGCCAGTCAGTATATTGGGACTCGACATTTGGACACGATGACTAATCCGAGATTATAGAATGCCATGAACGCTGCAGAAATTACAGATAAATTGGGCCTCCACAGTTTGAGACAACGCGCTTGGGTATGTGCAATGGCCACATGCAATGTGATTTCCGCTAACATTTTTATAGTACATTCAATCTACTTGCGCTACATCTGGAGATGGTCTTTACGAGGGATTGGAATGGCTCGCAACGACACTCCGCAAGACTGGTCACAACTAAGTACAACATCAATTTTCAACCTCTATACCACGATTGTGTCTGCAAGATACTACAAAACCAATCGAAACGTTCATATCTCCACCGCTACTCCAAATTGGTCATTGGTGCATCTCTCAAACTTATTCTTGTGTCTTCAGCGGTCCACATCAATGAGAGGCGCAAGGGTGGTGACTGTATGATGATTTGAGCTCTTACGTCTTCTCATGGCTATGGATCTCTTTTTAGCTATGATTCCGCGGGGCTTCCCCTTTGTTTTTTGCGTGCGTTTTTCGGGTGCCATCCATCTTCTACATTCTGGTTCTGGCCATCTCTTGTGTGCAGCATGGTATACAAAAAGCAGAAGTTAGATGGAGGATCATGATAGTCTAGTCCGGAATTGATCTCAAATTAGAAAATAATTTTTTTGATAATACTTTGACGTTAACGAGTACCCTTGCACACAAGATGGCGAACTTCATTAATGTGCCCTATTTGATATATGAAACCTTGAGTAGAATTATAAGTTATGAAAATTAGTCAAAACTCCATGGCAAGTGCTTAGGGTCAAAGATTATGTAGGAGTTAAGTTGGAAACTTGGATTGCGTGTTTGGTTATCTGAGGGTCGGTCGGTGTTCAGGCGGGTGTCAAAGTACGAGTACATGCCACCAAAATAACACGAGTCGCTGGGTGAGGTGGGGTTCGGGGTGTGGTACATGACTCGAGATGAGACTAAGCTTTAATTACCTAGGTATGATCTGGGGTGCTATATCGTGGGTGAGTATCTTCAACTGACTGGGCTGAGATATTTGTGTTGCTTCTTGCGGGGCTGTTGTTGAATTATTACAGTACTTGTTTGATTACTGCTTGGGGTTGGGGTTGGGTTTGGGGTTGGAGAAATAGGTGAGATTGGAGGTGGTATTGGGGGTGCTGGTGCTGGTGCTGGTGCTGGTATCGGTCCGTATTGGGGGCTCTCCTCTTTAGAGTTATTGCCATTGTCGTGGTCCATGAGTGGGTGGGCTTCGTGGATGTTGTTACTTTGTCCTTGATACTATACTCGAGTACTCGAGTACTCGAGTACTGAGTAGATAAATCTACCTAGGTACTGTACATCATGACTTCCTCTCTGCAAAGCTAAGCAAATTAGTTCTGTAGTATGTTATATCTTCCTTTGGATTCGCACTGATATATCCATATATTCTGAGATTTCTGGGATCTGTGGATGTTTGCGGGTGTGGTTTTATTTCATTCTTTGTTATGTTGTCATTGAGTTAGTTGTTGGGGATGCATATGATGGTTTGTGAGATACTATATACCGGTATATGGAGTCTGGATAATATGGCTAAAAATCGAAATTGAAAGGATAGTGCAGATCTGTGTTTAACATCTAATATGTTCGAGATTCTAAAAGTGGTTGGGTTGAAGTTCTGTCTTGTTTGAGGAGGGGAAGATTCGCTAAGGAGGCTACAATAGTATCTTTATCTTTCGTCTGGTATCAATTTATCAATGGAGAGGCGAGGAGAAGGTAGAGGAAAAGAGAAGAAGAGAAAAGAACACCAGAGAAGAAATCAAGGACTCAACTCATGTCTTCTTTTACTTAGGTCATCTATAAATTTCCATCGAGGGCAGGCCCGAATTGTGGCGTGGTGAAATGCTTGGTTTGGTATATGAGTAGTAGGTAGGTGGGAAGATTGTACTCGAGTATTCTTGTACTGTGTGTTTTGAAAATAAGTTATAACAGTATGTAAATATAATATTTCTAGAAGAAAGAGCGGTAGCAGGAGTAAGTAAGAGAAGAGCGGGATATACTTATCATATCTGCTGTGACTATGTAACTGTATATAAAGGGGTTCCTAGTCCTAGAAAGAAATACTCGAGTATGAAAATATAATTATATACATACTCGAGTACTGTACATCATAATATTATTGGTAAATATCCATCCATCCATCCATCCCATTCAAATTCCAACGAGCTCCTCACAAACCAACTGAAGTCTTTGCAATAGCACACATTTTGCACATACATACATACCAATCAGCTTATTAACCTACCTACCTATTATTCCACTTTGCAAATTGCAAATTGCACATTGCACATTACACGCTGACAACTAGGGAATTCCCTATGAATACTCATCCATACATACTGTATTCACTCACTCACTCACTCACTTGTCTCAACGTTCACTTGTCTCAACGTTCACTTGTCTCAACGTTCACTTCACTTTACTTCCCTTTCCAGTCTTCCCTTTACTTCATATATAATATATATATATATATATATTACCAAGCCAGTACATCTCATCCTCATCCTCATCCTCATCCTCATCCTCATCCTCATCCCGAATCATCACACACAATGCGTCCATCTATCACTTCACTTTATAAGTTAGCCGAACAAACAATCTTATTAATGGATCATAATCATCACCCGCATCCTTTGACCCACCAAAAGAAAGACCACCAAAAGCTAACATTAATGCATTCTCATCCCTGATCTGTCTTTCTCTCAATTTTGCAGTACGTGTGTGATACTCCTGTTCGTACAATGTCTGCCAGTGTCGTGGATCTGATCCCTTGTCTGAGACATCCAACTTCATGTCTGTATCCGCCCTAGCAGCCCTCTCAGCATTGGCAAACTTCCTCGCATCCTCATTCTTGCGACGTGCGATTAAGAATGCCATGTGCTGTTCTCCTGATCCTTCCTTTGACTTTCTCTTTTTGGGTTTTTGAACAGAACCTCCTGATGTATTGTTGGCTTGAGTGTTGACACCACCATTCTTCTTCTTCTTTTTCTTTGACTTGGTGTTTGGTACGCTGGGATCGGCTTGACTTTCTTTTGTTTCCTTAGGCTGCTTCCTGAGGAGGCTCTTGAGGGTCGATTGGTATTCTTCAAGACGAAGCATGTGCGAAGTTCTCGGTCCACTTGAAACTTTTGGTTCAATTGATGTTCCATTTGCGTCTTTTGCGGCCTTATTAATAGCTTTATCAGTGGCGGACTGGAGGGCTCGAATCGTTGGTTGTAGCATACGTGCCAGGTCAGCTTGTTGCTGAATTTCACCCGTGTTGATAGACTGCTGTGGCTTTGGCTTTATAGAACGTTTCGAAATGTTTGTGATATCGCCCATGGGATAGTCGAGTCCTGACATGGCAGTATCATCGGTCGCATTATTATTACCTAGCTCGCACGTCAGAATATAATAAGATTTTCAGCCTTCGAAATTCTCACCAGTAGAAACTTAGAGGGTCTGTACATTGATCTTGATAGAGGCCGTTTGCGCTCTGTTGTTGTTCAAGTCACGATTTGTGTACTCTGCGTGTACCTGAACAGAACTGCCTTCCATGCTTTGAACTGGGGATAGATATTTCGGGAATTGATTCTCAAAGATATCCATGTTTAATTTAATACTCAAGTAGCTACGCTTAGTGATTGATAACTCGTGGGTTTGTATTCTTGATGTAGGAGCAAAAAATAGAAAGGGCTGTTTGCTGTTTGTGTCTCTTTAAAATAGCTCGCTTAGGTAAAGAACGGCAGCTAAAACTTCCGCCGTGATTCATTTTCAAAGTGTTGGAGAAGTAATAAGGTAATAAGGCTTCCGGGTCTCGAATGAGGATTAGTAAGTATATCCAGGCACATTGAAGATGGATGTTACATTTTGATATTCACAAATAGGTATTTCCGATATCCCTTGAGATAATGATAGAGAGATCGATTAAAGAAAGTTTAAACTGAAACAGTCTATTGCTGCTTCGAAGTCTGAATAGTAATTAGACAGGGATGGGAAGCCGTTCATGGTTCCTTCCGGGTTTAGATGATAACCTCCCGTTCATAATAAGTCATCTAATCGGTAGGTAGTCTTACTACAAAAACAACTCATTACTGCTTCTAAGGTTTCAAATTGACTTGTTGTATACTGTGAGACAGACGAGAGCCCGATCATTATTTCTCTGCGAGTGGATTAGTTAACTTGTTCATGTCCTTCCTTATCTTAATAATGATTTAGTTAAATAATCCGTTGCTCGCTCATGAGCAGCCATGATATTTGATTTATTATTGCGTACATTACAATCTAGTACCTCGATGTTATTAATAATAAAGCATGCATCAGTTGGTGTAAACTTTTCTGAGCAAAGTGTGATATATAATTAAAGAGAGAATATTAGATGAAGTGAAGTCATACTCTACGCTAGTTCACTAGCGTCTATTGTCGATCTAATCTAATCTAATCTGATCTTATCTTATCTCAACCTCAACCCCCGCAAACGCAAAAAATGATTCCTTCACATCACAACTTCAAGGCTTCATCCCCTCCATCTATCTCCCCATCTTCACCACATCGTCGCAACAACTAATTACACTCACCTTCGTACATCACCCCAAATCAAATTCTCTCCCACACGAAATCACCCATCTGCCATCCTTGTGCAAACCGTAACCTCTCAAAAATGAAACTCCTTACCCTCAACTTCCTCACCTGCGCCGTGAAAGCCTGCAAATCGACCAACACAAGCTTTCCTCTCCACCCCAAAGAATGCTCGCTTGTCAGTAACGATATACCTATAAACACCGCTTTACTGTTAAACATTCTGCCGAGGATCGATTGGAATGCGATGTGTATTATTGCTTCTGAGGTGCGTTTTCTATCTACTATCTTTCCCTTCTCTTAAACCCCTGGAAGATAAATGTGAAGCTACAGAATACTGACGCCAACTCAGCTCTCATTTCCCGCCCTCCCGCTAACACCTCCGACACCTGAGGCACTTCAAGAAGACGAGAAAATGATGAAAGAACTCCACACACTCCTCATGGAGACCGAAATCGATGAAGGAAGCTTGGTCTGTGGGAATTGTGGACATGAGTATCGGGTTAAGGAAGGCATTGCAAATTTCTTATTACCAGGACATCTGGTTTAATTTAAAGGACGGGCATGGGGATTGGTACTATTGCTGTATGGAGGGTAGCGGGGTGTTGGAGGAGACGGAGGCAAAGTTATGGACTGGCTTGTGGCAAGCTCTAAGACACGGGGGAGGAAGACGTTGGGCACGCTAGACAATTAGTGGTGCCCTGCGAAGTTGTGGAGAGGAATTAGAATGATACCCTGTAGCTGTCATGATGATGAAGAAGAAGCGATGGAATCAGGCGTTAAAAATTGTTCTGGAAAATAGAAATAGACATATCACACCCGCCCCATTGTCTAGCAAAGATATAGACATCAGATGATCTAATTTGAAGGTGTTTCTCTGAACTCATCTCAATCATCTGAGATGTCCGATCACTCTAGGCTAGCGACACCAAACAAAACCCGTCTTTTGGCTTCTCCAGTGAGCACATTAAAGACTACCGTATTATTTGTTTCAAATAAATGCAAGGCTATTCTCACAAGCACCTTAATGGATTTTGCATACCAATCTTACTTTCTTTTCTACTCGAGTATATTATTAACTAATATACCTTTCCTCTGAAAAAAGAATTCGCTTCTCTTTCCTTCCCTTTGAATCCTCCCAAGATGTCCCAGTCCCAATCCCATTCCTATTCCCTTCATTATTAGCCTTCCTTCCATCTTCAATCTAATCTACTCACTCATCATCCAACATCATGATTATTATTATTTACCGTACCCATCACCCGAGCTCGGGCTGAAATACTCATAGATCAGATTAATATCCTGATACATATCGATGTATCTTTATCATAGATAGAGTAGCATTATACAATACAATATCTCCATAAAATTCATTCTATACTATCTACTCGAATATACTATACTAGCTAGAAGTATCTCGAGTCACGGCATGGTATATAAAAATGAAGTATATAAATATCTTCAAGTTATTACAATAATAATCAATATACATCACATACTTTCCTCCGTCCTCCTTTTTTCTTCCTCCTAGACCGAGTCAAACTTCCTCCAATTACCGTACCACAAGTTTTTCATTTAGAATCAATATTACCCAGCAGCCTTCCCCCAGATCCTCCCCCCAATCCCAAATTATAACCCCCTCAGACCCGTAACTTAGAGTAAAGTACTTCCCTCCACTCCCTATACATAATCTCACCAAAAGGACCCAGATAAAACTTTGATTGTATAAAACTATCACTTTGCGATATAACCATAATCATAACTAACTCCAACTCAAATATTAATACTCAGTATCAGGATAGGTATCCAATAATCCGATGAGAGACATTCCAACGTCCGAGACCCATATCCCCATTCCTATTCCTAATACCATCCCTATACTCATTCCCATGCTTAGCGCAATCTCAGCCCAAGAATCCTACAGATTAGATATCCCTATCCCTGTTTCTATCTCTATTCTACTTGCATATTCCGTTTACAAATCCCCTCTTCCCCAACTCAAGAACTGGAATGTACTCCGATTCTTCCTCCTATTCCTACTCCTCCTAGTAGTTAAGTTCTCTGTGTATACATTTCTTTCCTTTTCTGTTTCCTCTCCTCCTTCCTGTCTGTCCTCTTCTTACATTTCCATAATACTATACACACACACCACACACAAAACGAACCCAATCACAACTCCACAAGCATATCACCGACCAAAAACTCTAAATCAAATCAAATCAAATCAAATATAGATTCAAAAATGTGAATTCAGAATCTCTCAACATGGAAAACTATCTATCTTCGCATACCCTTGGACATCGACAATCAATGCCTAATAAGTTGACCTTTCAACTTACCAGCGATGCGAAGTGCACATTGTCTCTGCCTCTGCCTCTGCCTCTTTTCTCCCAAGGAGCAGAAAATTTTTAATCTTACAACAAATACATCGATGCCAATCCTAGCTTTATCTAGCATCTCGCATCTCGCATCTCGTCTTCCGTCGCGTGTTCTCATCCTCTCGTTCTTATTGCTATCGTACCAGTCATTCCGCCATGACTTACAAAGGAAGGAAAATGTTCATCATCTTCCATTGGGTGAAAATCAAAATGAAGAAAAACCAGCATCAACGCCCTAATGACTCGGTTGTGTTGAAAAAAGAGTACAAAGTTTTTTAATTATCCCCCAACCTTCCCAACCCCCCGCCCCCCCCCCCCCATGATTGATTGTATGCGTCTGTGAAACGATGAAAGCACAGATGAATGACTCCCAAAATGATCAAATCGAGCCAATTTATTTTATAATCACAAACCCCGGCTTTCAAATGCCGATGTTGAAAATGTATGAGTAAGGAACGTAAAAGAAAAGATTAGTTGAGAAATCCTTTACACGCCGGTGTACCACAGAGACATGGAATACGATCTGTACTACCAATTTCACGCTCGAATTTATAATCGTAGGTGAGTTCCTCGTCTAGAATATGTGATTAGCAGACGTCCTCGAAAGAATTGGGATTGAACTATACTTACTCTGTGCGATGTCACGCAGCGCATAAATGACAATTCTCTTGCTCTTCTCCACCGTGATGATCTTTGCAGTGCAGTTAGGCATACAACTGTGATTGATGAATCTTGCGATACCACCTTTCTTAGTGGCATCAATGACTGTATTTTCGTCGATCCTGAACAGATAACTACTTCCGATACCGCTCTTGAGATATCTGTTCTCTCGGAGATCTGCAACTTGCTGTCGAACCTTCTCACCAACATACTCGATGATCATATCATTTATTGCGATGTTCTCCATGGCATAAAGACCCCAATTGTGGATAGCAGAACGAGCAAACTTGACAGGCTTCTTACGTTTCTTAAGTTGATTGAAACGCAACACATCAGCATCACCACCAAGAGTCTTCTTCTGGTCGTTAAGGTCGGCTACGAAACGACGTTGGTTAACACGATTGGCACGACCAGAGGTTCTGGCGAGTAGCTTCTCTGCCGCAATCTTAGCAGCCTCGGCTGCTTCTGCAGCCACATCTTTGCCGGCTCTTTTCGCTTGTGCCTCGCGTTCTTCACGTGCCCTTTGAACCTTAATACGATGAGGGAGATAGAGAGACTTTTCGGAATTCAAAATCTTCTTGGTACCATCAGTCCGAGCACAGCCCGTTGAAGTCTCCACGTAATAACCAGGTACGGCAGTCTCGTCCTTGACGATACCTTTGTATCCATTTCGATTGAGGGACTTGATTTGCCCTTGCCTCCATGCCCAAGTAGCAGGGTCGATAAGCTTGTAGTCCGTCTTGAAGATTTCGAATGCTGGTCCAGCATCTTCGTCATCCTTGAGAATGTTTTGCAGTCCATCGATATCGAGGATGTTATCAAAGTCATCATCAACGGTGGGTTTGGGTGCTTCACCGGACATGCCCCATTCGACGGATGTCTCCACGGGTGCAGCATCGACAATATTTTCCTCAAATTCAGACTCCTCGGCTTCCTCCGGCACAATCTCGTCGTCCGGAACACCCTCTTGTTGTCTCTTAAGAGCTTCTCTTTCTTCGAATATCTGCTTCTTAGACTTCTTCCTCTTTGCCGATTTGGCGGCCTTCTTTTTGGCCGACGCAATTAAAGCAGCTTCAGTCTCGGATTCTGTCTTTGGGAATCCATCAAGATCAGGAATACCTACCTCAAGGATGGGAGTTTCCGGAAGAGGCTCGATCTTCGCCACAGACACACCGAAAAGTTCCTCGTCAGTCTTCTTTTGTCGCTTTTTCGCAGCCTCCACGTGCAAGTCCAGTTTTCTTTTCTTCGTTGGTGCAGTAGGCTCAGAAAAGTTGACTTCACTAACAGACTCTCCATCTCTGGTATCCAATGATGGAGATCTCTCTTTCGCATGATGTTGGCTTATCGAATCCGTATCATCATCTGAACCTTCATCATCGGTGCTCATACGACTTCTCGGGCGTGACTCTACTTCTTCAGTACCCCGTGTCCTAGAACGAGTTTCATTATCATCATCCGAATCCTCGTCCTCCATACCAATAAGGAAGTGCATAGGTCGAACATAGGCTTTCCGTGTTGGCCTGGCGAAGGGGTCGGTAAATCCAACACTGCGTTTCTTATCCGTTTTAGCCCTCTTTCGAATCCTGGGCAAAGCAGTAACATTGACCTTCCCGGCTGTTAAAGCATTACGGTCCTCAAATCGTGAGTTAGGCGTTCCAACAGTAGTACTATTTTCTTGATATTCCTCCTCATTGATGAATGGCAACTTGACGTTCGGGTCATGGATATTCAACTTCCGTCGCTTTGCGACATGATTGGATGGATCCATAAAATTTCGGAGGATTGGATTTGCTATCCGTTCTTTGATCTTATCCATCAGATGTGTCATCAACTCTCGTTTGATAACTTCTATGGCTTCACGTGCAGGATCAAAGTTCTTTGCCCGTTCTCGCTTTTCCTCCTCAAGATCAGCCTCTTCTTCCTTTTTAATTTCCTCGAGTTCTCCTTTCCTTTTCTGCTCAGTCAAGCGCGGGTCAGGACTACGAGTGCGACGATGATGGCCTCTTTCGGGTTCGCGATTTTCAAGTCGTCGGCCTCCGGTACCCCATAAATATAGCTTCATGACCATTTCATAAGAAAATAGCGCTGTGCCATTGCAAGAGGAATAACACCTGTCCGCCTCGAATCTCCCGTCCTCGCCGTTAGCAAAGACTACATAGTAGCCTGTTCTGTCGACCCTAACTTCTTCCAAAAAATGCTGCTTCAGTCGTTTCTTTAGATGAACAATTGTCGCCGGGATGACTGGAACATAATCCTTCGAAATAAATATGTACGGATCCTCCTCCAGTTGTTGGGCAATTGGCTCGTCCTCAATCAGTGTTTGCGTGCGCGGTTTTGTGGGAATCACAGATTGCACAAGGCCTGGTCTGAATTGGGGCCTGCCAGAAAGAGCGGCAGGCCCTTTGGGGGCGGTTGGTGGAGGTCCAGAGGTTTTGACAACTTCGGGTTTGGGTGGCGGTGGTGGTGGTGGTGGCTCTTTGGGTGGGAGGGGTAAAGGTTCGGGTTTGGACTTTTCCAAGGCAGTCTCAAGCATGCAAGTGCTGCGCTTCCCTTGAGGATCGAACTGGACCTTGATTCGTGGTCCCAACCCTACCACGCTGCTGCCTCTCATAACTGCCTTTTTTGCAGCCTCAGCCGCAGTCAAAACTGAACCATCCTTCCTTTTAGTGTCTCGATATCGAAATGTGCCAAAGCCCAAGCAACTTCCTGTCTCTGGATGTAACTTGTTGCTGCTCTCCGCAATCTGGCCATAGTGTGTAAAAACATTCGTCACCTTCATAAAGTTTATTAAGGGGTCATACCCAGTAACGACTATTTCCGTTGGTGGGCCAGGTCCATAATGATTTTTAGGGTTGTGTTTGTACTTTGGTAGCATAAACGGCGAGTGACTGAGTCGTGACAATGAATTGTGGTAATCGGTGTTGATATACGACAATCTGCTACCTTTTGCTAACCGTGGATCCGCTGGGGGAACGTCATCTTTCTGAAAAGCCATTAGCCAGACATTCTCACACGCATAAGATGACGCTCCCCGCAGCAGATTGTATACGTACCAAACCAAACTCCTTATAATGTGGGCGGCGATTAAGCTTTTCTTTCGTGGAATGTATATTGGGATCGTGGAAAGGATCATAGGTGCACCTCTTTCCTTTTACACCTTGTGCTGGGTCTCGAGCGAGGACTCGTGGCTCGGGCGGGGTATGCTCTGCCGTTGCAGAATTAAGTATAGCGACGACACGCTCAGGTTTTGTATTATCACGAGGGATGCGAGTTGTAGCGTTGACAGGCGCATCAGCCTTGGCATTGCTGGGACTCGCAACATGATTGGGTGAGGAGTCGATATTGGTCAGTGGTGTTAAATCGTTGATGTTTCGAGAACTACCAAATATGTGCATGCTGTTGGAAAGCTGATGGTTGGCGCTGAAAAGGGATGAACCAGAACTGGAGTGTGAGCTTGCTGAGCCTACTCCATTCAGGATATCGCCTTGTACAGGTTCGTTATCTTCTGTCGGCAGGGTAGGAGGTTGGTTCGCAATTGGGATTGATGTATCTTCTGAAAGATGTGTGATAGATGCATTGTCAGTCAAAGCTTTCGCATTAATATGAGTGTCAGCAACAGAAAGGGTGATGGGCGAATCTGCCTGCTGAGCCTTTGACTTTTCCCTCTCCTTTGCTTTGTCTTTCGCAGCTCGAGGAGCCGATGGAAAGAATTGTGCGAAGCTCGCCCCAGATGCGCGAGACATCGTGTGACTGTAATTGATCTACCTCTTCTTCCTTCTGCCAACCACCATCTCTTGTTGTAAGATCAGTATTCGACTGCATGCATTCAAAGTTTTGTTGGCAGGTGGTCAATACGCGCAAAGAGGTTGGTAAAATTGACGCGACTCAATATCCGAGGAACAGATTTGACCAAGGATTCTTTGTATTTGTAGTATGATAAAGTATGGAAGTATTTCGTCGCAGTTGATGTGCGAATATTGGCAGATAAGAAATGATTGCTGTGCGATCATCTAAGATCAATCTTTCGATGTTGGAGGCTGGTACTTTTCGGGAATATGTATAGTTGAGGTTGTTGGAATGGAAGATCAATGAGGTTGAGGTTTCGATAGTATCAATTTCTCGCTTTCTCCAATAGGTTAGAATTGGGAAAATGGTGACGCTTGACCTAAAGAGGATATTACGATATTACCTAAGCATTCAAGGAGATGGAAATGGAGATTGGCCAGGTTTACGAGGCAGGGATTTGATGAATGTTTATGTTTATTATATTATATTATGCAGTTAAAAATCCTTCTGCTATTATTCTTTACTATTTATATCTTTATATAATTCACTTAATAGGAGGACAATTTGGTTGATTATATGGTACTTCTTCGAAAAAACTTGAAAGACACAATAGAAAGTCCGTTTTCAGTATAATAAATGCCAAAGAGCCATCAGAACCTAAAACCACGAAGAGTATATTATATCTGAAAGGAAGTGCGAAACAGACAGTATAGATAGAAGGGATTTATGATACAATCCTTCCTTAATCAGGAATCCTAGTACTTAAAATTTGTGTATATATATTTGATTGTTTTATATCAAAATCGAGATGGAAACTGAGACATATTATTACTACAATCAAAGAAAGGGGTTCCAAAGATCAAATAAAAAGCTTCCAGCAACCACCAAACTTTCACCAATGCAAGTTTGCCTCGTTACAACTTACTTACCTGAGCCCACGAATTCGACAACCCCCTTTATTTCTTTGTCCTACCTAAGAGGAGGTAGTTATGTTACACCAATAGCACGTGCTTTCTTTCAAGTGGGGGATTAGCCTTATTCGCTATCAGGATGAAAAAATAAGTACCTACCTATGTAGATATATGAGTAGTATAGATGGTTATTGTGATGCTATAACAACGTTTAGTTTACTTGAGTTCCAGTAAACCTACTACATATAAAACACACCAAAGGAATATTTCGAGAGATATACGAGTATTAAGTGAATAGCCAACCTTTTTTATAAGCTATCAAGGCAGTAGTAATGTAATTGCTAGCTGTACAATCCTGCTGTTAGCCGATACTACCTACCTAAGTATATAAAGATGAATAAGAGGAGTGTGAATATGGCTTTAATAGGACCAGTTATTTATTTATTGTATAGAAGATTGGTATGAAGAATTCGGGATATGTTGATATGTTTAGAAATGGATTGTCGATGAACATGGCTACCTTAGCAATACAAGTCAGGTCTGTTTCTAATGTACACATTCTAATTACTACTCCGCAAGTTTAGGCCATAAGATAAAAGAAACCTATTATATACCATGTCACACTTAGATATACAAGTCGTCACACTTAGACAGAGACACGGATTCAACGCTCGCTTAATTAATAAAGTTTTTTTTAAAATATGTATATTAGTGATTATATAAAGAGTTAAGCTAGCGGTAGCTATGCTGGCCTTGGGATTGCTGTTGATGGTCTTTTGAGAGGCTCCACCCTAGACCTTGGAAGAGTAGATAGAGCGGACGTTGCTCGACGAGCTGTGATGGTAGGTTTTGGCTTTTGCTTCTTGAGGTTTCTGAAGGTTTCAGGGACATCACCGATAACCCAATCCTCCATTGACGCCAGTATCTGCTCATCAGTCTTTTTCGCACGCTCAACAGCGGACTTCTCCAAATCTCGCTCGAGTTGCGATCTACCACTCTTATCATTAGTGTTATAGTAGTCGCCAAGAGCTCCATTGGTAAGGTTCTCAGGCTTAAGCATATCGTAATTGAGACAACCGATGGGGAAGACATCCGAATCGAATGGTAGGTCTTTGGATCGTGGCGGCATGTATTCTACTTCAACATCTCTTAGAGGACTCTCATCTCCGTGAACATCAATCTTGATCTTCTGCGAAACTTTGGGCTTGGGTCTGCGAGCACTCATTTGCCTAGATGCAGTCTTCTCGAGCTCCTTATCAGGCGTCGGACCAGCAGGAGTCTGGAACACCTTGGTTTTCGCATTCGTAGTTTTCATACCAAGAGGAGCACGATTGCCAGTACCTGTTATAAGTCAAGTCAACTTTTGATCTGATCATGTATAATGTAGAATGCTTACCCACGGGTGTTGCGAAGGCATCTTTTCCTCCTAGACCCTTACCCTTACCCTTTGTACCAAGTACCGTTCCTTTTCCTCCATATCCTCCTGGCGCATTCTCATCATTCAATGGGATCTTTAATGGCGTCTTTGGGAATCTATTTCCTGGAGTCTTTGGCTGTAAACTTCTTGTGCCTTGATTGTGGGGTTTGGCGGCAGCGACTTGTTGATGACCATGAACCAAATTCTCTTGATCGCGGGCTGCAAACATATCGACTTAATCTTCTGTATAACGACGTTCAATATAGTTTGTTCTGAGAAGATGGATTATGGATTTATTACACTTCCATCAAAATTGTGAAGTTTATTAAAGTGAAGTTCTGTGATGTAAGATAAACCGGGTATTTTGATTTGGTTTGTTTCTACGGCAACCTCATTTTATTATACCAACTTGTATCACACCCCCTTGCTCACAGACCAACCCATCTACCCACCTACCCACCCCTGTTTATGTTCGGTTGGCAATAATACTGTCTCTCTCACCCTTTTACCATCTGCAACATTTCGAATCGTCGCAACTTCTTCAACTGTTTCTTTCATATCATCAACATCAACCATACCCAAAAAGATACTCTTTGTGATATCAAACTTTCTTTTACTAAACCTCAACAACCCTTGTTAACCAACAAATAAAAACTTCAAAATGGATCGCATCAAGGAAGTAAGTGATATTAACAAAACTGACCCCGCCATTTGACCCTCAAGGTCGCGATGTTCTCCTTTCCATCGATACTTGGTCGCCGATACGATCTTCAAAGAAAAGTTGCTGATTCTGCTCTTTATAGAAAATGAACACCCTCCGTATCGAGGCCGACGAAGCTACCGGAAAGGTTCAGGAGCTTCAGGAGAAGGTCAAGGCTCTCGAGCAAGAGAACCTTCAAAAGGAGCAAGAGATCACATCCCTTACACACAAGAACAACTTGTTGGAGACCGAAGTTGAGAAGTTAGAGGGTGGGATCAAAGAGGCCAAAGCTGTGGCAGAGGAAGGCAGTCAACACGGCACACAGAACGAGACTCTTCAACGAAGATTACAACTCTTGGAGGAGGAAGCTGAGGAAGCTGATAAGAACCTCCGCGAGACAAACGACAAGTAAGTGCTAAATTTTTGGATTTCTACGAAAAATAGGGGTTTGAATCATCACTTTGGCACATCTGCACATCTTCATAATCCACAGAAACATAGGCTGACTCTATTTTGTCTCAGACTTCGTCAAACCGATGTTAAGGCCGGTCACTTCGAACGCAAAGTTCAGGCGCTCGAGCAAGATCGTGATCAGTGGGAGGCAAAGTTCGAGGAGATGGCCAAGAAGTATGCTACTGTGCAAAAGGAATTGGAGGACTTCCAAGCGGAGATTGGCAACATTTAAACTGGTTTTTGAGTCACAGTGGACATTCTGTTCTAGAGCTTTTTAGGTGCATGGGTTGCGGAATAATTGCAGTTAAGCCTCGCATGCGCTGGCGGTGGTACGCTGTTTTTTACATGATTTGCTTTTCGATCCATATCGAAGTTACATACCAAATATTACTGCGAGTTCTGATTGTGAAGTTGTTGATAGATTCCCCTTTAATTATTGCCTCGTCGCGCCTCGGCTGCTTTTTTGCCTGAAGACTTCTGCTTTTGTCTCGTCAATTTCCTTTCCGCCTTGGTCTCATATGTGAACTTCTTCTTCTTTACTTTCTTGGGCCAGACCTTCTTGCCCGTCTCTTCTTCTTTCGTGACCTTCCCATGCGCCTCCTCTATACCATCATCACTATCATCCGCATCCGCAGTTTTTGTGATCCCTTCTTTCGATATTTCTATCCCCTCAACTGTGACTGTTGTGTATTTATCCTCGTCGATGTATTCCTCTTCATGATCCACCACGTCTTCTTCCACCTTTTCCTCTTCCACCTCATCCTCTATGCCTCCCCATTCATCTCCATCTCCTCCATCGAACCTTTCTTCCACATCCTCTAGCAACGCATTCACAGCTTTAACATGCTCGTTCAACTCTGTTGTCCTCTCTTCTCGTAACTAATCATCAATAGATCAGCAAATGACAATCCCTCAATCCCTCGAGCGACAGGTAACAAACCTGTTTTCTCATAACAATCTTCTCTTCCCTGGCTTTCTTGTCCCCTTCCACCTGTGCTTGCTTCGACCGCTGAACTTTCCGCTTGTGAAAACCAGTCAAATAATCCTCGCGGGCACTTAAATCGAAATTGATCTCCTCGATTTTGTGGTCGAACTTTCTCTTCTTTTGGTGAGCTGGTAGAACTGATTGTTTCGGACGAGGCCGAACTATGAATGAGGACTCCATTGTGAATGATTTGTGGTATTGATTGCTTTGGGCGCACCAGGAATTGGACTTGTTTTGAGGTTGGAAATAATCCTGGGGAAGGAATAATTTGGGCAGAACTTACCGCTTTCGCTTAGTCATCGATGTATCGAAGTCGGAGCTCAAGGTTGCACTTATCGAAGCTTAACATTGGAACAGCTTCATCAACAAAGATTATCCCGCATCACAACCTTTCTTTACAACGACAAGAGCTAAGATGCGGTACTCGATTGCTGGATCGCTACTAAGCTGCGCTGCTGTGGTGCAAGCCTTCAAAGATACATCGCCTTTTCTTTTATTCTCATCGTCGGAGTGAGTTAGACATCCAACAAACACCCGTCTCATCTCCATACAGTCACTGACACGAGAATGGCAGATTACCTCCTTCGATGCAAATTGAGAGCCAAGAACTAGATACCACTTCCTCGATTCTTCGCAACACCAAGAGTTTCCTTTCCACCTGCCCCTCTGATGTCTACATCATCATTCAACAACCAGCTCTCGCCGTCTCAGACTTCTCGGCCTTAGACTCGATTCCTCACATGAAAGCGGCCATCTCAGATTCTAGAGTCAAAGCAACCTACAGCGTCACGGATGTCATTTATGAGGGTGGAAATCTTGCCGAGGAATTGGCAGAGCACATTGAGGCGTCATGCGGCAAGAAAGTTGAACGACGAAACAACGTTGGGCTTGAGTCCGCTGATGGCAATGCAAATGGTGTCATTGTATCTAATTTCAATGCATTATCAACCGAGAAAGTATCAAGAGCTGAAGAACTTAACGATCAAGGTTTGTATAGTCCTTCAGATCATCTTGTAGGATATCTTTGACTAACGCCTCAACAGATGTTATGCTCAACAGCGTGTTCTACGAACATCTCTCTCGTGGTCCAGAGTACACCGTCATCTACACTACCACACCCCTTGGTTCTGTACTTCAACAAGATGAACCTGAGTTGCCAATTTACAACGCAGAGTTTGATGCGACCGCACATATCGATTTGAAGAGGGATTTCAGAATCAAGTCTGATAACTCGACGAATGCACATGATACTAGACCTTTGTTCGAGAAGTATCAGTATTTTACGCCTGGTATCTTCATGGGATTAGTTGTTGGAATCATCTTTCTCAGTATCCTTTACGTAGGTTTGAGTGCAGTGTCGAGTCTGCAGGTTTCGTATGGAGCTTTCGATAAGGAGATGGGACCATCTGCGCAAAAGAAACAACAGTAATGCGCTTTGGGAGATCAGGGGTGAAGAGGATAGATTGGAATGGAATGGAATGGTTTGGACTGGACTGGAGTTATTGCGAAGTAAAGCAAGTGTATAATTTTGTGTGTATAAAGTATGCATGAGTACCTATCAAATGGAATAGGCCTCTCGATTTACCTTTCGAGATGGAGGAATAAAGGATTGGGAGTTTCTTGCTTTTGAAACATTGCATCGTCCAATACATGAACCCTACATGTTTCTTGTGAGGTCAGACTCATGTGTGTGAAGACTACTCCGATCAGCTACCTATCTGTCAAGAAGGAAATGTCCTACACCAATATCCTACTTCGTCTACACGCCTCTTTCATTTGTGATCTAAATTCAGATGGTCGATCATCAGGTATGAAGAGGATGAAGGGGATGAGATGGGTGAAGATATTGTATACTCATAATTACTTACTTAAGCAAAGACAATGAATTTCAGATAGTTTTTACTACTTACCTCCTCCTTATAGAGATCCGGCCTCGCTAGTTCGCTTACCTAATAACTCATCCTATCATTGATAGGCAGCTAATTTGGTACTTAGCTTACATTTCATTGATGATCACTAATCTCTTTTAGGAAATTGTATATTTATTATTTCTGGGTTGGGGAATGCAGGAACACGAGAAGTGGGAGAAAGAGGGAAAGAGGGAAAGAGCGAATAGAATAGGTAAGGCCAATACGAGGGAGGAGGGTAATGGGTAATGAAATAATGAATGTATGATTTCTTCTTCCTCTTCTTCCTCTTCTTCCTCTTCCTCTTCTTCTCAATACAACCTCACAAGTTACAACTCTGAATACCTTCATCTATCGGTTATTCAATATACATATTTTCCATTCGTTATTGCTATACCTAGTGTTTTTCAGTGCTTTGATAATTTTGATACCCTCTTCCATTAATTCCATACCATTCAAAACATTCAGCCTTACTTGCATAACATAACATACCTAACTTCTACAATATCCCCAGCTTTGGATACCCTTGTAAACAGTTCGTACCGTCGCACTGCTGAGAAGAGATTCATTCTCAACCATCAAATTTCCTGCTGCACAACGACAAAATTAAACGTCGTGACCAAGTTAGTTTGGCAAGTTTTGCGCAACTTTGGAAGGTTTCCTAGGACGAGAGAACAATTTTTGGAACTTGGAATAATTGAATTGGATTGGGATTCGACTTTCTTGAAGAATTCGAAGCAAACAAACTCGATTTTCAAATCATTGACCCGTAGGATTTCAACCCTTTCAGTCGGTCGGTCGCTCACTCGCTGCGACAACATTCGATAATTGGAGTGGATAGTACAAAACTTGACTTCTATCACGAGAACGAACGATTCATACTCGAATACGAACTACATTATACACAAAATGCGATTTCTCAAATCGGCAGCATCTGCTGCCTTTGCGGTGTCATTATTTGCTATGCCAATCATTGCAGCGACTACTGCAACTGCGGCGGCTACAACAGCTACCTCAGATCTACCAAATCTTTCCAGTGTGGCAGCATCGGAATCTTCAGCCGCTGTAGCATCAACGAAAACCACAACATCGAGTGACACAACATCGTCTGGGACGACAACAGCTGGATCGATTGCAGTAATTACAGGTGGATCTACTGCAACTGGGGCGGCTACCACTACTTCCGCTTTACCAACATTGGCTGGCGCATTTACAATTCCGACACCTTCTGTTCCTCCAACTTCAAATGCACCATTTATGCAATTGTCGAATTATCCCGAAGGCACAGTTTTCATTGCAGTGGGTGCAGTTCTTGGATTTTTGGCGCTATCTGTTTTGGTTTGGCGTACGATGATTGCTTGGGCTTTACACAGATCCGTCAAACGCGCTGCTGGTCAAAAAACCCATGTGGATCAAAAGCAATTATTCCAAGCTCCGCAAGCACCATTTTACAACTACGCCGACAAAGAATCAACGCTCTCACTTGGAGGAGGAGGACTGGGCGGAAAAAGTGGCAAGAAGAGGCCAACGACTGGCAACGGAACACAATCTCAAACCTCTCTGTTTTTCAGTCCTACAGCTCTCGCCGGTGGTAATAACCCAGGAAATCGTGCATCGAATTATCTTCCAGCCGGATACTACGCATCAGGAGCAGCAGCTCCAGGAGCATATCCTGGCGACAGACAAAGTATCAGTATGTCGAATCTCACACCACAAGGATATACGAGAGGACATCCAATGGATCGTTCGCCACCTGGTAGCCCTAGTCATGGTACTCATTCCGAGTCGAGTACATCGGATCTAAGGCCAACGGATGGGAATGTCAGGGCACCAAGTGCATATTTGGAAGATCTTTTCGATGGGGAGAATCCACTTCCAACACCACAGCAAGGAGGACGTGATAGGCGATCTGGACGGTACTGATCTGGATAAGGGAAATTCTAGATTATTAGCTTGGGGTTATATTGCTTTGGTGCCATTTGGTACACTGCGATTGGGTCGAAATCATAGGTGTAAATCAAAGGCGTTCTTCGAATACATGTATAAACATGAAGGGTTGATTTACAACAACAGGGAGTCTGATACTTTCAGGTAGTTACTAATGGATGATGCGTGCATGCATGAGAGCTTGGAGCGGACTTTATGGATTGATTCGGCAGTTTGGGTTTTTTTTTTGCTTATTGCGAATGCATATAAGGGGTTGAGGGTGGCATCTTGTAGGGGCGATGAGTGGAGGGGGTGAATGGGGGTGCGGTTGCAGCCTGCTGTTGGCTTGTACATAGATTGATTGATACGATAGCGAATTGAAATGAAGTTCTTGTTGAATCAAGGGTTCGATCTAGGGCTACAAAGTTGTGGATTACTCTGGGGGCATAAAATGTGATGATGGATGGTTTGGTTCCTGGATTTCTCGACCTTTGTATAGTTTTGTGCTGTTTGGCAAGAACTAGGGAAATTCAAGCTTAACATATCGGTTCCTACTACTCCATTATTCTTCCCTTCTATGAGGTGCACATGAGACGAGTAGTTCTGACTTAAGTTTTACTGATGTTCCCCTGATTCACAAAATTTCACATCTAGTCATTACCTAGACTTTGTTTCAAATGGCAGTATACATACACTTCTTTCACTTATATCGAGCTTGTGGGATAGAAATGTCTTCCTTGACTTTCTCGGATGTGCTGGTGTTGCTTCAATCTCGATGTGTCAAAGTACAAAGCTGCAGAATGTTTTGGATCAAGTCAAGTCTGTTCCTCCCATGTCTTGTCTTGTTACAGAACAAGTACATGCATGGTAAATCTTTTAAGTAAAGGTACCGAGTCATCAGGAACCGTAGCAAGTTCTCACCAAAAGCTCGAAGCCGTAGTAGATACTAGAAATCCAATAGATCTAGCGAATAGCATGCTACGGTCATAAGATAGAGCCGGCATCCTCGTTCGTTTATAAATGTACAGCTTCAATGGATCCTCTATAAATTCAACACTTGTCATTACTTGTATGAACTGTTCCTACATCTTTTCACACGCAAATCCAAAGAAATTCCGGGTGGGAGATACTCGATCATGGCACAACCATATCCAACTCTTCCCATTGAGGGTTTCGGTAATGGAGACGGGAACCTATTTCCACCCGACTCAATGGAAGAAATCAAAGAAATGGTCACACGTCTTTGCCTCGAAATCAATTTCGCACGCAATATCGATCGCTGCGAAAAGATCACGGGCGGCAATAACCACATCATCCTGTTCACCTGCCTTCCTCTCTCGGCAAAGTATCAGGGCCAACGAATCGCCTGCGTCCTCCGCACTTGTCTAAAATTATTCTTCCGGTCCAACCCACCCACCGATATGGAAATCAAGTCTTTAGTAGCTCTCACCCACAATTTCCGCACACAAGCCCGCTTGCCCATTCCCTCGACACTCGCCTACGATTGTACCTACGAAAATGCCATTCGGTCTCCTTATATGATTCAGGAACGTGTCAGGGGTCAAACGCTGGAACATGAATATTTCATGCTCTATGCAGATCTCGAGTACGCTAATCCTCGCAATGCTCGTTTGCAACAACGATGGCAATATGCAAAGTGCGTGGCGGCGTTCGTGGCTGCTATGGAGAGACCCATGCTTCCGGGTTACGGAATATTCAAAGCGGAGGCCGGTATGCCGGATAAAGGTACAAGTGTAGATATTGGTTTCTCCATAACACGAGATAATATTGATGGGAGGAAAATCTCGATCGAACCGGTCTTTTCCGCTTGGGTCGACGATGTTTTGAATACTCAGGTGGATAGAGTACATGATGTTTCCAAGAAAATCTCACCAGAAGAAGCATCTAAAATTTTGAAGCTTCGCCTGATCGGCTCGCAGATGGCGGTCAAAGGTCTCCTGACTACAGATGAACCGGCCGTGTTATGGCACGCAGACTTTTATCCGAGGAATATCATGGTGCAGAGTAATAGATATGAGACTGTGCTCGCTGGGGTCATCGATTGGGACGATGCTCGGGCCGTAAGTTTATCCACATCTCATAGCCAGCTACCCAGCTCCGTTTTCTTCGTATTTATATTTGGAATAGAACTAATCTAATTCGTACCAGCTTCCACGCATCATAACCAGAGCAGCACCTACCTTCCTCTGGGAAATGTCAAAGAATCAACTCCAAGCACGGGAAATCGAAATTATCAAAGAAGCATTTGATGAAGAGATAGAGAAGCTAAGCCGGGGTTATGGAAATGATGCGTATGAGAGTGAGAGAAAAATGGTTAGGGCCCTGGGTATATATGCATTGTTTGGACCGGACTTTATGCATTGGTATGAGATGAGTTTTGAGGGGTTGGTGAGGGGGTGGAAGGCGAGGATGGTGGGGGGGAGGTGAGGGCTGAGTGAGGGGTGAGGAGGGAGTGGTGAGTGCAGTTTTGGGGGATACGGTTTGGGAGTGGGACTTTGGATCATGGTATCAAATAGTTCAGACTGCAATCCAACAGTAAGATATTCTCAATTCCTGAATATATCTCAAACACATTTTGATTTAAAAGATTGAAGAATCGGAATTCGGATGGGGATCTTGATGGGTGAGTACTATGAGTGATCATCTTATATGGTAATAAAGACATACAATGCATGGATTATTGCATCACTTATATAGTACCCAACATAGTAGAGATTTTATATAAAGTTTGGATACTAGTAGAAGTTCTTAGGACCGGATAGTAGAGTGAGTGCTCAATAATTACTGAGTATTAATCCAAAATGCAATTTATTAATAAAAAGCTTTTTATTCTTGGATCGAGTTTATGTAATTATTGTGTTTATTTAGAATTAAAACATTGTTTTTGATATTTGTTAGTAGGAGGGAAGCCGTTATAGATATTAAATCTATTTCAAGTTCTTTCAAATTTTAATAGTCAGACTAGTCAAAATATCCTAACCGTTCTCAAGAATATAATGCTTTGCGCAGACTGGAACTAGAAGCTATTACTTATTGAATGGAATTGTATGTGCTCGAGGGATTGGTCAAAATATAAATATTTAAGTAGACACTTGAGTATTTTCCTCGGAATCTTTCTAATGAGTCGGATGCGGCTGTTATGACTCGGATATATAATACTCGAGTACACAATCATCCCCAGAACCTATTCGTCTTCAATTCGAAAGGCAGTGTTTGTTGATGTGTAGTCTAACTATTACTCGAGTACTAGTAATGTTTTGTGGATATAGATATTTGGATGAGCTTATGCTTGGGGTTTTTTCTTTTCTTCTTGTGGATAGATACTCGAGTAGATAGATAGATAGGTATTGAACAAAAATGATAAGATTCCTCTATCTCTACTCGAGTTATCGGACTTTTATAATTGTCTTTATACAAATAATATAGTTATTGGTGTAATGATTATAATATTATACTCGAGTAGTTTAATAACTATTCTTCTCTTATAAGGGAATTATCAATATATATGAAATATAGTTATAAATCCATTATAGCATTTTATAAAGTTTATTATAATATTATATATATCTAAATACAAATGCTACTAGATGAAATTTAAAGTACTCTGTAGTAAGAATACTACTAGTTCAGGTGAAGACTTATCGAATTGATAATCAAGATAGTCTCAGATTACTAAAATGTTCTCTTTATTATATTTCCTTTTCACTGGAGTAATCTTTCCTAGTTTTGAAAATCTAGGAAAATCGAGATACAGAGTTTACACAATGATGGGATTTAGGTTGTAAATAAAGAGAGAGCTGATTTCAGTATTTATAGTAATACGAGATGAAGCTAGATAGATCTGCTAATCGCAACTGCTGTATTCATTCTAACAACGATTATACTATTAATTACACTAAATTGATGACAACTTTCGATGTTTTCGCCCCAACATTCGTTGATCAATTGATGACTGAAAGTGAAATAGTTGGTAAGAGATTATAGAGTAGAGAAAGGGAAGGGAAGGGAGGGGGTGAATCATATACTTGAGGCTCTAGGATTTCAATTGTTTCTTTTTTCTTTTCTAAATGCTTTGTATAATGAAAGTCATTTTGATATAGGAATTTAGGTGGTGAGAGTGGTGAGGGGTTTGGATCAGGGTCAACTTCAAGTTGAAAAGGGACTAGTTTTAGGTTTTTCTAGTTTTAGAAAGAGAACAAGACAAGAAAGTTGATTTTAGTTCAATTTGAATATATACCAACAACATGGCATCAAATATGGTCATTCGATGCATCTAATTTTCTGTAACCCAAACATTATCAAGCCCAACCATGGCGGCACCAAATATACCACTGTCTAAACGCACCGGCCGGCGAATAAATCAATTCCCGCCCACATTGATCTCTAATACTATGAGAATGCTGCAGGATTTATGTTCAGAGATGAATTTTGCCAAGAATCCAGTTCACGTTTTATCCAAACAAGGCGGCAAAAGTAACATTGTAGTATTCACATGTGTATTACTCGCATCACAAGAGCGCATACGATGCGTATTACGGACCAGCAGATACTACAATCTCTCTGAAAGCTGCGAAGATCCAATCGATGATACGTCGGTCCAGTTAACGGTTGTAGTAACACGCATGCTAAAACTACGATATGGTCTACCTGTCCCTAATATTTGGGCTTATGATACTAGATATGAGAACAGTATCAAATGCCCATATGTAATTGAAGAGGAGGTAGCGGGAATGACGCTGTGGAATTACAATCGAATGATGAGACAGTCGCTCCCTCACCGAATGCCAACTCAGAGGGACACCGGACGTTTCGCATGGCGATACGTGTTCGCCAAACGTATCGCCGAATTCATCGCGGAAAAAGACAAAGTCCAACTCCCCTGCTACTGCGCATCTATAGATACATCGAATATGCCTAGATATGTCTTCAACAAACATGATGATCGATACACCTCTGCGAAAGACAGTGTTGCTAGCAGATCTCTCTTTTATAGACACGACATTCTCGTCTGCATCGAATCTTTCGCGCATGCGCGAACGCTGAGATCATATCCGGACGAGAAGGAAAAGGTTGCAACACTTAAAGATATGTGTTCGATTATGCGGAAAAATATTGTATTGAAAGACCAACCTTCGGTACTGTGGCATGCAGATTTTAACCCGAGGAAGATTATGTTTGAGAGTGATGCGACTGGGTTGTTTTTGACTAGGGTTATTGATTGGGATAAAGCCATAGCTGTGAGTTAAATTGTTACCCCTTTTCCCCACATCTATACTGTAAGCGATGAATCGAGAGTTACCTACGAGTATAGCTGATACAGTTTAACCCCACATCAGCTACCGCGTCTCATGACCCGAGAACCTCCTTCATTTCTCTGGAAGGATGACTCGCTGATGCTCCCTGAATGGGTATCTAATGGTATTAAGCAGACATTCGACGATACTATTGAGCGATTGGTGCCTGGATATAAAGAGGATGCTTACTCGACGGCTGCAGTTCTTGTTAGAATGGTAGGGATGTACGCGTTATTTGGCGTTAATGATTTACATCACCACGAACTCCTTTTTGAAAAATTGGTGCGTCGATTTTATACGTGGTTTCCGCACAAGAGATGAATCTCCATGATCAAGTTCTTTATCCTCAAGAAAGATAACAAAAAGGCGAGTCACTTCGCTTTAGCAGATAATTACTTGGGATAATTGAGGAGAACATTATAAGGTGCTACGAAAGACAATGCTGATAGCCTTTACCATAGCTTTCTGGATGACAACAGAACCTATATGTGAATAAAGAGGAACAATTATAGTGCTACGAAAGACAATACAGACAGCCTTAACCACAGCTTTCTGGATATGTTAACCAAAACTGTATGTGAATGAATAGGAACTTTTATTCTTTTAAACTTTAATTGCATTTCTTTCGCTTTCCCCAACGATATGTAATGTGAATATTGAGCTGCCAGTAACTATTGGGCATGACAGTTGAATTATTTGGCGCGGGCCCAAACATGGTCGACTATCAGTACATATCATATAAGTCGGCGGCGAGGAATCGGCTTGCTTACCCAGAATAGCAACTTGAGGTATAGGATTTGGAGGTATGAGATTCGGAGGAGAATCCTAGAACATTTTCCGCAGAAACTTTGTTTTCGGATTATGAAATTGCAATACGTATTTGCTGATATGTATTCTTGAATGATCTAGAAGAGAAATGGGTTACACATATGTTATTGATATGTTGAAATCTGAGAAATTTGGTTCATAGAGATGAAATAACTATTAGTTTACGAGCAAAATTCTCTTCAGCTGTCAAATCTAGTATGATCATTACAGCTTATCTCAATTGTCCCGGTAGTCTAGAGATTGACAGGTACTGATTTAGCATGTTTAGAACAACTCATTTTGATAGAATAATTCTTAAACGACATATGTGATAAATCTGCATTATTCTCCAGTTTAGATTTAAGATTTACTTTCTTTACATTGCCTTGCATGTTATCTTCAATCATCCTTGATCTAATAGCCTTTGACATATATCCTATATACAGCAACCATCTCCAACTTTTGATATCTATCTGGATCAGAGTCTCTCACGTTACTGTAGAACGAATCCCTAGGACAAAATCACTGCCAGGACCTTGAAATATTTCCCTATCATCAACTTGTATCCGCATACGGCTCTAATTGATACCTTAGCTTATACGATACGGTCCCCTCTCTACGGCCCTACACTGCACTGATATTCATTGATTTCTCTCGACTTCGCAACCTTTGACATACTTTTCCTACAACAATTCATTGATCTCCATCGAGATAGGAACCTGACATACTTTTCCCACAACTCATCAACACAAAGAAATGGCATCCCGCCACCCTCCTCTAGTGACAAACCCGTTTCCTCCCGACGATTTATCATCAGTTCAAACTATGGTGAGTAGACTATGCCAAGAAATCAGATTCGCTACCAGAATCAAAAACTGCAAGAAGAAGAGCGGTAACAATAACAACATCATCATTTTCACCTGTATCATGGATAATCCTCCCGAAGGATACGAAGGCTGCGTTGTTTCCTGTGTATTGAGGACCTCCAAGAAAAAGTACCAGACACCCGACTGCCACGACATCGACGTACAGACCATGACCGCTTTCTATCATTTGGTAGGCGAAGATATAATAGTTCCTTGCGTCCTGGCTTACGACTGCACATACGACAACTACATCAAATGTTCGTATACGATACAGAAGATGGTCAGTGGCCAGGACTTGCCGGAACACTATCGTAGACTCAATGATCAATACATAGAAGACAAATTCGCAGACTGCGAGGACGGTAAAGGTTTCGCAGGGGCGATGGCCACAAATATCTCGAATAGAGAAAACGCATTCCAGTTTGAGCACTATGGATTCTTTCAAGCAGGCGATAACATGGCACTGAAAAGCATAAGTACCGATAGACATTCTGATCGAATTAGTCTACCAATTATACCATTCACCACGGGTTTCTTGCCCATGCAAGCAAACTTCACCGCCATCGAATTTATAACCGACTTACTAGAAGCTCAAGAAACCCACCCTCGAAATTCGCTCCAAGAGGAAAAGTACCGCAAACTCGTCGATATTGCCCTGTATATACAGGTATCAAAGGAAGTCAATCACCCCGCACATAGAGCCGAGCCATCCCTTCTCTGGCACCCCAACTATCAACCGCGCAAAATGATGTTTACCATGGAAACCCTATATTACAATCCCGAAACTGGCTATTCCGAACCCGATGAAGATATACCCGCACATTATGAGCGAGAAGAAATGGAGATGTATACCCTTTTGAACGCGGTCCTTGGTTGGGAGGGCGTTTTGGCACTTCCGAGGATCATGACGCGCTGTCCTCCTTATTTCGTGTGGGAAGAGGGCGAGCTGTTAAATGCGAGGGATAGAGCAGATATTAAATAATGGCTTGATATTCATATCGAGGAGGAGATACCGGGATATTGTGCAGATGCGTATGGAGAGATGCAGAAAATTGTTAGGGCGTTGGGCTTTTATGCGTTGAATGGTGTGGATTTTCATTGGGACGAGCTCTCCTTTGATGAATTGATGGATGCGTGGGAGAAATATGTTGCAGGAAAGTAGATTTTATGATTGATCATGTATTGGGACTGTGGGCTAGCGGGTGTGTGTTTTGGGGTGGGGGTGAGAATGAGCTTTCTTTCGATGAATTTATAAATGGGAGGGAGAATTTTGTTGGAGAGAATTCGTTAACGTCAGTGAACATGGTGATGAGATTAGGGAGTGTAAGGCTTTGGGAAGACAAGAAAATCGTTGCATTAAAAGGGATTGCTACTAAATGACCAAACCACTAATGACGCCCTGAAGTAGACCTTGATACCAAAAAAAAAGTCAACAATGTAAATTCGACCAATTATAGAATCAGCGAGTAAAACCTAGAAATTATCTGCGAAGACCTAACAGCACAAATCTATAGTCCACCATAAGCAAGCAAATAATAATATTCCAGGTGTATAAATATTGATCGCTAATGCAGCAAGTACCAAGAACTTCACCATGGTACTTCCAGCTTGAGGCATGAACAAGTTATCTAAGCATATACGTATTAGATACTATGAGCCGCTTAAGCTTCTTGTGCTTTGAATGGTAGCTTTAATACTCGAAGGGGGTCACGAACACCAGTTCGATAGAAAAAAAAGATTTAAAATCGTAGGAAGGCGAAGACCTGAAAGGAAAGATTTGTTGTTCAATTGCTAGCAATATCGAATAGTCTATAACTTGGATATTCTAGTAACTCAAAATTTGTATCCTCAAAAGCATCATTTAGATGGACACTCCCCCTCCACTGGCCCCCAACTTATAACATGCATTGACAGTTAATGCCCTTCGCCATGTATATTTATTGATTGACAAAAGTCATGTGTAGACCGTCAACTCAAATTCGCAACCCTAATAACAGCACTTGATGAAGGAGGAAATTGAATATTTCTAAGAAAAAACAATCCTAGATAGATAATTGTTGAAAATACGACATGCGGGTTTCGCTATCTAGAGTCCGAATAACGAGTCGTTTGCGAAATAACGCTATGGAATAATTATCCAATTTCGCTAGGCTGTAATATAAAAATCCAAAAAGGTCCCGAGAAAATCTCAAAATCTGGAAAAGACAGGATATCCGCATACCACCAGAACTTTTCCATGAAAGCACTAAACCTGAACTCCAGATTCTCTATAATAAAAAGCGTATTACCTCAAACGACCAGCAAAGATCTACGGCTTCTTCTCTTTTCCTGTCGACCTACTTCTGAACAAACCCCTCGGAAACGGTGGTACATGTACTGTAGCCGTCTTGACCTTCTCCCTAAGGCTTGCTTTCTTCCAAACGCCCATACCAGGCTGGACCTCACTTTCAGCCATATCACAGTTCGACACTTGACTCCCATAAGAGTTCTGTCTACCACGAATACTCTCCGGTTGTTCGGAAGATCGATCTCTACCCCACCATTTGATAAGTGTTCTTTTTTCTTCATTTGTCAATGGCTTGACTAGATTATTGGACAAGTATCCTTGAGTAACACTTGATGGACGGGCTGATTCCCATTCCATTAAGTCTTGTTGACAGTGCTGGTGTACATCGGTTGGAATCGTTGTGTTTTCCATTGGACTCGAAGATGGGCGAAGTGGAGCAGCGGAAGCGGAGTCTATGGTATAGCTTTGTGGTAGAGAAACCATCTCTTGAGACCAGTTCAACGGTTCTTGTGGAGGTTCTATTGAAGATTGGTCAAATGGAGAGGGCTCTTCATACTCGATTTGGAACGTCTCCATTTGTGGAGCATCTGGAATTGTGATAGGTTGATCTATTGGCATAAGATCATTGAATGTAGGTCCGACAGGGTCTAACTGGACATTTGGTGTCCACCAAGGATATGCTTCGTAGCCGGGGATATCAAAATGCATGTCATCATAACCGGCGAGAAAATTCATGTCTGAACTCGTAGATAACACAGAGCCAATAGAGTCATGTGATCTGGAACTAAATTCGAGGGAGGGTGTCGGGAGATCTAATGACTGAGCGCTCGTATGAAAGCCCTCTAATTTGTAAAGTGTCGCAGGATCAACAAATGAGGACATTGTCCATCTTGGGGACAGATCTGAGGAAGGCGATGAGTTCAAAGTTAGAGACTCAGGATCTATCGTGTAGTTCATCTGACTAGCAGTCTCTGGGTCCGGAATATACGAGGAATGTCGCTTATTTGCATTCGATTGAACCTCAACTTTTGCGGCCATGGTCTCTAAATTACTCAACCGTTGTTTGTTCCTTGAACATCGTTCAGGATCACACTAGCAAGTGTTAATGAAAAACCTTACAGCTGGGAATGATGTTCGTCTACCTTCATTTTTTGCTTCTTATGTCGAGCACATGCGAATCCTCTATTAGCTGCAACTTTTACACGTTCTTCCTTATCATATCGTCTTTTCTTTATTCTAGGACTAAACTCCTTCATATCAGCATCCCATGCGAGGAACTGAAGGGTCCTAGTTTCTGGCATGGAGATTCGATGAGATGCAGTTGATCCTGATCTGACATGTGACGATGACTCCAGTACTTTCAAAGTTGGTCTCGTGACCTGATCTTCTGTGTCCATATGTAAGGGTAAATCATCAGAATTATTATGATGCTCAGAGGTTCCATTCATTTTGAAGTCCTCTGAAGTCTTTTGTCGTTCATTTCGAAGGAACTTCCTGGTGGCAGCTTGCATTTTACTTTCAAGGTCCCTCTCCAATGGAAAATGATAGCTTAAAGCGATAGATAATTCTTTGGATCTGGCTGGAGGATCCCATTGTAGAGTATGGTCATCATTATAGCTTATCACGTACTGAGGAAGATCAAGGATTGAAGATTCCCTCTGAGCTCGATCCTTTGCTTGCTCTTGGGGTGAGAAGGGGTCCATGATTCAGGGTGCATTTCACTGCAGTAGATCGTACCCAGGATGGGGGAGAGGGGGGCAATTGAGATTACGCTGTACGCACTGCTGCAGGTACTGTGCAGCACAGCGTAAGATTCAATTGGACTTATTGAAGCAGCAGTTGATACTATGCCAAGCGATGGGAAGAAGTAACTGTCGGAATTGGGCGGTACTGGCGGTCTAGAGGGATTGATGTACTCTGAGTACTTGAGTAGACTCAGTAGAGATACTTTAGGACAAAGCAAGTTTAATCCAGTTGTATTGACTGAAATAAAATAACATCTTCAACGTTATGGAGTGAGAAAATGAAGAAATCCTCAAATATTAGAGGTTGTCTTGTATTCTGTGCCCTGGTTACTCGGAAGTTGCCTTGGCTGACCGTATCCCAATATGGATTTGATCAGGGGTTGAGGTCCGATGTGGCTCAGCTGATAGTCATGTGATTATGAAAGCCACTTCGACTTATTTGCAAAATGTCACTCACTCTACACTACGCCGTTCGGTCTGACTTATTCGTGGGTGTACAATCTAAACGATGTTGACTTCTGGATAGACCTCAATCGGTGGGCGTATGGGGATAGGTGGAACTGATTAGTCCACTATTTGGATCGTCTAACAGGCATTAGGACTTCATAAACTTCACGTACACATCTCTTGAGGTAGGTTGAGTACTCCTCGAGTAACACCATCGTCATTCAGGAAGTACATGCGATACAATCTTCACGTTCATATGTTCATCAATTGCTATTCCACTCAACTCCCTGTTCATCTCTACTGTAACGCGAATGTACTCGAGTAGTATCTCGACATTCTCTGCAATTGCAAGATTAAGCTCCAAGATGGCCGAACAGTCAGAGAAGGAGAAAACAAAGGTTGAGGAAAACAGACCACTACTCACAACTTTGGGGATGTGTATTCTAGATGATCTATACTTGCCCAACGGCGAGATCAGATGTCGAGTTCTTGGTGGGAGTGGTGTCTATTCAATACTAGGCGCTCGTCTTTTTCTCCTAGATGAAGATGCTAGAAGAGCTTCCTGGTTAATCCGCGCCGGTGATGCGTTTCCTCAAGAGATAGAAGAAAGACTTCAGAGCTGGAACACCGATCTTATAATTGAGAAAAGTCAGGGATGTGGAGTTGAGTGTACGAGATGAGAGTTGAGATATCTTCGTGGGAAGAACGGAGAAGATGGAGGGTTTGCGTGTAAGTTCTAGAAGCTTACTCGATTTTTGTTCCGATGTTGTGATTACTATTATAGTCATTTATATATGTGTGCTCGGCAAGATGGTCTAATTCCCTCTCTGTAACCTCACACATTCTGGTCAAGCTGGGACTTTTATCGATTGTTGTTATACAGGACTATGCTTTGGTTGCTACTTCAAAAGCCCTCACCTAATAAAAGACATTGAAGCTTTCGTTGTGAGCTATCATACTTTCCCAGACTAACATTACTCCTAGCAAAAACTTACAATTACATCACCGGACCCTACCGCATCGAACCCCAACACTTAATCCGGTACCCCCAACTCCTCCATTCCCGCACCTATCACCTCTTAACATCTCCTCTCGACACCGTAGCTCAAGTCCCAGAACTGCTACATATCAGACACCAGGCTGGCATTCATGACGTCCCACTAATAGTTTGGGAGCCTCTACCACCTTCATGCAAACCCTCAGAGTTAGTAAATTGCATGGACGCCATCGGACTTGTAGACATATTTTCTCCCAACCATATCGAACTCGCTCATTTCTTTGGCCTCAACATAGATGCTCTCCCATTCTCGCGTTCCGTAATTGAAGATCTAGGCAACACGTTCTTAAAACGAGGCATCGGAAATGATGGGAAAGGAACGATAATAATTCGTTGCGGTCTAGAAGGCTGCTGTGTCTGGTATTGCAGACAATCAAAATGGGTATGGATTGAACCATATTGGGTTGGGCAGGAAGGTGAAAAGAAGGTGATCGATGCGACGGGTGCTGGGAACGCATTCTTGGGAGGGTTTGTAGTTGGTTGGGAGAAGAGTGGTGAGGACGGTAGTAGGGTGTGTGTTTGGCGGGGTTAGCGCGGGGGTTGTTTGCGAAGGGGTGGGAGTTCCTGTTTTGGAGAAAGGAGGAGAAGAGAGGATGGAGGATAGAAAAGAGATGTGGAATGGAGTGGATGTTAGGAAGAGATTGGACGGGTACTGGAAGAGTTTGATCTCAAAGGGAGTTGTCGAGGAGGATTTTGGAAGTTACGTTTGGAAGTGAGATATTGTATGATGCCAATTAAGCGTTTTACTGGTTATGAAAGTATAATGGGAAAACTCTGAATGGCTAAATTGTCTCTGCGCCGGCGGAAGCGGACGAGTTAAAGGAAGGACGTGAAGATTGCGGATGTCCGACACTCTACTACTTCGTTGTACCGGGATTTTTTAAATCCAGCTCCTCCCTTCATTTCCTTAAGAAAGCCAACTACGCGCTTTTGGAACCTTTCAAGTACAAGTCCTTGCAAAATTATCACCCTCGAGAACATATTGAGGGCTGGGTCGAACACACCAAGCATTGTATATAGGATTCCCTATGTTAATGCCTGAGACCTTCCAAAAAACACCACCTCAAAGCAAGCTACATACCTCTCTTTTCATCTTCTCAACCGTCCGTCTGTATGTATCGTTATGCGTACTATCAAGCGCAGTCAAAATAAAAGTATACCCTATAACTCGGCTCGACAATCCTTACTTTTACACTTTTAGCTTTCATGCAGTGTTTGGTGTTGGTATCTATACTCTTGAACTACCGGTAAATGACACTCCTCATCAAATAACAGCAGTCTTACAAATCCCACGAAAGGTCGCTAAATATATGTACTAATTGGAAATGTAAGATCTTCAAGAACACACCACACTGTCTATTCACCGGCAAATCAAATTCAAGCCTTTTAGTAACCCGTGTTGCGGCATAGTACTGTAGTACCACAAAAGAGGGAATTTGATGGGGCCAGACTAGCTATGGGCATTTGGGGATGTAAAGGGGTACTATACTGAACTAGCGAGATCATTTCCACCTTCAACATTCTTGACTACTGTGAGTATCCATATGACTTCAGCAGCGATGGATGATAAAATTACGGTATTTGTCCTTAGGTATCTAAAGATAGATAATCGTATACATAAGTGAAAGAACTGGCGAGATGATAATCTCAAATACAGTAGTGAACTCCTAGATCCGAGTATTCGTGACGATTTCACACTGGCAACACAATGAAAAAAAAAACAATACAGCATCTTTGAAACTCATTATAGATACATAGGCATTGTATACCCAGAATGTCATTATCAGATAGCAATCCTAATATCAAACCAAATCCAATGATAGACATTGACTCGCACAAATGTCTAGTACGATAGCTTCATTCTGCATTTTGGCATCACACTAAATACAACAGGAATTCATGAACCACACGCCCAAATACGAGAATTAGCGGAACAACAATCCCAATTAAGTCCTCCCCATGACCGAATACTCCCAAAAACGCAATAACACCACACTCAGTAGAAACTCCACCTACCTATACTCATTCCAAATCCCACCAGCATAATCTACCCCGTGTCATCCGAGATTATATCATGTATATAAAGAAGCTTGTATTATATGTAGTCTCCCGATGAAATGCCCATTGCCATAATATCTCGCCAGCTATACTTCTTTCAAGCCTGGTAAGTTTTAAATATCATCTATCATATCACCCCAGATACAAATATCACCACTCAATATACTGAGTACACTACAAACATTCATACCCCGAGAAAGCCAACAACAGTCAAACCAAACCATATAATATCATAAATGTAGCAAAGTAATCTCATCAAAAACAACCATATACTCTAGGAAAATCGGGTTTTGTTATTTACTTTACTTGCTGTATCATGTCGTTCGATCTAATCTCAATCTCCCTCCCACAATCCCACCAAAGACAATCTAGTATTCGTCAGAATAGAGTTTTCTAGACCCTAATATACATCTCCATCTTCATTTCCATTCCCAAAACATTCTCCGGAAATTGTAACTTCCAAATATCAGAATTTAGCATACACACCGAGAAACTCGATTGCAGAATGCAGTTTAGGATATACGAAACACGGAGGATTTTACATGGCACATACATAAAAGACATATAAGAGACGAACGGAAGCCACATAAGAACCATTCATTCACGATCACGAAATAACCAGGCAAAGGTATTTAATCATCAATTACAAGGTGCAAAGCGAAAACTCCCCAAATCAAACCCCCGCAGATCCATCTCCAGATTCTCCACTCCTATCCTAATAACCCAATGACCTACCCACCCTTCCCTTACAACTGCCAAACATCACCCTCAGGAGGAACCAAACGATCTTCATCCGCCAAAGTATCCGGTCTACCCAACATCCTACCCTCCTCTCTCTTCCTCTCCAACTCTGCCTCATAAAGGTTCGAAGCCTTGACACGAAACTCCAGCTTATTCGCGCGCCTATCATGATAGGCCTTAATTTGCGCAGTCGTAAGACCACGTAAGCGGTGAAGAGCGGCCAGTTCTCCCATGGTGATCTCGATGCATTTCTGCTGACCCGGAGCCTTCTTGAAACATGTCTTTCGGCCCAAGAGGCTTGGGTAACCGGGGCGAATGTTCATGAGCTCGATCTCTGTCAGCCAGAGGCGATCGATGCAATAAATGCCTCGACTGACGTATGGACGTTGGACCCTCTTGGCTTGAGAAGGGGCAGTAGAAGTAGCAGGAGCAGCAGAGGGAAGAGGTGTACGGTGAGTGGAGAGAGGAGCAGATGGAAGAGGTGTACGATGAGCGGAAAGAGGAGCAGATGGAAGAAGTGTGCGGTGAGTGGAGAGAGGAGCAGATGGAAGAGGTGTACGATAAACGGAGAGAGAAGCAGGTGGAAGAGAGACGCAACGACGGCGAAGGACAGCTTCGCAGTTATCCTGATGTCTCAACATATTGGCGGAGGCGAAGATAATCTTGAAGAACAGTGATTGGCCGACGATAAGCACAAGTTGTAATAGTAAAGGTAAGGTTGACAAGATCGAATCGGACGAACTCGATAATTCCTTTGACGAGGCGAGGTATGACGAGTGATACTACTCGAAAGAGCAGCTATGCTAGATGCTTTGTAATTAAAGTAATTATCGACCAGTAATCTGCTTCGAAAAATGAAATTGTGCCGAAGCACGTCGTGAGAGGCGGTGGAGGAGGGTGGCAGAAGAAGACTAGCCGGTTGGTAATCCTAAACGAACTCGGAAAATTTAACGAGCAGAAGCTCGCAGATTGGAAGAAGAGAGTTGTATAGGAATAGGAGGTCTGTCGGAAAGGAGGCGTGGCGGTGAGGTGGTGGATTGGTAGGGTAGTGGCAGTAGCAGTAGCAGTGGTGGTCGAACTGATAATCCCAGATTTGATAGATCAATCAAAACTCGCAGAGGAGTTGGCTTAAAGGTGAGGCTGGTGTGATACGCGTACCGATGTGTGAATAAAATACGTTATTCGCAAGGACAAAATAACCATGAGCTGTTGTGTTGTCGCTGAAGAAACAAATTCGAGGAATCCGAGATTTGCATGGAAATAATGGCTCATGACCTAAGCGAGGACAGAAAGTGAATCTCCCGCGTTGTGGTCGCTGACCTTAGGTTGTATGCTTCGAACCCTCAAAAGATTTACTTAGTACTTTGATCTGGAAGCTTCCTTTGCGAGCAAGCCCGAATAAAACTGTAAAGAACACTGTGACTTTGAGCCCAGTGAGATCTTGTTCTATCCGCCTTTCCAGTCATACTCGTCCAATTTGTTGTTGAAAGCGTTACTAACGATTTTGAATCTTCAGTCTTCAGAAACCAAGATAGATCGATACTGTTATTTGAATGATACACCCATCATGTATTATATATTGAAAAGTCCTCACTCATCAACGCATCCGGAAACATTGGATCCAGCAACGCATCCCAATTAATTTCCACTTGTCTCTCCAGCTCGGGGCCATGCTGGCCATCCGCATGTTCCAAGAAACCCAGATCCCTCCTCTTTTTCGCCATACTATCCCTCAGCAATACCTTGGCCGTATCGAATGCTTCAAGGGCTAAATGCGTATCCACTATCCGTACGATACTTTCGAAGATATTCAAAACCCAAGATACATTCGAGAGACTTTCGGTGGTGTCGATAGCTAGGAGTACACAGAAGTATTGAAATGTGGTTGATAGGATATTCCACCATGGATGGCCATCACGGGCGAAAGTATCTGCTGCTTCGGCGCCTCTGTTTCCAATATCGATGATGGATTGGATTGCTTCTTTTTCCAATCCCTGTTTCATAAGCCTTAGTCTTCTATAGAAACAAAAACAAACATCCGACTTGGAGAGTGATAGAAATGGATGCTCATCTGGAATTTGGGTGAGTTCTTTCAACCCATCAATAAGTTCTTGCTTATGTGTTGCCGAACTGATGACCATATTATCACGGGGAATCAGTTGGGCAATCTTGATGTGGAATACAGTTTTATCACCCATGCTATCTTTGACAGGCTTGCAAGTTATGCTGTTGAGGATTACCGCAGATCTTCCATATTCATATGAGATGATAGTATGAACAGACCAAGTCATCCAGAAAGTTCTTCTTGCTCGTTCTATTTCTGCTTCATCCATTCTTTTTGCTTGAGTATCTCCTTCTGTAGTTAAGAGCACCGAGTGGACTTCTTGATGCAAGCCTGTAGCCTCAGCCAAATGTAGCGTAATACAGCTAGCAAGCCATGCGACATGAGGTCTAGTAGTTGATCGAAGGTATAGGGTCCGTAAAAGCCATGCATTGATTTGATCAATGGAAGGATGGCGACTAAAGGTGGGATCTTCAAGAACCGTCTTCACATGCTGAACAACATCTAATTCTCGAGGATGACCCAGTCGAAAAGCAAAGAACGATCCCAAAGCCACTACTCCCCCAACAACAGCACCGAACTTCAAATCTCTTCCTTGATTACTCCAATAATCATCACATCGTCTCATGAAATATGGCCAATCCAAAAACCCAAATGGCGCATGTACTGTGGAAAAATATATGTCCGAGTACCGCTTGAAGTCATCATGAGAAACCAATTGTGTTAGATTGGTATGGGCAGATGCAGCTTCCTCTGGTCGAATTCCACAATTCCAAGCAAAAGAATGAAGGGGTGGAGGGTTCGCCGATTGAAATTCCACGCCAAGACTCCGGGGGAAAGCAACCGCAGAATGTTGACTCATGTATCGTGATCTCAGAGGGTCAAAAATACCTTGGTCGACAACATTCTGTGGTGATGTGGATGGTGATTGACCAATTGCTATACTTTGACGTTTATGTGCATGGTTTGTTGTTGTTGACCGTACAACTTCATGCCGCATTTCATTGACACCTGGGAGAATTGTCCGTACATTTGAAAGATTGGGGATGGGAGGGTTGTGTTCGTCCGTGTATCTACAATTGTACCCATAACGTGTACACATTGCACAAGGAAACTCTACATCACATTTTCTCTTTCGTTGTCGACAAGGAATACAAGCTTTCCTGGCCCGTTGACGTCCATGAATTTGACGATCCGGTGGTCCCGATGGTACTATTGATGAAGACTCGTTGATTGATTCTGACATTGCTTGAAATTGAGAACCTCTTCTTCAATTTAACTCGGGGGACTTCCAAGTTGTATCGAAAGAGATGAATTATTTGATGGATACATTTAGATTCAATATGTAATGAGGACGAGGTGAGTTGAGGTTGGAGCAAAAGTTACTTTTCCGGTCCGAGTAACCTTTTAGGCTAGCCGAATAGGGGCTAGTGTCAATATCACTTCTTGATAAAGAAGAAATTTAATCTAATATATATTCTCTTGTAACTTGAATTTCTTTATAAAGAAGAGATCTGATCCTTGATCCATTTCACATTATCATCATTATATGTATTTCTAGAATATATACGGAAATCGTTTCACCATCAACCCTATCAAGTAATTAACAAATCAAACCTCCGCTAACTGCCCCACCTCCAATTTTCTATCCTTCACCCTCTTATTTCTCTCCGAAAATGCGAACAATATCGAACTACACAAGCCCAAACCCGCCAGTCCAATTCCCACATACTGAGCCCCACGATATCCCTTCAAAACATCTTTCCCACCATGATTGACATGGATTTCTACGGTACCAGCAATACCAAGACCGATGGAGATGGAATAATTGACGACGGTGTTGACGAGTGAGGCTGCGAGCCCTTGGTGATCTTTGTGCATGGAGTTGCTTAGCAGGATTGTTGCGGCTGGGAATGACATATCCCTGGTTTTTGTTAGCACTTAACAATACATCTGGAGGGGCTCTGATGTTGTTACTTACATTCCCCAAGGTGTAACAAGAGTCGCAACAAAAGTCTGTGCCCAGTATGTTTGATTGACAGGAGCGGTGGCCATCAAAATTGATCCAAGAAGAAAACCCATCATAGCGATCATCATCACCGTACTAGCTGGGACCTTGCTGAGAATGTATCCCGTTGTCAATGCTGCACATAGTCCACTGATCGATGTGGGTGATACCATTGCTGCACCGAGAAGTGGACTAATGCCCCTCAGTTCCTCCAATATTTGCCAAAAGTAAAAGAGCCAGATTCCGAAGCTGGACCATCCACCTGCAATACATACTAGCGTAAAACCAGTGTGAGAGTTGAAGGCATCAAATGGTAATAATGGGTAGGTCGCACGAGATTCGATGAATGCGAAAAGTCCAAGTATAAGAGCCCCAATAATGAGTATAACATACACATAAACGGTATTCCAACCGACAACCGGTCCCTGATTCCATGAAAAATTCACCAGAACCAACCCAGCGATTCCTGTTAAAGCCCCGGCAGCATCGGCTCGTTTGAACATACTTACCGAAGGATCGTATTGTGGAGGCGGCGTATGTGGGATGACGACGATGCCTATTACAGCAAGCAGAACACAAACCATGGCATTTACCCAATAAGCCCAAGGCCACCAAACAAACTCGGCGAATATAGTTGAGAATACTGCACCGAGAGTAAAGCCTGCGGGAGCTGTGGCACCAAAAAGACTAAAAACCATTTCCTTCTTCCTTCCCGGCTCATATATGCGAGCCAAAATGGCCAAGGCATTTGGTAAGAGAAAAGCTGGTCCAATGCCTTGAAGGGCACGAGCGATATCAAAGAAGATTGCATTTGAGTAGGCGCTAAAACCGGCTAGGAGGGACCAGAGTGCGAACCAAAAGAAACCAGCTGTGAAAAGAATCTTGTGCCCATAAAGATCTCCTAGACGTCCGGCAATAAGAATGAAAGTACCGACTGTCAGTGAGTATGCAGCAGCAAACCAACCTTTGAAACGACCATTAGTAAACATTGAACATCAAACACGAGTTGGAGGAACTTACTCAGTTGTCCAGGATTTGTAGTCCCAAAACTATCCCCAATAATATGTAGAGGGGCGATGGCTTGTGCTAACGCAGCCTGTGTCATGAGTTGAGCCATACATATTACTGCGATGAAAACAATTTCTCGAGGGCGTGAAGTAAAATGTTCAATCTTGCTCTGAACAAGCTCAAGGGAATTTGGATCGATAACCACTGATCTAGATTTAGTCTTCTCAAGATTGAGTGGCTTATGACCGATCATCTCGGCTGAGGAAGAGGACGATAACGGAGACTGCATCTCAATTCTTTACGAGAGTGGCAATAACATCAATCCGAGGGGGGGTATGTTTTGGTCTCGGGTCAGTAGATTGTGGAATTCGAATAACCGGTGTCCTTTTTATTCATGCGGTTGATGAAGGAAGAACTTCAATATTGTTTACAGTCCTGTGTCCCGGTATCTATATCTATATCCCGTCGGAGCAGCAAACGGAACCGATCAAGTAGCGATCGGGGTAATTGCGGATTAGGAACTTCAACGTGGCGGAGATAGACACCAAACTATAATTAATGTCTAATACTGTAACTGAAATCTCTTGGAAGAGTTCTAGAGGCATTGAATCAAAATAAGAATGAATTGTAAGAATTTCATAATCATTTCTTCTCCCTTTTTGCTGCATTGAATGTGGAACTGAATATGGAATTTGGGTGGATTCACCAATTAGGATTTCAATCTTGTTGCATAAGACGTAAGGGTATGTATGAATGGTAGTATTCCGCAACATCCGATCCGCACGGAAAATTGAATAAAATAAAGAAGGGTAAAAGAGAACAGCCTGAGAACATGAGATATACATACCGGTACTGGTCTTAAACGGATAAATCTCCGCGGAATTCCTTTCCATATTCCGAATCCCCACTTCGGCTAATCTTACCTATGCCCGCTTGCCCGCTTGCCCACCTGACCTCTATAATGGTCTAAACTAACAGGCCGTCCATGATTTCCCAATTGGTTCTATCTGTTGGGTGTTTACCTATACGAGTATTGATACTGGAAATTACCGATATGCCAATACTACTCAAGTAAGATGATTACCAGTATTTGATTGATTATACTCTACAAAGTTGGTGCCTAGCAAATCTCTTCAAACACCTCATAATTTGATGCTTGAAGAAGAACGTAAGCAAGGAACCTAAATAGCAAGAATGTCTCAACTCCCGTACGCCACCAGCTTTCCTAATATCAAAGCATATCATGCTAGTAAGCCCAATCCCCTCCTACTCGGATCTCCTTTTTGGCGCCAGAGAACAATTTATAAATGTAATGTGCAATACTGTACACATCAAGCAAGAAATGTTTATAGCCCGATTTTAGTGGCATGATCCTCGCACAACAAAGAAGATAATCCTACCTTACTCATCTCCCCTCGAATATTCTAATTTCCTCTAAACAGAAACTGCATATCCTCTGGCGTTAGGTTTTCCATCGCACTCTCATCGGCATTGATAGTACTATGAATCATATTTGCCTTTTTCTCTTGCAACAACACCATTCTACTCTCAACACTATCCTCAATGCATAATCTAGTAATGCTGCATGGTCTGGCTTGTCCAATTCGGTGACATCTATCCGCACTCTGCCACTCCGCGGCTGGATTCCACCATGGGTCGACAATGAAGACTTTGCTGGCTTCAGTGAGGTTCAGTGCAACACCACCCGCCTTTAAGGAGACGAGGAAGCATTCGACGTTGACATCGGTCATGAAGTGATTGATAGAAGCTTGACGTTGAGCGGGTGTCATGGAACCATCAAGCATGACAGTTGTGATACCTGCGCGACGAAGACGCCATTCTACGAGTTGGAGCATCGTGGTAAATTGAGAGAAGATAATAGACTTGCTCGAGGAGTTTTTGGATCGAAGTTGATAAAGATCGTGGACTAAAGCTTCAATTTTCGATGATGAGGTCCAGTTTTCCATCTTGATGCGGTTGATAATGGAAGATTTTTTGACTTGTACTTCATCTTGTTCGATTGCAGGCTGTTCCAGGTCGATGGTTAAGGGAATGTGGCATTGAGGACAGTCGGGAGTTTCTGTCAAGTTAGTAACAGACCATCAAGAGAATGAAGAAAACTTACCGGAAGATCTCAAATAGTTCTTGGCACATTCTCGACAGAAATCATGACGACATGCAGATTTGATAGCTTCCTCTGCAGTTTCATCACAGATACAACAAACAAGAATGTTTTGACCCCCCTCGCCATTCTTCTTTAAAATCAAATCAGGATGGTCAGCAACCTGACGCATCTGCATGATAAGACCAAAGATATTGGCGTAGTTGTTGAGCAAGACACCTTGAGCGACATATGTTTCAAACTTCCGAGCACCATTATTCATGATACTACCAGCGAAATCATTCTCCTCTTCGCCAAAGAACTGACGGTCGACGTAAATTTCCTTCGCAGGGAGCTCCATGGCAGATGAGTGATCACGCTTGACCCGACGAAGCATAAATCTATCAGTCAATATTCGAAGCTTTCGGAATGCCTCTTTCCCAGCACCGTTGTTACCAAACTTCTGAATAGGATTGAGTAGCTCTTGGTTGAATACCGAAACATGCTGCATGCCACTGTGGTTACAACCGTTGCAACGATTTTGACTATTCATATCCCATTCGAGAGTCGAACAAGGACATTGTTTGCAGAAATAACATGCGAAAGGTCGAATATCGAGGAATCTAACGAGGGAAAAGAATTCACCAATACGATTTTGCAGAGGTGTTCCAGACAAGCACCATTTATGACTTGCCTTGAGAGCAAAGCATGCTTTGGCCGAGCCAGAAGTGCGTGACTAATAAAGAGTTAGTAAAAGGCAGATAATCCAGAGTATTAAACCTTACTTTGATACTGTGTGCTTCATCAAGAATAACCCGATGAAATTTGATCTCGTGCATTGCACTCTTCTCCTTATAAATACCATCCTTACGCTTGAATCCTTTCTCTTGCTTTCGGTACATGGACTCCAAACTGTTGTATGACATGAGAATGACGTTGTACTTTTTTAATTGCTGGACAGTGATACCCTTTGCTTTAGCATTGCTACCGTGGAATATGAAGGTTTTCAAGGTACCATCAGTATAGTCAGCAATCTCCTGCTGCCATTGCATGAGAGCAACGGGGGGAATCAGAACGAGTGAAGGCTGCTTGGCAGGGAAATCAGACATGATCAAAGAAACAGCTTGAATTGTCTTTCCCATGCCCATTTCATCTCCCAATAAACCTCCACCCCAAGCGGTCTTTTCCATTGCCTTCATCCATCCAACACCTTGAAGTTGAAAAGGCTTCAGTTCGCGATTGATGTTTGTTGGCTGTTCAATCTTGCAGTCTCCAATCTTAGGAAGATCCTCTAATTCCTTCCACATGGTGTGTAATTCAGGATGATGAAGCTCCAACCTCGCACGTTCCTTTTTTGCTCGTCCGCTAGATCTTTCTTCGAGATTATTGATCATTTGGCGAGCATGACGAGCATGAAAAGCATCGTATGCACGAGAGCGAGAGGGTGAATGTTGGCTTCCAGCAACAATCGGACCTTCATCATCAGATGTATCAGTTCCAAGCATAGAATCGTCATCGGTATCAAATGGACTGCCGTCTGACATAGAAGAAGGAAGATCTGTAAGAGTAGATCTAGCATTGGATTCCTTGGTATCCTCAGACTTGAGTTGTGGTATGGATGGTTCGACTTCCTTTTTGATCAAGCTCCTCTTACGTGCTGATCCTGTCTTGAGGCGATTTTGGAAATTTTGAGAGTGTTTCTGAATAATCTGTAGAACTTGGGTTGAGTTTTTCTTGATTGGACTTTGTTTCGCAATAGATGAAGCTACAGGAAAACCCGAATCTGAATCGATGGCAACAAAATCATCATCGTCATCTGATTCATATCTACTGGCTTTGCCTCGTTTTGGAGTTTTGAAATTGACAGCATTGGAAGTACTCGAGAGTTCAACCTTTGGCTCAATCTTCACTTTTTTAACCACATGAGAGACCTTAGTATCAAAAGAGTCATCATCGTCATCGTCCTCGCTGAAATCGGCATCGAAGGTCAACTTGATCGGCTGAACATTGCGTGAAGTTCTTCTTAATCCTGGGGAAGATGTGGCCACAATTGAGGTCGGTGCTGTATATTCCTGTTCCTGCATGGCACGAGCAAGCTGGGCATCTGGTGTATTATCATCATCCAATTTTTCATTCTCAGATTCGACAAACTTTCTCTTCTTCATGGGGTTGAGGGAGTACATGCTATTTTGAAGTGCTCTGGCCCTAGCAATTGCGCTGACGGTAGAAGTGCTTTGTAACGGGTTTGTAGTTTGAGTCCGGCCTCTTCGTGTAGAACCAGTTGTAGTTGAAGGTAAAAGGGAACCTCTCGTAGTCGCGGGGGTTGCAAGACCACTAGTCTCTGGAGTAGAATAGTCACTGCCTTCATTGTAGTCGTTACTGGTAGAAACGGAGGATAGAGATTCGCGAGATTCCACCGGTTTGCCCTTTCCTTTTTCTGTAGACTTCTTTGCACTTATGTATTCGACAATCATGGAAGGAGATGGCAGATCCGACAAGGAATCGTCGTCATCACTATCAACAATGACCAAAGAGGGTCTCGAAGTAGGGTTTATCCGAGGTACAGGAAAGGAAAGTTCGTCAAGAGCTAGATTGGACCCTTGCTTGGCAGCTACTTCGAAGAAGTTAGTACAAGGAGCAGACCAAAATGGGGTTGACCTATATTTAGGGAAGAACTTACCAGATATCCGAGAACTTGTCCGACTACTTCCAATGCTACTGTTTTTTTCTAATTTTGCAACTTTTCTCGGTCTACCTCTCAATCTTCCAGTTGTTGGTGCCATGGTTTGAGTAATTCAATTTTGATAAAGAGGAAGTATGGTGAGAAGGAACAAGGGTGATGCGATCACGAAGGGGGATTACCAGATTGACAACGCGGTCGAATGAAAGGGAAAAAACGATAAATTGAATCTGAGGGTTTGAATGAATGAATCCCCAGATGATGTATATCGAACCTAAAAGATTATGCAGGTATGATGAGGGAGTTGGAGAGGATGTTTAACTATTGAAAGGGTTTCGAAAGGGTAGGGCGTAGGGCGTAGGGCGAGATAGATGCCGAGATAGATGGATGCATGGAACTTGTCGAATCCTAACCAAGCCAGCCTTCCTTATCTTGATAATGCGACCAAATCAATGAGAATTGTCTACAAGATCAAAGAACGAAGGAAATACGAGTAGAAGATTGAAGAAGAAAAAAGATGAAGTTATTCACAATCATTCACCTGCTTAACAAAACAAAGTACTGTTGTTTCAAAGAGAAAGAGATTGAAATTGAAAAAGTTATAAATTGCCACCAGGAGAGGAGATAATAAGGGAGGGTGAAAGACGCGCTCCATAAATATAAATTAATAAAAACACCAAGTCATGTGATTATTTTAGACAGCAATTGAAATTTGATTGGTGGATTTGAAAGATTTGTTGGTTTTTAATTGATTAGATAATCTGAATGACAACAAGCCATTCGCGTTATCGGCGGGTTCACTTTACGCGGGATACAGATGGGAGGAGGGATGGGATGGAAGGCGAAAAGGAAAAGAGAAAGAGAAAGAGACTTTGAAATGAAATAAAATAAAATAAAATAAAATAAAATAAAATAAAATAATTGAAGCAATTCAAATTCATCTAATTCATTCTTTGTACTCTACTCTAATTCACGTATTCTTTGATGTTGGCGTGGATACAATTCCTATTTCTGGATACAAAGACACTCACTCACTCACACAAAGATTACATTCAATTTGCATACATCGGATTCTCCGACACGACATTGAAGGAATTTACCTCAGAATCAAGGAAAGATGTATGCTTTACATTTCTATCTTACTTCCATTTACTTACTTTACTATCTGCTAACTATGATATCGCAGGAATCCTCCTCCACCCCCTCCACCTAGAAGATCTATCCGTGGACCGTAAGCTTTCCTTTTACTCAACCTTCGAGGTTCCAGATCCAGATATACTGATATAATCATAGTCAATCCGCCTTGACCGATTTCCTTGCAGTACGATATTAATTCCTACCTGAATTTAAGGCGTACCAGTCAATTACTGACATTACATTTGCACAGTCTCATAATATCAGTGCGAACCAAATCCGTCAAGATGCAAATGCGCGTCGAGCTGCTGCACTCGCCTCACAACAAACCACTGAAGGAGACGAAAATGAAGATGAATCGACATCTGCTGCACCAGAAATGGCTACACTCACCCGTTCCCGCCGAAATGAGAGTGAAGGACAAAAGAATAAGAGAAAGAAGGATGAAGAGGTATGCATGCGATTCGTTCTGGGTTTAAATCGGTGGCTAATAAACCCTCAGAAAGCAATTGCCAAGATCAAAGCCTCTAAAAGATTTCAACGCCGAAAAGTATATGGATCAGATGAGGATGTCTCCGACGAAGATGAAGCTGCTCTTCGCTTGTTCAACGAAAGCATGGCCCCTTTGCCAGATCAAATGGAGAATTGTGAGGTTTGCGAGAAGAGATTCACAGTCACAGCATATAGTCGAGCTGGTCCAGATGGAGGTCTTCTTTGTCCGCAATGTACAAAGGACTTGAACCAGGAAGAGGGACAAGTCAGGAAGAAACGAAAGACTCAAGCGGGTGCGCAGAGAAGAAAGATTCAGAGCAATCTTCTTGATGGTGTATATCCAGGCGCAAAAAAACCTCATGACCTTGTGTATTGAGACTTTAGCAAAAAATGTCGACATGGCCGAGGATTTGGGAGATCTACCGGAACCACTTATGGATAAATTGTCTGCCATACTCTCCAAGAGACGACTTTTGCGTTCCAATACCTTGGACTTGTTCCTTCAGAATGGCCGAGAAGTCGTCACCGTCTATGATGGAGCATACTTGACCCCAGACGATTATATACGAATTTTCCAGGTCGTACCAACTATCAAATCCCTACGTATTCGATCCGGTGTCCAATTCAAAGACAAAGTCATGGATCACCTTCTTGCAACTACTGTCAAACTCGAGCACCTCAGCCTATCTGGCAGCAATCTCATCAGCGACGACTATTGGAATCGTTATTTCACCGAGAAAGGTTCACATCTTAAATCTTTTAAGATTTATTACACAGATGGTCAATTTGGCGATGATCAAATAGATGTGATCGCAAAGACTTGTCCAAAACTGACTCGTCTTAAAATCTCCCACAATCAAAAAGTTACCGACGCAGGTATATCTCACATCTCCCGTATCTCCACTCTTCAACACCTCGGACTCGAGATCCAAAAGACCAAAATCTCAACTCCTTATGTTCAAATCCTTGACAGCATCGGACCTCAACTTCGCACTCTTTCCCTTGGCCGCGTCCACGAAATAGATGATTCGATTCTCAACGCTATCCATGACAACTGTCAAACCTTGAACAAATTGCGCATTACCGATAACAGCGTCATGACAGATGCAGCCTTCGCACACCTATTCACAAACTGGTTGAACCCACCCCTATCCTTCATCGACCTCTCCAAAAACCGCCACATCGATGCCGCCGTCCCCCGTGATAATCCCGACAACATAGGTCTCTGCTCTCTAGGCTTCAATGCCCTAATGGCTCATTCAGGTGCCACACTTCGCTACCTAGATACCAATTCCTGCCGTCATATCTCATTACAAAGTTTCGAAAGTGCCTTCTCAGCTGAGAAAATATACCCGGAATTGCAAGAAATGAATCTTTCTTTCTGTCAGGAAGTCGATGATTTCGTTGTAGTCAGTATATTTAGAACGTGTCCGAAATTGAAGAAGTTGATTATATTTGGTGATTTCAAGGTGAAGGATGTCAGGGTTCCGAAGGGAAGAATTTTGATTGGAATGCCGAATGCGATGGGGATGCAGATTGAGGGGACTGGGGTGGATGAGGGAGGTGCTGGGCAGAGTTCTTGGTGAGTATACAGTAGAGGATTTGGGTGTAAGGTTTGAGGTCAGATGATGGGTGGTTGCTATGAGGTCTCAAATGGGGTTAAATGAGTCGTAGATTTAATTTCTGACTTGACTGGATGTATGGTGTTTACTGAATGGCTGAACAGGGATGGCTGGCGATGGGGTATAGGAGAGGAGCTATGAATGAATGAATGATCTCATTCGTCTCTCCGACAAGTACTTTCTTTTACCTGTGGATATTCGCAGCTATGTGGTGAGAATAATAAATTAGCTTCGCTTCTTATGACATGACTAGATTAGACTGTCATACTTGTAACTCAAGTGCTGGAGTACTGGAGTAATAACAATGTCAAGACTTTATTTATCATCTACTACATTCATCAGGGAGGAGAGGTGGGGGGGGGGGGGGTGAGGGTGTACAGTAGCTAGCTAGTAGTTAGCTAGCTCATATAATAACAATCATAATAACCATACCGGTAGATAAATATACAAATACAGAAACAAATGAAATGTGAAACTTATAGTAAGATCTTACTTCTCTACTTACTAAGAACTAAGGACTTAGATAGGTAGAGAAGAGAGAATAGAGCAATTGGAAAAAAGAGAGAAAAAGTGAGCGAAGATATAGTATGAACATACTCGAGTAGATGCGCTTTATGAGATAAGGTTGGTTGGTAGTAATTAGGAGTAAGTAAATATACTACTGTGAAGTTATCATCTAACAATAATCATAAACTATAATAGGAGTGGAATACTCGAGTAGGTTGGTAGGTAGGTAGGTAGTTAATCAAGTGCTTATTTCTACTTGGAGATAGATATAGGCTTCGATATCCTGTAAGGTTAAGAGTACTCAAATCGATATCTAATCCTGCAGCGTCTCTCCGTTGGAGGAGGAAAGGAGGGAGGGAGGGAGAAAGGGAGCTATATTTAGAGACTTACTACTACCAGACAACCACCTTCCATGATATAATATAATATAACCTCAAATCAAATCAACATCTTAAATGCATTCATTGTTCTTTAGTTCATTATATAAACCACCTACACTCAGAATACTCATACTCATATACATAACAGTTGCTCGAGAAGAGAAGAGAAGAGAAGAGAAGAGATTAAATACACATGCTTGAATTAAAAGCTTGGATCAAAAACTTGAATTAAATAGAAGTAAAAGATGGAGAACACTATAGTGTAGTGAAATTATGAGTTTAGGGGTATGAGGTATTAGGTAGCGTTACACTATTGCTGTGCTGAGAATGGAAGGGAAAGGAAAGGAAAGATTATAGGGATTTGAGGGTATGGGTAGATTATATACTCGAATACTGTATGTATAGTACTCGAGTACATCACATCATATTCACATTGACAGAACTACAAGATATTGGATCATTATACTAGCACTATAACGAGCACTTGGTAGCGTAGCGTAGTCTGTAGAAAACAACATAAATGGAAACACATTCTCTAATATATTTATCTACAGTAGAGAAACCATAAGTCGAGTATCCAACGCGAGGATCTAGCTGTTAACTTTTTTCTTACCTTTTGTACCAAAATGGGCATTTCATTTCAATTCCAACAAAGAAATTAATTTTTCATCTCCACATCACTTTCCTCTTCACTACCATCCTCATCATCCATTTCTTCGTCCTCATCTTCGTCATCCTCATCCTCATCCTCATCATCATCTTCCGGTGCAGCTAGCCCGTAATCATCTTCAAAGCTTGAGAGAGTGCGTACTTGTGTTTGGAAGTTGAGGGATTGGAAGTTTTTTACTATGGCCTGAGGTTTTTTTGGTTAGCATAGAGTCTTTAAAGGGCAGGAAATAAGTAAGATCGCGGAAGTGGGTATGTGAGTGAGAGAAACATACCTCTTCCATACTTGGCGCACAAGTAACAAAAACATTGCTCATCCCCGGCTCAAACGTTTTCAACAAAACATCTTTCATAACCCCTCTAATTTCCTCCCTCCCTACATCCCTAACTTTTCTCAACATCTCTTCATTGTGATTTTCGGGCAACCCCTTCATAGCTCCCTTGACAAATTTATCTTGTCCAGCTTGATCCATTGTAATTTGGGTATTGACAACTTCAACCACTATATCACTAATAGCCGCTTCGAGCGCTGCATCTTCCAATTTCTTTTCACCCGAAATATATTCCTCGAGGATTTTCTTGCCGGCAGCAAAGGCACGGAATACATCGGGAGAGCGATAGATACTGAATTGAACAAAGCCAGTATCTAGATCGTTGTGGAATGAGGCTCCATACCCCAGACCTGTTCCACGAATAGCGGTCCACAGTGGACCTTCCACGGCACGAAGGAAAGACAGAGCTACGCGGAGTGCTGGGAGTTGAGGATCTGTGTAGGATTTTGGACCGCGAGAATTAGTTAGGAGGAATGAGGAGTCACAAGTAGGCATTGGGATGATGATGGCGCCTGCTTGACCGGGATTCTGTCCATCGTGGGAGAGGAGTGTGTGTTGTTTCCGAATGGGGAGGAGATTTGTTTCAGGTGTAGGTCTGTCGAGAGAATAGATGAGGGGATCCCAAGCTTGGACTGGAGATGAGAGTTTATTGATATCTGCAACGACGAGGGCTCGGATGTTGTTGAATTTAAAGATGGATTTACGGAGGGATTCGAGCCAGCCTATGACGGTTTCGGGTTCTTTCTTGAGAAGTTTCTTGAGACGCTTCATGTAAACCGATTTTACAAGAGTAGTTCTTGCTTTCATGCTCGATTCGTTGGACATGTGGAGCATACCTTCGGCGGTGTAAAGCATGTTATTACCATCACGTTTATTGTCGGGAATATCAGCGAGAATTTTGGTAATGGCAGCGTTCAGACGGGTGGCATCGAATATGCTATCAAACATCATGCTGCGAATCCACTGGATGGCGGTTTCGTACTTCTCTCGCTCGACTCGGAATTGAATCATGAGTCCTTCTGCATCGCCTAGACTAGAACCTCCTCTCATCTCGTAATTGATAGTGTCATGTTCAAGTTCTGTAACGACTTGCTCAAATTCTACCCGTTTCCCTTCGCGAAGAATGGGTGTATCGAAGAAATTGTCTATGAATAGACTAAGGAGGGGTTTATGCTCCAGAGGAATCTCTGCAGTACCAAAATGCAATGATATGTGAACGAAATTTGTTGGAACATGCTCAAATTGCAAGAACAACGGAGTTTCAGAAGCTTGCGAATCAATGACCTTCTGAATGTCATTTTTAGGTGCACCCAGTTTCTTAGCTAAGCCAGACCTTGCGGTAGTCGATTTGTGAAAATGAATTGAATCGGTTCCAGGGACGGAAAACTTCTGTAGAAGTGAAGCTGGTATCTCGGCATCATTCTTAGCAATTGCTGCCTTGAGTTTCGCTGTCAGCTTTTCGAGTCCTTCTGGTCCCAATTTTCCCTTTCGCTCTGCAACTCGAATTTCTTCGTCTTTCTTTATTTTCTTCGACATCTCTTCAGAGGGAGTTCCCAGTAAAGACACATGGGGTGCATCGACAATCCATTTTCTCAAGATGTCCTTCCATTGTTGCTCACTCCATTTACCAATAGTATCAAACTCCGCGTGTGTACCTAACTCCTTCAACGTAGATCCATCCCTCTTACCAAAAAGGAAGTCGTTAATAATGGCTTCAGCATAGAAACGCTGCGAGCTCTCGGCCTCGAAGTTGCATTGCCTGCGTTCTCTTTCTAAACAATTCTTCATGTATGCCATATCCAGAGGATTTTCCGCAGTCTCTCTGAGAAGTTCAAATAAACGTTTCTCTACGAATGCAAGTTTTTCAGTCTGTACTCCAGTTGGTTGAAACCAAATCACGGAATTTGGTCTAGCGTCCCACCAGTATGATATCGAACTCGCAAGCTCTTCTTTCTCGACCATAACATTCTCAAGAACCGAAACGGAAGATCCAGCGAGATACGCAAGCAGAACGTTAAGAGCAGATGTCTCTACAGAATCCTTACAATCAGGACCAAACATACCAACCCAAATCTCTCCCATTGACTCGTCTTCCTCGGGGAAGTTTACAGTCTCTACTATGGTTTTGGTAAGTGCTGGCGGTTGAGCTGAATCCACCCATGGTCTATATACGTCAGGATATCATTCAACACGAGACTGGTCGCACGTACCTCTTGAATGGAGCAGTTGGAGTTGGAATATCATCCAGAATACCCTCTTCAAAGTTGTCTAGTATCTCGAGCAATTCCTTCTGATCAACTTCACCAATCAAAATAAGGCAAAGATTTTTAGGCTGGTACATCTCCTTGTGAAATGCACGAATTCGCTCTGGGGTTAAGATACGTAGATTTTCCATCAAGCCACCAGTTTCATAACGGAAACCAATATTTTCGGGATAGAGAAGCTGTCTCGCACGTAGGTCCATAATATCAGAACCTGTGTTCTGTATCCCTTGCATTTCGGAATACACCACACCTGCATCGTTACCTTCACCATCAATATGATGTACTTCGGTGTAGCACCCCTCCTCGGTAAGTGTTGGCAAGATCAAGTGCTCAAGGTAAACAGGGAGAATCTGAGCAAATCCTTCCCATCCTGCTGTTTCTAACGTATAGGCAGTATGATCCGTAGCGGTCCATGCGTTAGTATTAGAGTAAGCTCTAGTGGCAAGTTTATCGAGTAAGCCTTTATACTGGTAACTTTTTGATCCCATGAAGCAGAGATGCTCCAAGGTATGTGGAGATCCAGAATCGTCGAAAATCTCCGTGGCCAAGGCAAAATATCCATTGACTTGAGGTCCCTTCTGATCAACCACGACAACATTCATACCAGTACGTTCAGAGACATATTGGGTGATCTTGGTAGGGGCATAATCAGTTTTGAAATTTTGCACCGTACGGAAATGAGTTTTCTTCGTTTGACTTGGCATTTTGAAGGAGTTGGGGTTCCAAAAGTTAATCAGCTCTCTTCCAGAAGAATACCTGGAATTACGTTAGATAGAGGTTCAGAAAATGAGGTGCAGCCACATAAAGAGTCATGTGTCAAATTCTTATAATTTGAGATTCAATAGATTTCGAGGAAAGAAATTCACATGAATTTACAAGGCAGAAAATTTTCTTGCAAGGTAGTTGAATCAGATAATGATTATCATCATGTAAATGACGAAGGCTCGTCCGTACAATGCCAGATTTGCAAATGGACAGGAGAAAATGAAAGAAATTTTGGATTAAATTGGAATAGTACAGCAAAGCATACCAGGTTGAATAGACCGCTTGGTAAAGGACAACACCAAGTAAAGGAACGATAGCAATTGTCATACCGGTATACCACGATTTGCCGGGCACATTATACCCCGCCATGAAGACCATTGATACTGAGACCAACAAAGAAGCTACTTTGTAGAATATAAAGACCTTTGGGGGAAAAAGAGTTGGTGTTGAGGAGAACAATGTGAATCTTAGAGAAAGGAATTTGGTACTATTGGCAAATATTGTCGTACCTTTGTTGGTGTTTTTGGTATCCCAGCCTGGTCCAACGAGAAAACTGACGAATTGAGGTCGCCAGGGGAGATGAGAAGAAGCCTCCAACTAGGTAGAGAGGCGGAATTAATATATATCACCTCGAATGTAAAGGTCTATTGGGTATTTAAGTCTCAAGTAAAGATTTTGAAGGTATTGGTACGAGTAATGGTGGATGAATATAAATATATGTGAAGAGGATGCAATAAGTGGAAAAGAAGTACTTTGGCGCTGGTGAATTATGATTGGTTAGATAACCTTGCCGCCAACGCTATTGCTAGTCTAAGGCTAATCGCTAACCGCGCGATTAAATATTATTCTACTTAGTCATCAGATTAGTCATCAGATCAGATAAACGTTACCCGTCAAAGTCATAGCTCCTGATTCCATGGCTGCCATAGATATTCTTCGGACAAATTATCTATAATCTTCTACTCTACTCTACTCTAGCAAAATTTCGGATGTATGAAAATTGCGTCAATATAATAACGGCGAGGTGCTAATGAACAGAATCTACTGTCCATCATTCATTTGACAACCGCCTTTCGAGATACTTTTGGACAAGATGGCTTCGACAATGCCTGTTGATCAAGTTGGCAAGACTCTCATAGATTTTACTATGAATGGAGAAATTCCAGACGAGGCAGTCTCTGCATCCATAATCGAGAACGAAGCTCTGCCAGCAGCCATGAGAGCTCTGAGTCAGGCTAAACTTTCTCTCGAAGTGAGCCTTTAAAACCCCCAATACTGCCAATCAATGCTGTTATTTTACCTGCTAATTATACCCTTTGGCAGACAGAAGTTCGTCAAATTAGTAGTGAAAGCGCTTCTGACGTTGACACATGGATCAAACATGCCGAAGCCCTCCGGGATGATATCGACAAGTCAAGGAAAATAGCGAATGAAATCGTTCAACAAGCAACGGCGGACGAAGCCCGCAACACTGATGTACAAAACCACGAAAACCATGTTGAACTTTTGGTGAAAGAAATTGAGTTTAATGCACAACTGATGGAATGTTTACAAGACATCAAGCGTGCCAATGATTTCCTTGACAAAGCTGCGGAGGAGGCGGACAAAAATGAGAGCTACGAGGCTTTACAGTCACTCATTGTTGCAGGCAACCTGATTATAGAAATTCCAGCGGAAAAGAATGTGAGAGCGATGCGACTTCTGGACGCGCGATACTATGGCTTAAAAAGTTCTATCAATGAACAGCTCAGCACGATCCGAAAATCACTGATATGTGTCCAGCCCGGAGAAGCTTCCCTCACGATTCATAAGGAACTCATTGGCATTTCAACGTCTTTAAAAGATGTTGCGGAAGGGTTAGTGAGATTCAAAGAGCTTGATAAGTTTGGTAAAGATTTATGGGAGCAGTTGTATGAAGCTATCATACAACGTCGGATTGGCCTGAATTCACCATCTTCTCTTTTCAAAATAGATATTGAGAATAACACACTCCGGGTTACCGAGAAGCGAGCAGATCCTAAAATAAAATCCATGTTTCAGGATATTTCAAAAATCATTCACTTCCTAGATCAGAACTTACCCGAGCCGATGGTAAAGTCCTTGTCTGCGGCAATGATGCCAGATCTGTCTAAAATTATAATTGGGACGTGGCTAGAATTATCTGTACCAACTTCTCTAAACGAAATGGTCGACTACCAGAAAGCGCTAGCTCAAGCCCATCAATTTACTGAAATATTGGAATCTTTGAAATGGCCAGGAGCAGAGGAATTTCATGATTGGGTTGCCGACGCCCCTAAAATTTGGTTGACTAAGAAGAGAGAAACATCACTGGACCGAGTTCGTAATGCATTAGCCCTTGGTATGTGCATCTCACCCTCTCCATGACTACACATAGATCCGCGTCTTTTTTGTTTGTTTCTTTCGTACTAATGGAACATAATGTTAGGTGTTGGCCCGCCTCTTGAAGCTGCACGTGTGGAAACTCGCATGGTCACCAAGGATGATGGTATGCATGTTGCTTCAAGTGGCGAGACGGTGAAAGACAATTGGGGCTGGGGCGATGAAGAGGAAGAGGAAGAAACTCGCCCTGTAAAAAGATGCCGAGCTTCTTTTGACGAGGAAAGAAGGGCGAGCTCAATCTCCATTCCCCCACTTCGGGACGATGATCTTCAGATCGATGAGGAAGATGCTTGGGGTTGGGGAGATGATGATAACATTGCTGTTGAATCGCCCTCCGATAAACGTCCACCACCAATTCCCGCCGTACCGAACACTCCTGCCAAGACAAACAATTCAGCAGAGAAGCGTAACGTCACATTGTCCGAGAAGTATTGGACATCATCCATGCCAGCTGCAATCTTTAACCACATTGTCACTATCTATGAAGATGGTGCCAAATTGATGCAACCAGAGTACGTAATTCTAATCTCCAAGTCAAAAGCCTGGCAATCCCTAACTTTGCAAAGTCACGAATTAATTCCAGTGTCACCTGCCGCTGGTGGCTTGTCCAATATCCCTATCTTAATTCTAGCAATGTATCGTGCGGTATCTCCATGTTACTATGCCGACGATCCAAAAGGAAACATGTAAATTTCAACACTTCCAAACCTCGTGTAACATTCTCACTAATCTTAATACAGGTTTTCATACAACGATGCTATGTGGTTGGTTGATAACATAAAAAGTTTCTCCGCAAAATGGCATATGCGAACAGACTTATCACCTCGAGCATTGAATCTGGTCAAGATCGATTCGGAGATTGGATCTCTTGAAAGTTTCGGAAAGAAATCCTACAAAAACGAAATGGACACACAACGCACAATCTTACACGACTTACTTGGTAGTAAGTGTACATAACCATTATTCCACAACTTTACTAACATTGTCTAGGTTCTCAAAATTTCGTGTATAATGACAGTGAAAACGCAATTCGTGCCGTCATCAGTCATATCAACCAACAATCTGCCTCTTGGAAAGAAATACTTCCATATTCGACTTGGGCATCAGCTGTTGGTACGCTAGTCAATACAGTCGCCACCAAAATTATCAACGATGTTTTTGAACTCACAGATCTTGGAGTAGATGAAGCCGAAAGAATAGCATCCCTAATCCAACAAGTCAATTCACTGGACTCTCAGTTCAGAACTAATGAAATCGGAACTTATGCAGATAATTGGCTCAAGATGCAATTCCTGAGCGAAGTTCTACAGAGTAATCTGAAGGATATCAGGTTTCTGTGGTTTGAGAGCCATCTTAGTTTATATTTCTCAAAGGATGAGGTGCGTGACCTGATTGAGTTGAGCTTTGAAGACAATGTCAACTCGAGATCGTTGATCAAGGATATCAAGGAAAAGCCGGTGCCAGACGTTGGGAGTTTTTAGGGTACCAGAACTTAAGCGGAAGGATGATGCTCGAGTTCATCATGATAAGAACATAAGGCTTTTTGAGTAGAGTTTTATACTCGAGTAGATACCCTTCACGTTCCCAGATGTTGTGTTATTTTTATGCAATTTAAGTGTAAGTAGTTTAGTATGCCAGTGCATCTGGAGTTTTTTGGAGCACACTCTTCTTATATGTTTTAGGCATCATGCTCTGTGTCTACTAGCTAGCACGATAAGTCATTCATAGACCTCATATATGATATCTAGATCTTCTATAGAATTTGACTCTTTAGTTACCATAATATGAACCTGCAGTATCCATTACACTGTCAATATTATCTAGAGGTCTCTGAGTCTCTCGATTGATTTGAACAGGTAAAGTCTCTTGGAAAAAGTACATGATTGGAACTCAGTAAGAGTTAGTTTTGCATAAAAAAGTCCGAATACAATGGCATTGTTGATTACAATGGAAGAGGTTTCTTATGCTACAGTAAAAAGATGATAATGGACGGGCTATGATTGATGGATGTCTAAAGTTGTGAGTGAATAGTCATTGTTGTTAGGAGGCTTTTCCTTTGGAAAAGTGTAAACGAATGAATATCATAGGTTGACATGTAAATATCAACAATACACACAAATACCTTTGGCTAGTAAACAATCAAGAATAGACTCATTCAAACATCTTGCTCTGCACTTACACATCTTCAAATTCGACTTCATAACGTTTAATAAATTCCCTTTGATTCCAAACAATCTTCACCAATATCTCCTCGAATCAACGCTCTCAAATCAAGCTTTCAAATCAAGCAGCCATGTCTGGCAACTTTATAACAAACCCATTTCCATCCTCATTAGATGGAATCGAGCAGGTTACTGCCGTGATCGAGGAATTTGGCCAAGATATCGGATTTGGACACGATGTGGAGAACTGTGAAGTTGTAGGAGGTTCAAACAATTATGTTGTGATGTTTTCTTATATCCCGGACACATCTTCAAGACCTGGCAGTCGGGAAAAGTTCATCTTACGTACCAGGAAGAATAAGCTTATTGACACCACATATATGGTTGACGATTCGACGGCGAGGGCAGTTGCCGTGATGCACACCTATGGACATGGGGGACCCAGTGCATCTCTATTGCCAATACCGGCCATCTTGGCTTATGATGGAACTTGTGACAACCCAATCAAGTGCCCATTCATCATCCAAAGAAAAGCGGCTGGCAAAACGTTAGAGGAACACTATAAGATTCTCAACTCATCCATTCCATCCACTGACTCCTATGACTTGACGGAGAGATTGAAGTTTGCCGAGGAGATTGCAAAGCTCATTGCGAACATGGAAAACAATTTCACGTTTTCGGAGTATGGTAGACTGAATGATTCAGGAGACATGCCTTCATCAGATATGGACTTTGTTGGTAGCACGATGAAAATATGCATTTATGGCACACCCATCGACACCGACGATATGACAATCTCGACCAAGCCAGACTATCAAAACTTCATCAGCAGTTTGGTAGATGCCTGGACCGCACCTACGACATCACATCCAACCCAAGCCTATCTCAATGATTTGTCAAAACTTCGCCAGATATTCGAAGAAATGAGTAATGCTGGCCTTTTCGGTCGGTATAACCACACCCCAACACTCTTCCATCCGGATCTGTATCCCAGAAACGTAATCTTCGATTGCGTTGAACCCAGAGATATTGAATTAACGGCAGTTATTGACTGGGACGATGCTGTGGTTGTGAGTATTCATCATCTTCTTCTCCTTTCCGTACCGATAAACGAGCATCCGACTAAACAATTCCTTTAGCTCCCTCGTATCATGACTCGAAAACCACCATATTGGTTATGGAATCGCCACAGACTCCCCCCAAGTGAGCAACAAACAATTAAGCGCCATTTCTATGACTATATTGAGCGACTGATTCCTGGGTATCGAAATGAGGCTGATGGAAGAGAAGCCGTACTTCTTCGCGCCCTGAGTATGTACGCTTTCAGAGGACCTGGATGGAGGTATCATCGGGACTTACGTTTAAGGATTTGGTGGAAGAATGGGAGGATGTGATGGCTAGTCGCACCCAACAGTCTCAGCCTCATGCATAAGACTGGCACATGATATGTTATTGTATAGATTAAAGCAATTTTCCTGCGAATATCCAGATCCAGATCAAAACAAAACACTCGTAGAACTTGATAAATGAAGTCCCACAAAACAATGCAACATCTATAAAGTACTCACCCCCCTTCTACTCAACTTAACCATACGCATACACCATATCTCGTACATATCATGTCCCAGAATACCCCCCTCTACCTCGCACGCATTCCAGTCGTCCCCATCTCGGATAAATTCGGATACGGATACGCACCTCGCATTTCGGACCCCCCCTTCGCGTTAAACACAAACCACGGACTCAAATAAGGCCCGTTCTTCGTATTTGCAACACATTGATTGGTGAATTCGGGTAACATGGGGTAGATAAATCGGTTTGCGCATGGATTATATGAAAGGCGTATTTGATACGCCGTATAGAGATACGGTACAATAGGTACTTTTAGGGCTGAGAATGGTATGGTATGGTGCGTTTAATTTCATGGAGGCTTGGCTATTTCCGTAGTTGTGTTTTCTTATATGTGAGGGATGGTCACTTGCTTTACGTGATGAATCTTTATATTTTTTCTTGTTGTTGTTGTTGTTTTCTTTCTCTAGAAAGGCTTTCTCAATTAAATCTCAATCGATCCAAGGCAGGTTGAAGATGGACTCACTCGGAAAGCACGTGGGTATTGATCACCATGTCGATATTGATGCAAGGGCTGTTAATCTCGCTTTCACGGCTTTTCTCATCTCGAATTTGGTCGCTTGGCTGTTTATGGTTGTGATACAATATTTTATTTTCAAAGTCCTCTACTACTCAAATCAACAATCGCTTCGCCAGGGATCTCCTCCTACCTCACGGTCCTTGCAGGCAACTTCGATCAAAGGTCCAACGACTGGGGAGACATACTTGTTAGTCGGAGGACTATGGTTGATTCATGCATTCGTCAATGCCATCCTCTCCTCGATTTTAGACACTTTCGTGTGGTTGTTCTCGAGTCCGGAAACTGCCGCAACATATATGAACTGGAGGGACAGTCTATACAACATGAGATACTGGGCCGGCGGGGTAAAATCTGGGGTTGCGGGAAGTGTTAAGATGCTTGCGGTGGAACTGATAGCCACATGGATATTGTCCCAGACTTTCCTTCTCATTTCCGATACTCTGATACCGCTCCTTTATGAGCTGCGACAAGATCATAAGATCGTCCTAGCGAGAATCCAACAACGTGTATTGGAACTCCATCACTATGTTCGGATGATGGATTGGGAGAATGATTCGGAGTTGGTGACAACGAAGATGGAGGACGAGAGTTCAAATGGAAATCAGGAACAGATCATTGAATTGTCCCGTCAGAGAAGTGAGAGTCTTACGAACGGTGATCATGAGAGGAAATTGGATTGGATATTAGTGATCGATGAAGAAGCGTTGAATGAAATGAAGGAGATGTTAGGTCCTCCTGGTGGATTTGGCGAGTTAGGATTTAATGTTGCAAAGGATAGAGTGTGCTTGGGTGCCGTCAGTCGGGGATCGAGTTTCATCTTGACGTTTGAGTTGGAGGGCAGTGAGGATGAGAGGAAGAAAGCGGGAAAGAGGAGCGGGAGAAGGGGGGTGGAGATTGAAAGAAACAATGTGGAGAGGAATTAAAAGCATAGGGAAAATTGTAGTAAAAAGGAGTAAAATTTGAGAATCCATTGATTGGCATTTCTTGTCCAGGAAAGATACACTGAATTTTAAGATTAAATGTCAGATGCTTGGGAAATCATGGGAAAAGAGGAAATTATCGAGTGGCTGGTGTCGTATTTGTAGGATAATAGTCTGGGGTTCGTCTAAGGACGAGTTGTATCCAATCCATGCCATAGCAAACACGCTGGGCAGCACACTGAGGGAAGCGTCATTCCGTATCGCAATGAAAGCAGTATATTGCATGAGTACTAGAGTCTGCTTAGTTGCCATATCGACCAGATCCGGTAATGTATTTACCAAAAAGCAATGAAACCGTACTCGAGTAATTCTACGAGTAGTCAATTGCACAAAGTAGTAAATAGTAGGTGTTCATATTAGAGCATATTAGAGCATATTAGAGCCAAGTAAGGTCAAGGGTGCTTTGTAGAAGCTAACCCTAAACCCTAAGTATGGGGTAGTCCACGACGACTGGGACATCTTTGGTGTTGATGTAGTTGGTTCTCTCTATGTACAACATGCGGAAGATATTGATGTTGGCTATGACCGCTTTTACTGTACTGTAACTTTACCAAAACTATTCTGACACACCCAAGTTTAACACCGCCGCCGCACCTATATAACCCCGTCCCTACAACCTCGAGACATCGAGACATCATTATCATTATGTCTATATCGAAGTATTTACAATCCTTTACTCATTTAGAACCCTAGTTATCAATTATACCAAGGGCTTATATGAACCATCACATCCATCTTCTGGCTTCAACGAGTCTATTATAACAACTCCGCATTAATAGCTTCCGTTTGTTTCAATACTTTCGTAGGAATCGCTTTACAAAATGCGAAATTGCTTCCTTTTTCGAGTCTCCAAAGATCTCTCACATTAATTTTATATAGACTAATGGACGCTAGGATTGGTTCCAAAACAATGTCTACATATTCTTCACAATTCTTCTCCACAATGGCGCCTTTGTCACCACTCCGCTCTCATTCTCATTTTCCAAATTCTCAAAGTTTCCCGCCACAGCAGGATCCAAATCATTTCTCCTGCCTTCATCAAGATCAATCTCTCTCAGATCCCAAATACTCGTTTTGAACCATAATTTGTAGCCCAACCATATCAGCGGAAAGAGCGCCAACAAGATATATGCATCCACAAAATTCCCTGCATTAAACGGACTCAGAGTAGTCCAGCCTTGTACTATTGCCAAAAATGCGTTTGCTGCCAATCCAAAATAGGCGTTATACGGGTACGCGAAGGAAACAAAAGGCAAATCTGATAGTATTCTTCCTTGAGCTTTCCAAGCGGAACGGAACCGAATATGTATGAATGAGATAGAGCCCCAAACAAGGAAAGTCGATACACCGGAGAGGTTGACTATATAATTGTACGCGGCTCCTGCTCCTGATGAAACATTCATCATACTCAATGCACCGAAAAGATTCGTGAACACGATCGCATAGATCGGTACCCCTCTCTTATCCGTGAATCTCAAGAATCTCGGCGCATGTCCCTCTTGTGCCAGAAAGAGAATGGTCCTCGATCCAATATAAATGGAACTATTCACAGCACTCAAACAAGTAGCCAAGATAAAGGCGTTTACCAAATGTACGCCTCCTTCCCATCCAGCATTTTGAATTGCAACAGTCATGGGACTTCTCAACGCCTTGGACCCGGCACTTGCCAGTCCTTGTGAATTCCATGGACATGTAATCCCAAAAAAGAGGGCCGAACCCATATAGATGAAGATTATACGCCAGAAAACCTGTCGGATGGCCAGTGGGACCGCATGCTTGGGGTTCCGGGTCTCAGCCGCGGCCACTGCAATAGATTCACAGCCTGCATAAAATGTCGAGCAAAAAACGAACACTTTTGCAACACCTCGAAATCCATCAGCGAAAGCGCCAGGGTCATGCCAATACTGGAATCCGAGAGTGTGCTGTTGACCATGTAGACCTCCAGCGGCGTAAATAATTGAGAAAATAAAAAAGGCGACAAGTCCCCCGAGTTTTAGGAGTGCGAGCCAAAATTCTGCTTCTCCAAATGCTGCCACACCTAGAAACTGGAATCCAAGGAAAGCAAACCAAAAGATGAGGAAATATCCCCATAAAGGGACTTTATCGCTCCAGAAAATGAATATGGAAGAGAGGGTATTGTACTCATTAGCGAGAACAGCCGCCCAAATTATAAAGTAGTTCCAACCAACAGCAACACTGAATGCTGGGTCAAAGAATCGAGAGGTTAATGAGATGAAGGATCCTGACGAGGGATATAAAGTGGTGAGTTCTCCGAGTGATTGCATGATGGAGAAGGCGATTAAACCAATGACACCAAATCCGATAAGGAGTGAAGCAGGTCCACCAGATGCTAGTGCACCACCTGATCCAACAAGGAGGCCGGGTCCAATGATTCCTGTAGGATGTCAGATTGTTATGAAGGGAAGTTCGTGAGAGGGAAGAAATATTACCTGCCAGGGCCATCATACTCAAATGTCGAGTTTGTAGACCTCGAGAAAGCCCACTATTAGGGTCAATAGGAAGACTATTGGGGATCACATCGTCCGATGCGTCCTGGAGGTTGTCTTTCATATCCGGAAGCGACATAGTTGGTTGTCTGGCAGAGATTCGTTATCTGAGGTTCTGACAAAGTATACCTAGGTAATTTGTGGCGGATAGGCCTAGGTCACCCCACGAAATCAAAGCTGCTGGGAACTTATAAGGTGGTACTCGTAAATTCATTCAATTTCAGTGGCCATTGAGATGTGGTATAAGTATATAAATACTGTATTATATCCTGTGATATGTCTGGGAATGATTTTCATTATGAGTGAGTGGACCAAAAAAAATATATATGATGCCATACTAGCCAAATTTTTACAATCACTTTTTTAGTGTAAATCTTACGAAACTATGACTAAAAGGGAAAGGACCTTTTTTCTCTTATATACATCTAGGAAAGAAATTTATGAAGAGTGTATAAAAGACTAGGCGAGGAATCCGACACAGAGATTTCTCCTTCTAGGCAGTTTCCCGACATCCCGGGAACAATTACATACATCCTCGCCACCCAATTTCAAGTACTGTTGCGCAAGTCAGGACTCTAATGTCAAGTATAAATCCGCTTGGTCATTATAAAGGGGTATATAATCTAATTCTCGGGTCTTGTAACACCCCTTCCTCTATTCACTTGAACCATCTTATCCTCGCCAGCACTAACGATTCCAACATCCTTATCCCAATTAACATCGAAGACCTTTACTCCCTCACCCCCAACTGCTTTAGTCGTCTTGTCTTTCCTGCTATCTCTCTCAATGATATAAACTGCCTCTCCTACAACACCAAGTCCCTCATCTTTCGTTCCTTGTCTTGTGCTTCTGAGATCCCAGACTCGACAAGTTCCATCGTGACCTGCTGATACCAGACCAAAGTTGCTATTAGGATCCGCAAATATCGATGAAACGAAGTTGGTATGTCCACGGAGTGTCATCGCTTGTGTTGTGGCAGCCGAAGCTCGAGGATCAATCAGAGCAATATGGCGTGCTGTTGTACCTGCCGCTATTATTTGATGACCAATTCCTGGTAAAGCGCTCAATGATAGTATAGGATTCAACAATGTTCTCGTGTCGACAATGCTAGAAGTAGTGATGTCGAGTGTCTTGACGGTATGATCTTGAGAAGCAGAGTAAGCAACAGTAGAATCCTCAGGATTGAAGATGACAGCAGTTGCAGGTCCATTATGGCAATCCATGAGAGATAGAGGACCACGCTGAGGAGTTGATGTAGAGGTTGTGATTTTGCGTCGTTTAGAAGATGGTCCAGAAATAAGACTGGTGTTTACTTCAGGAGCTGAGGATTTGTGCGAAGTCCAAAAACCAATTTGTCCGTCTGCTGAAGCGGATAAAATGCGATTCGATGGTCCATGGACTGCGATTGAGTCTATGCTACCTGCATGGCCATACAATTCCAAGGTGGGCTTCAATTGCGCAGAGAAATGATCCTCCGCTTCCGAATAATTCCATATCCTAATTGTGCGATCCAAACCAGCTGATGCAATTTGTTTGGCCGAGAGGAATTTCGCAGATTTTACTCCAGAATTGTGTCCACCAGCACTAGCAGGTGCAGATGTCGCAATAGCCTGACCTGATTTATTCCAAACTCTAAGAAGTCCATCGTAAGAACCTGATAGTATGCGCTCCTGTCCTGCTTCAATCGAATTACTACCCCAAGTTCCTACGGCAGAACTACCGGATAAAACATCCACACTACTGACCCAATCATCATGCTCAAAACTTGCTTCATAGAGAGGAGGTATCAAACTTCGCACGTATTGTAAGTTTACCGTCGTTTCAGAGGATAATCCATTAGCAGTGAGATATTCGTCAAGAGTCGTTCGCAAGAATGTGCCGTTAATCAGGAAATCGAATGGTATCGGCGAAGAGGTATCGAGCATTGCCTCGGAGTTGAGAATCTGTGAAAGACCATATCTTCGTACATCTAATCGCATTCATCAGTCTCCAGAGAGGTTTGAGAGAAACTTGGATTAAAACTTACTGGTAGGAACGAGCAATTGCTGCTTTCCTTCTGCTAACTCGATATCTGGAGATGTAGTAGTGAAATAAACTTGAACCTGGCCTTGCGCCATATTTGTGACTTGAGAATGTAAATATCTGTGGATAGGAAAATGTTTGTTGTTTTCTTTGCAGGAAGTTTCTTGACATGGAACTATTCGAATTGGAATTTTTTATCGGAATAATTTCCGGCCGTGCATTGAGACCATCACTGCAGTTTTTATCAATGTTTTCTCTTCCATATCACAGACTCATGCATTCAACATAATATAATAAAGAACACATAATCGTCTCGATGCGCGCGATTATAGTATATGATAACTACATGCAAAGCAAGACAATATTCTCTGCAGTATTATATGATATATATTGTTATACTTTCACACTTCGAGTACTCAGCTCACTCAGTACAAAGAACGCATCCTAAGCACAATTCAAGATCATTGAATGGGAAGTCTACCAGCCAGTTGAAACGGAAGAGTATAACCCACCAGAAGTCTACAATAGTTGCGAAATCATGTCTGTGGTTTGTAGCTTGTATTTTCCTGAGGTGAAATGGAACAGTGGTAGCTCAGTTCAGCTGTTGTTTTCTTCAAGTGAAAGAGACCAGCCGTCGAAAGCTATCAAAAAGTCATCAAATCCCTGATATTTGGCCTGAATCTTTTATAACCAAGAAATTTACTATTAGTTGCAAAAATGCCCTTCAAATACCTTTCAAATGACATTCGGGTATCGTTGTCTTTGCCATTGAGCCTCCACATCATCTAACCTTCTAGACATCTCACCTCTCCAACCAATTGATCTTTTACTTCCTGTCAAACTGCTGATTGACCCATTCCTTCTAATTGATCCAATACTGGATTCATCTCTATACCACGATTTTCCATTCTTAAATCCAAACACTTCTTCCTCTCTTTCATGGGCGTTTTGTGCAACATCATGTTCAGGATTTTGCGTTGGGTCATTCTCAGGATCTCCATCCTGTCCCGGATTTGCCATTTCGTATTCCATTAACTTGATCAATCTGAAGAACAGAACCGCCAACCCTGCGCCAAGAATTGGTCCTACCCAATATATCCAATGTTCTCGTGGAAAGTTCCAGACAATCGCCGATGGGCCAAAACTACGAGCTGGATTCAAGGATGCTCCAGTGAACGGGACAGCGACCATGTGAGCAACAAAAAGAGCCAATCCAATACCAATGGGTGCTACAAATGTAGCTTTGTGTTTCTCCACAGCTAGCATTATGATTGTGAAGATTAGAGCTGCCGTGGTAATACCCTCGATAACGAACCCTTGAGCGATAGAAGTACCGCTTCCAAGTGAGGTAGCAACGTCAAGTCGATTTGGGAATATTTCTTTCACGAGGATAGCAGCTAAGCATGAAGCTCCAAGTTGGGTAATGACGAGGAGAACAGCACGAACTGGTGATACTGCTCGAAGTAGGGCAAGTGCTAGTGTTACCTATCGTTGTTAGCTTGAGCTTCTTTGATAATTGCCTCACACTCACAGCTGGATTGAATAAACCTCCACTAATGCGAAAGAATATCCAGGCATTAACCATAAGACTGGCTCCGAAAGTTGCAGATATGTAGAACAAGACTTCGAGATCTGGTGGCTTACGGTCTTGAAGTTTCGCAACTTCAATACCCGCATAACCAAAGAAAAGAAAAAGTGTCGTCCCAATCAACTCTCCAATCACAGCGACAATATCTACTCCAATTAGTAAACAATTGCAAACATAACCATCTAGTCAACTCACGGTTCTTCCAGTCACTATTCATCCATTTCATCCACTTCGTCGCTGGCCGCCTTCTTTTATATCTTTCTATTCTATCCTGTGTCTGCAAAGTTTGCATCCACGGTCGACTTCTACTCTCTCTCTTGCTTTGTACAACATTTTCCCTATTGGTAAGACCGACAAACCCCTCTTCGCTTGATCTGTATGGCTGTACTTCTGTATACTCAACTTCATCGATAGTCGGAAAATGTCTTGGAGCTTCATTCGACCTCCTGGGAAATTCAAATTCTTGCATCGGTATTGGCATAGTGCTTCGCTGCACAGCTCGCCTTGGTGGTGGGAAGCTACGATATCGACTGTCGTCTAGACGTATTTGAGTTTCATCGTCTTGATTCGGCAAGAGACTTGCCCCCAATGGCTGGGGGTGTTGCGTTGTAGGACTTTTAATGGTGATCATTTCTATGTCGGTATGTGTTGGTATTATATGTACGAAAATAACATTCGAAATGAGGAAATCACAATTCATTATATGGTTTCCGGAATCAAATATAGTTCATAAGCATGGGTCAGTTTTCTCCTCTAATCAATTCCGCGACAGAAGCATTGTCCTCTCCCTCTGCTGTGCTTGAAAGTTTATTTTTGATATTGAAAATCACTATTCTCATTCTTGGCATACATCATCTCGGCTTATGGACTTGATGGTTTCACCAATTGCAATTTTTCATTTGGCGTTCAGGGATAAAATTTCATGCATACTTGACAAATATAAGGTACTTCCCTCATGGGAGTATTTATGCAAGATTCCAATGACGATGGTATCTGGGGATATGGAAAAGATCTTTGCGGGGTCGAGGAATATACAGGAACACCGGGCGTTTGGAGAAGAAACACTGGGCGGACCGAGATGAGATGAAACAACGAAATGACGAGATTTTGCACAGACAAGCAGCACCAAAAATCTTATCTGTGTTCATCGACTTTGGTGATCTTTACCACTAACTTTCTACCATCATATTGTTCTGATATGGAAAAACTATCTTGTACCGTACCGCCGTTTCATCATACCGCGAGAACAAACCGACACACATTGTGAGTATAACATATTCGGAAATCCACACATTCTATCAATTTCCGAGCGACCAGCAAGGCCTTCTTGATTTAGAAATGGGATTTTCCGATCTACTACTACTGCCGCACAGATGATGATGTTTCCCTTGAATGCATGTCATTGTCTGTGCAAATTTGGGGGATCGACTGATTTGGGACTTGGTTTCTCGATGTATCGAGAAGATGGTTAGAATCTCTAATAATAGTCGTCGCTTGCCGTTAACGAGGTGGATTCAATGAAGGGAATACCAATACCGGTCGATCGATCTGGAGTATCTATTTATATACCCAGACTCATGAACAACTCTTCCCCTGGTTTGGGCACGTCGTATTACTTTCAATTATATACTGGCTTCACTGCAACATCTAAGTTGAAAGGAATATATTAAATACTAATCTCAGTCCAATAAATTATTATTACTTTTCTTTTAAATCTATAACATCTCCATTATCCACCAATGCTGGAACCATCTCATCCAACCTCATCATACCAACGTTTGTCCGTACCTGCTAATCAACCCTCCCCCCCTTTCCTTCCCGCAAACTACAGATGGAGATCAAGCGTTGACTTCACCCTAGATCCACACCGGGAATAACAAAACCCTCGCACAACTGCTTGGAACGTCATAAGGACTCGGTGCATCGAAATACTTAATCATTTGGAACAACTGCGGTGCATTCAACCCATGATACCATTCGCACACCACCCATCCATCAGCCTCAGGATTATCGACTTGAAATCCAGCAGATCCCTCATTGACAAATTTCCCACTTCCATATCCGGCGGTGATGGTCACGGGTTCCCAACGTGCATAGTTGGTGTCGGATGGTAGTGCATTGATGCTAAATGGATAGGCATTGACGTCAAATTGGAGTTGCGAAGAGTTGAAGTACATGCGGGAGCCAGTGTTGTTGGTAGGGTCGACGAAGACTGGGTCGGCCATTCCGGCACCGGTGTGCCATGCTTCTACTTGGGGGTTGTCAGTGTTGCTTTCTTGTTCGTGGGCTCATGTCTCGTGGTACAAAAATTGAAGAAAGTTGGGAATCGGAGAGAATAGGAACTGGAGACTTACAAACCCATTCTTGATGGGTGTTGTCACCATCCGTAACAGCCATATGAAGGTAGAATTCCCGAGTATTGTTCAAGGTACCTGGAACCCACGCATCTTGTCGTGCCTCGATTGTTGGAGCCGCTGAGGAGAAGGAGAGAATGCTTGATGCCACGAGGGCAATATTGCGCATAGAAACCATGATTCTGACTTTGCTGGTTGAGATCAATTATTGAGTCTAGAGTGTATGTGAGAGATGAGTTGAGTTGATGCTGATGATGGTACAGGAAATACTTTAGGTGCATTCGAAAGATCTTATATACAACTCGGAAGTGTGTCAACGCTCCCACTCAAAGCCATTTTTGAACTCCTTACTTCTCACCGTGTCATTGTACTTCGACTTCATGAACATTACGAGCTCACAGTGTCCACCCGGGAAGAGCGATGTGATCTTTAATTCGTATTCCACGATTGCTACACCGAACTTGACTGAACAATGCCTAGAGCCATACTATATTATTACACAAGCCTCGTTTGTACCCCTATGTGGCGAACTTCCATCATTCCACCCCGAATTGTTGTGCAATAGTGGCACCAAAACTGACTCGGGACGCACCGAAATTAGTGTCACCATTCGTATTGTAGTGGTTATTAATTTTCCGAATAGTTAACATTCCCGTTACCAACATGAATGGCATTGATAATTCGTGATGCAAGGACAACGGATGTAATGCCCCACGCCTCGTATTGGATTACGTGAGTAGATCTTCAATATGTAAGCGTCGTGTTTGGAAAGACATCAGATGATCAATGTACAGAAAAATTACTTTTGTCTAGGAACTGGATCGTATTTGTGCTGCAATTTTACTGTTAAATAGGAGAATGTTTGTACTTTTGGCACTACGAGTACATTTTCTGTACTCCTAACTGTATGTAACCTTACGGCTGAGATTGAGCGAAAGACTTGACTATTTGGGAATACTGCTCGCATTTTTTGGACGTCGCTATCTACACCGCTACTGTATAACGAATAAGACAACAAGATCCTTGGAATATAATGAATTTTATGGTTGTGTTCTGTTATTCCCACGTTCCAGAGGTGTTGTGAATTTTTGACAATTGATGGGCCAATTGTTGGACGGGTGAATACTACTACTTATATAGTCCATACCTTCAATTTCTAAAATTTCCAACATCCAAGACTTCTCTGATCCATCGGAGAACCAGAAATATTACAACTTAGCATGCAGTCCAAAGTCGCCGTCAATCAATTCCAATATCTTCCGAGCGGCATCTTTTCTTCCCCCATACTTCTTTCTTATGAGTTCACCAATTTCCTTTGCTTTCTCCTTGATAGAACTGTCTTCTGTCACTCTAATCAAAGCCTTTCCAAATTCTTCTCCGTCAACACCAGGTGCAGATGTCTTACTTCCCCATATACCAACACCAAAAAACTCCATCTTCTCCGTATAATCATAGGTATCAAACCAACATGGCAAAGCTAGTTGTGGGATTCCGGTTTCAATACTCTCATAATACGAATTCGCACCGCCATGATGAACCGAAACTATAATGTGACCAGATCGAAGAATGGAAATTGGTTCTGCGTCGAGCCACTTCACGAGTCTTACTTGACCAGCAACAGGTGCAAGGATTTCCTTAATAGCGGGATCGAAATTCGAGGCACTAGGTTTGAGTTTCCAAAGGACTTGCATGTTTGTGTTCTTGGCTAGGAGAATACGAATTCCAGTCGCAATATTGCGATTAGACTCCACGTTTCCATTCACATGCGATCCGAGATTAACAAGCACAGTTGGCTTTTTCTCCAGCCATTCCAGAAGTTCTGGGTCGGTTTTAGAGAGTGGATAGGATGGTAATGTGAGCGGTCCACAGGTTGTTATATTTTCGGGAATGTATGGTAATTTGAGATCGATCTCTCGTGCAGTGGGAAGCAAATAGTGGATATCTTTGGAGTATGGGACAAAGAATGGATATTGTCCGGGAATTTTAGCTTCCTTACGTCCAGCTTCGATAGCTTTGATGGTTGGAGAGGTGACGACGATGATTATGAGACGAATCATGAGAATGATATTAAAGGGGATCAGATACCATGGGAGAGGAAATCCGAAGCCCGAACATTCACTAATAAAAAATGTTAGAGTGAAATTGATTGAGAATTAAAAGAAGGAACTTACACGGCCAGACCCCATAGCGGAAAGCCATTTGGTTGAGCTTGAGCTAGAGTGTCCTTGAAACTATTTGGGGTAATGCTTATAGTCTTTTTGCCCAAGAGCGCACACGCATCAAAACCTTGCGCGCAAAGCTTTTCCATCACAATACCATCTGGGTTGACACTCTTAACAATTTCGACACAAGAATTAACTCCTTTGACGTATTCATCTGGAGTATAAGATGACAAGACACTGGGAATCTTCGCATATATTCTCCACGCCTCTCGTAATCCAACCCCATGCCGCATAGCTTCCTGACCAGGGGTGACCATTGCAAGTTTCTCCGCCATGCCCGGGCTGTCTATCGGATGGAAAACTGCTTTGATACTATCAAGTGGAATTGGACCGTAAACACCAGCATTCAAGTAATCAACACGCGTTCGAATTGGTGGACGAAGGTTTCCATAATCGATAATATTTGAGACCTCTTTAGCAATGTCAGGTGCTTCGAACGAAGCGATATGAACTTCTACATTGTTGAGAATGAGTTCATAGGCAGTTGCGAGTACTACGTTGCTCTGACCGTACTCGCTGTTTGTTATGAGGAGGATTTTCCCAGGGGGTTTTGGGGTAGACATGATTGATCGACGACTCATGACAATTGGAAGCAGTGATGAAATAAGTTTGGAGATGATAACCAGACCCGAGAAATTGATCGGGAAGGTCGAAGACTATATATGCCCCCAATCTAGCCAAATTGAAGCTATTCACTGAACAAGCTCGGGTAGACAGAAATCGTTCTAGCTCCCGGTAATTTTGAATCTCGGTAGAAATTTTCAATTCACCTGTTAATAATAACAGTGTGCTGTGGTATGGCAAATTACTTGAAATGAGCATTGGCGTATTGATCTCGTCGTAAGGTTGGGGGGTTCTTGGCCTTCAAAACGATTTTATATATGCAGGGTGAGATTAGTGCTAAAGATGTGAGTTTATCTAACCTATAGTCATCTTCATTCGCGAACGAGCGTATGTCTACTACGGACACGGTGCTGTTTCGTTCGACCCACGCCCTCTCAATCCTGTCTGCCTACCTAGTAATGAATCAGAGATTAATCCTTTCGTTCTCGTGGAGATTTGTGTTATGCATAGGTAATAGTGGGTAGGTTTGGTATGGTCATGCTACTGTAGCGGCATCGTCTCTGCTCACCAGGAACGTATCTTCACCAATTTATTTCAGTCATGGTTTCTGATATACAACTAGTCCACGCAAAACATTCAGCATTTGTCCCGGTCTAATATTCGACAATACCATTCCTACTGGACATTCTCCAATCATTTAAACCACTAAATGGCTGATGAGAAAGATCCGGAGCCTATGACATTGTCAACATCGTCTAATCTTCCGCCCAATGCTTCTTTAGAGCTTTAGATAGGTGTGAACGAGCCTTGAATGAGCCTTGAATGAGCCTTCCAATGGCAACTCCCATCGACCAGGCAGTAATATGGCACGAAGTATCAATTTGACATTCGCCCAGAGAGATATAATCCGCCATATATACTGTAGAATCCTCCCAAAACTTTCCGAGAATATCTTTTGATTTCTTTCTCAAGGCTAGCAAAACCTCTCGCAGTGTGATCGAAGTATTCAAGGATGGATCAAGTCGGTCGTAAACAAATCTTATGATCTGGTCATTGGGACAAGAGCTAGAGTTCCGTCTTCAAGCGCGGCAAGCTTTCTATTGTACGAAACCTCCGAAAAGATCGTGTTAGCTATTCCACCATTGTATTTGAGTAGATCACAGCATGGACCCACAAAATGATGCTCAGTGTGAAAGCGAGGTAGTCAACGAGGATAGTGGTGCGATGAATTAAATCGGAAGTTCGTTTGACAGCTGGACATCGAGAACGAGGTGGCGCCTAGTGAATGATGGCTTACTAGGGTACTTTATCCGGACTCTGGTGTGTGACTTGGACTGTAATCCGGATAAAGGTTGTACAGTGTAATATGTGTACCTATGACCTATACCAACTTCTCTGAGACACTCTGAACATACCATTCTGTTCATCATCTCTAACTAATACCAGGACCTATAGTTCGCATCAGCCCCCATGAAATTCATATCAATGACCCCAATTGGAATGAACTTTACAAAATCAGCTCAAAAACCACGGTATTATCGATTTGTCGGTACATCAGATGCAGCATTCGGAACATCTGATCATGATTTACATCATTTGAGGAGAAAGGCCCAGCAAGCTTATTTCTCCCAGGAGTCCATTACCAAGTTTCTACTTCAAATATACGAGGTATCATCAAAGCTTTGTATACATCTACAGCAAATCAAAGGATCAGACAGGGTGGTGAATCTATCCAATGCATTTAGATGCCTTGCAACCGATGTCGTAACATCCTATTCGTTTATATGATTTTCCTAAATTGTTGGACTCTCCGGATTTCGCAGCTTCGTTTCAAAAGTCATTAAGTACGTTTCCGGAGATTTCTCTGTGGGATCGACATTTTGGATTCGTTCTTCTAAGTATTTGAAATGATGCCGAGATGGTTGGTAAAGAGGCTTAATCCTGATGGACTTGAGGTATTGGATTTTTTGCCGTGAGTTGGTATCTTAGTAATTGGTACTGGTCGGCTGTTCAAGATCTAATCAACAACTGATAGAACATGAGCCAAATAGTAGTCAGATCAATCAAAGTACACCACAGCGAAAAAGGCAAAGACAATGAGGGTACCAATGACATCGTAGAACAGATGCTCGATTCGCCAGATCTCTCAGAGAACGATAAGAAGGCACCACAATTAGCTTTGGAAGCAAGGACCCTTGTCGGAGCAGGAACGGAACCATCGAGCTGTCCGATACCGAGGAAGTAGACATTTTGCAGAGGTACGACTTTTTCTCTCCATTCCCAATGACGGAGCGAGGATTGAGGTATTTTGAAGATGATATTGAAGTCTCAGTCTATGAGCCGAGCTCGCTGAACCTATTGAGTCGCTCCTCGTGCATGATATAATCACTATGACTACCCACCCACCACCCACCACCCACTACTTGTTATTTTCTAAAGTGGCATGCTGGGTCAAAAGTCTGGAATATATATATACACAAATATACAACATAATAAATACGAAATGAATTACTATACACGCGAAGCCAATTTTAGAGCATGAGTGAGGCAAGGTCATCCTCAAGAGATTTTTCACCCTTCGCCTGCAACTTTGCGGCAAGCTCATCAACATCTTTCCAAACCCTTAAAATGTTTTTACCTACTACATTTGCAACATCTTTGTCGCTGACGCCCTGTTTAAGAAGCTCGGCTACTAAGTCCGGATACTTGCTTACGTCGTCCAATCCCTGTGGTGTATCTGGTATACCGTCAAAATCACTGCCAAACCCTACGTGATCAAATCCAATAAGATCACCAATATACATGACGTGTCTAGCCACATGCTCCAACGTTGAGTTCATTGGATAGTAATCTGGTAACCCATTTGTATTGGATGGATTCGCAACGCATGATACAAAGTCTGGGGCGAAATTGACCATGACGAGAGAATTGCGCTTCTTGACGAGTTGTAAGATATCATCGGGAACATTTCGTGGATGAGGACATAGCGAATAGGCAGATGAATGACTGAATATTACTGGAGCGAGACTGCCGGGCCAGTCAGCTTCCCAGCCCAGAACTGATCGCATCGTATCTTGACTAGTATGTGATAGATCAACAATCATCCCTAATCGATTCATCTCATGGATGAGTTGACGACCAGCGATAGAGAGCCCTCCCCAATGAGGTTTAGATTTCTCGATACCACCTCCAGAGACTTCAACCAGGGCAGCATCTGCATATCGATTGTGGCAATTGTGTGTTAAGGTTGCGTAGCGGACTCCCAGATTGTAGTACTGGCGGAGGTTGGACATGGAGTTTCCAATTTGATGAAGCCCTTCAATGATATATGGAGATATAAGTTGACCATTCTGGAAAGCAGTCAAAGCAGTGCTACTGTTTCCAGGAAGTGAGAAGTGGGAGGGATAGGCGGCTTGAAGACGAGTGAGCAGATCAAGTTGGGTCAAAGTAAAGGTGACGGCTAGATGAGAAAATCAGTTGCATGTTTCATTTAATTTCAACTTTTATGTATAGATGAGTTTAACAAATGGGTGCATGAAGAGCTGGCTTCATGGGAAGGGAGAGAGGGGGAAGGGTAAGAGGGAGTTAGGAAGAGTGCGGAAGAGGGGAGCAAGTGCAATCAGAACACCAATAAAACATCACTAACAATGGGCATAATTCTCAGTGGAAAAATCACTCCAATTTGAAGGACATGGAGCATATGCACTCCAGAAAGCACCTCCATTCTTTCCAGCCTTCAATCGAGGGAGATCAACGTGAGAATCCATCCCACCATTTTCAAATAAATCTGTAAACTTCTCATCATAGATACGATTCTGATAGACGGATCGTATGAGAATTGCAAGATCATTGTGTCCATCTATATTCTATTAGCGAATTGGGTAGAGAAATAATCTTATCCCGGAATGTCCGAGAAGACCCATACCTACCTATGAGTGGTGTTTCGGTCAAGATTTTATTGACTCTCTCCTCAATTGTCTTCGGTTCTTGATGACCAAAAGGCCAACCATGATGAAATATATCATCGATAAAGCCATCTGGTAAAATCAACATCGTTAGTATAAGTATCGAGCATAATCCCAGAACCACAGCCATTAAATCGTTGAATGGTAGTTTCCCATGACTATCTTCCTGTTCCACATCATTGATGCTTTGAGGTCTTGAACCGTTAATTTCTGGTGATGGTTTATCTCTTGGTAATAGAGGATCCTGTTCAGTATAAGGCATGATTAGGTATGATTATGCAATAGTAGATTGGATTGAAAGATTTGAAAGTTTGGTGGTAACAGCAATGATATATTGATATAACTCGAGTAGATCAGATCTAGAGATAAGAATAAATCACATGATCATCTCATCTTATTCATCTTATTTCCTGCATAATTTGCGCTAAGCCCCTTTAATGGATTACTGGAATATTCCTGATTTGGCAATTTTTATGTAAGGTTAATGCTTAAATTGGAGTTTTCACTGGCAGGTCATTCCCTGCAACTTTGAAAGTCTAGAAAAGTTTAATTGACAATTAGTAAACTCGTATTGTATGATATTTATGATATTATTTATTCAATATAATGATATTACGATATAATTTTAATTATCTCAGCAAACTGAGCAAAGTCCCATCCATTCACCCATCTATACAACTGAATCATAGCGAATCGACTTTTGGTGATAACTTCACCCATCTCATCCCCATCCCATATCCCATATCCCATCCCATATCCCATCCCCAAATCCTGAAACTCTCCCGGGTAAACGAGATCAACGGTTAACCTCGTCCCTTGTACACACCATTTGGTACTGAATCACTGAATCCGCAATCCGATCCTTCTATTTCCCGAGCCAGCTTTTTTACCACCCATAACCATATACGACCTATTTTAAACTTCAACATCAAAATCTGTCATTCGTTCAACAAATTCCTTTTCTTCAACAAGAAACTCATCTTCTTTGTCTTCCTTAACCTTCCAAGTATCAACGAATACAATAATTACTGTTATTGAAGTCACGAATCAACGATAGAGTACATAATAATGGCGCCCAACTTTGCGGATTCCTTCTGGTCTGGGGATTATGCTGGAGGTAAGGGGGCTTTCTTTCTGCAGATTGATTGTTCACATCCTTTCTTGCATCCATTTGCTAATTCTTCAGGTCTTGGTGTTCTATTCGGTAAACTGCAGCAAGGTGTCGCCGAAAATCAACAAGTTCTTACCATTGCGCGAATGCGAGCGGAAGCCGAAGATATCTATGGTATGAAATTAGGAGATATCGGATCAGTAACGGATAAAATAACTGGCGGTTTCGGAAGAGATGATGGAGCAAGCGTTCGAAAGGTATTGAAGAGCATCTTCTTTATCTATTTGAGGGGTGGTTGGTTGACAAAATATAGGCATACGATGGAGTACGGACGGAGATGGAAGAAGCTTCGAAAAATCACCGAAAAATCGCACAGAGTATTCGAGATCTCGTAGTAGCCCCCTTTTCACGCTGGTGTGATGCACATGAAAATCGAGTTCAGAATTCACAAGACGATCTCCAGGCGCGGATCAAACTTCACGATAAACAGGCAGAATTGGTCAAGAAGTTACGAAGTCATTACTTTAATAAGTGCCGGTTGGTGGAAGATATTGAGGAGGAAAACAAACTTGCTTTCCAGGATCCGGAAACTAGTCCGAAGGCCAAGATTCCAGAGATCAAGGTCGGTGATAAGGATGATGAAGAGGATGAACTGTCTTTGGAAATTGGTGATGATATCTATAACTCGGAACAGGTCAAGAAGATCATGACACATCTTTTACAAACAATCAAGTTGGTCGACACAAAGGTTCCAATCTTGGGCACATATCAAAATACGACATCTGGCGCAGATATAGTGGAATACTTTCAGAAATATCTAGGGGCAACGAGTGTCAGTCATGCAGAACGTATCGGACAGGATTTGGTATCGCATGGCTTTCTACGATTGATTGGGAATGTCGGCAATGTTTTCGCAAATAGTTCCAAGATGTTTTACCAATGGCGACCAAAAGGTTTCCAGTTGACAGGAATCCCCGAAAAGAAGCCAACCGTTGGTCGCACTTTCTCTATCACTTCCAACTCTGACTTCGCAGAATCTCCTGTCGTTGGAACAGTTTCTGAATATTTGGCTGGCTGGAATCCTTTGAACAACCAACATCCAAACGAGACCCCAGGCGATCGTCTTCGTAGAGAAGCCGCAGAAGCAGACGAGAGATACAAGCAAGGTGTCAAGAAATTAGATCACTTGCGATGTCAATTGGAGGAAGCCATCTTCGAGCATTTGAGATATCTGGAACGCTGTGAGCTTGACAGACTCAAGGCTATCAAGACCATCATTCTTGACTTCTCCGGAACGATTAGCAATGTCATTCCTAGTCTGCAGTCCACAGTAGACAAGATGATGCTCTACCAAGAAACCGTACAACCTGTTGGGGATCTGCGATATCTTCTCGAAAACTATCGCACTGGTGGCTTCGCGCCAAAGGTTATCGTCTACGAAAATTACTACAACTCTGCGGATGAACAAACATTCGGTGTTGATCTGGAAGCTCGGGCTCGAGGAGATAGAAAGCGGGTACCAGTCATAATCACTACTATTCTCACCTTTTTGGACAACAGATATCCTGACCTTGAAGGGGACCCAGCTAGAAGAAGTGTGTGGTTGGTTGATGTTCCCCTTCATCAAACTCATCGAGTACGAGATGCTCTTAATACTGGAAAGCCATTTCCTATTGAAACTTTGGAGCCATATGAAATCCCTATCATTGCAAGCGTTCTTAAATTATATCTGCTGGAATTACCAGGTAACTCTCACCATCTTAGTTATCTCATGAAGAACCACCTTAACTAATTCTTCGTCATAGATTCTTTAGTGTCATCACACGTTTACGAAATTATGAAAACGATTTATTCAACTCCTGCATCCGAATCTACCGATTCAGCTCGAATATCAGTTCTACAAAATACACTCAGTCAACTCAGATTAGCCAACATCGCTACCCTAGACGCTCTCATGACACATTTCACCAGGTTAATCGAACTCACTTCCGCTGATGAGACCTATATCTCTGAACTCGCAACAATCCTTGCTCCATGCGTCCTTCGACCAAAAATTGAAACCTCGATGACAATGGAAGAAAAGTACTCATACCGTCTCATTCGTGATCTCTTTGCTCACAAAGATGCTATCTTTTCTGAACTCAAGCGAGCATCATCGCTCAATTCTGCTTCAAATATTGATACCAGAAGACCTAGAGCTATTAGCACCGACGAAAGCAACCGACGAGCCAACATGGAAGCTAGACAAAAGGCAATCATTGCAGCAGGTGGCGCTAGAAGTCGCGCTACTAGTCCTGCCCCAGGTCCCCGTGGTCATCGCAGAGATAGAAGTTCAGGACCACCTGCAGCTGAGACACGATTCCCGGTACAAACATCCCCCACGGCTACAACCGATTCGACTAGAAATTCCAGGGGTAGTGTGAGACAGAGTCTCGAAGTCCCATCGTCAGACGAAGCTAGTCCAGTTGTTGAACCGAAACCCTCTCCTTTATCTCCATTGGCCAATGGAGCCGAGGCTAGCGTTACAAGCGCTACGTATATGCCTGGGTCCGGAGATGGAATGGATGAAATCACTTTAGAAAAGAGGGTTAGTCTCCCAACTGTGGAAAAGAGGAATAGTTTAGGGCGAAGCAGCCCAATGTCGAGAAATAGTATAGGGAGAAAGCCTTACGGAAATGTTGCGAGGATGAGTAAGAATTTTGATATGGGGGCGGCGGGCAATAGAGATAGTGTAGGGAGTATTGGTGAGGTACCGGAACCACCAGCTGCAGAACAAAAGGTTGGGGTGAGTTTGGAGGATAAGCCAATGGACGATTAGAGTTGACACGAAATTGAAGGATTGATCGATATGAGAGATCAGGATGGATGGACGAGCACAATCATGAATGTTAAATGAAAAGAAATCCTGTACGATAATACGGTATGATATTTGCTTTGCGACTGGCTTATTCTTTGTCAACAGAGCGAGAAGTGGGATGGTGATTTGATACCCTTCCCTTAAGTTTTTTTTCTCTTCAATGTCCTAGGGGCAAGATGAATATGACAATGTTTATGGAAATGTCTGGTTTTGATTTTATATGGTTTCATGATTGTGATTGTGATGTCTCTTGAGTCCCTGACTATATGTTATTCGGTCAGTTCTATCCTACTTGTTAACTTTACTTCAGACTTAATTCATTTCCTTTTTCCTTTCCTCGAGGCGACTAGCGTCGAAATAAACGCACAATCTTTAATTTTAATTATTATATTTGTCGTTCCTGGTTCTTCATTTGGCACCTTTCATCCACCAACAGCGATCCATCAATTCTCTATATACAATCAGCACCCATCAACTACCCCTCTCAATACAACATCGTAATATACTATCAATCGTCAAGAATATTGCAACAACAATGGTCAAGCTTGATTTCTACGATTTTCGCAAAGCGGTAAGCAAAATCGCAACAGATGATCTCTTCACCAATTGGGAAGAATATCTTGCAATGGCAGAGCGTGACTACAAACTCTATGGCAAGGCGAAGATTGAACTCAAGATCGAAATTTCGACACAACTGTGCAAGGAGCAATGTGAGTCTTTACTTGTCCACTTTAGATTGTAGTTTTCCAATGCCAATATATAAATCTAGGGCCTCGTGAAGAATCAGCTCAATCCAAACCCCCAAAGCAACTCCTTGATGATAGCAATACGCATATCAAGGTGTTGGCTCAGTCAACAAATGAACCTCGTAATATGCATATTGAAAGAGTTTCTCCTCCTGTCCCTGCAAATCGTAATGCGCATGACGAAGCAACTGCTCCGATATCACGACAATCAGGAAATTCAGATGTCGAACTGATACGACCTCGAAATACCTCTTACACGGCAACTCCTTCATCAAGATTGGCAACAAATGTAAGCGTTTCGCCATTTGTTTCTAATGGCGAATCTTCAGCAAACACTTACTCGGTAACACTACCCGTGAGCGAGGTCAACATCCCTCTCCACGGTCGTGTGCTCAAGCAGAAAAACTGTTTCCAACATTGTGCAAATGTGGCAATCCCTTATAGTGACCTAGATGGCCCAAGATGGAGCAATTACCGTTTGGATTTGACCTCGGTGGTGAATCTTCAATACTGCCAGCTGCAACTCAAACGTGTAACTTGTGCACAATCAAGCGAGTCGGACAAGTTACGGACCAAGTATTGCATCATCTGGCCAACCTACAAGCCCAAATTTCAAACTCCAGCAATGCTCGAGGAGGTCCAATACGTGGCACGCTTCTTGCATTTATTGCAAGGTCAAGAGCATTTTCCGAGGGCAGAGAACATTTGTGATCGATATAAGCAATTTGAAAAGGCCCATCCTCGCCACGGTGCCATTTTCACGAAAGTGGGCAGGAGAAGTTTATCAAAAGGTGGATATGTGGGAAATAAAAGCCGCAAGCGTCCACGCGGAGATGAAGGTAATGAGCAAGATAGATCAGGTACATATAGCAATTGAGGGAACTTGTGAGCAGATCCTTATGAACCTGTCTTGTATGACAGGCAAATGGATCGATAGCATATAATAAAGCTCATCAAATGGAAAGGTTCATTGACATTAGTTTTACAATGCAATGAAGACCTTGAAACGCATACCATGATCGACCATGAAGTCATGACAATGAAAACCTATATGAATAGCTATCTTAGGTATGCGATAATGTCAGTGTTTGCGTTAGTATATGGTAGTAAAACGGAGGTGCGTGATAGGTCTAAAGTAGCATATGGTATGTATTGAGGACAAATGATTGATGTTTGTAGATATCACTCAAAACGAAAACGTGCGAGGTTGTGTACTGCGGAAACTTGGGAGATGTGTGGGCTCGAAAGGTTTGTAATGAAGACTTGTGTTAGGGGTAAAATGGTCAGTAAGGCATTGACGAATTCAATGGCATGGCGCGAGATAATGTGAATACTAATTGAAGGAGATTGCGATGTCTTGCCAAACACCGAAATCATCTCAGAGAGTCAGAGTTCTCATCAACCAATTTCACGAGTCACTACAAAGAGCTAACAGTACCTACTTTACCAGTTGTGAGAGGTCTGAAATCTCGTCAATCAAATTCACCATCATAATTGAATACCGAGGAAATTAAAGGTTTTTCAACGCCTCAATGAGACCTTGATTTCTCGTAAAATAAAAAAATGAAACAGAAAGAAATAATAGGACAGGACACTTTTCAAATTCTCCCAAACTAATCTAAGAGTCGACAACTCACTCTTACCGACATCGCCTCGAACGATTTTCTCCTCCAAAATGGGCTTCACACTCCAGGCATTTGAAGACTGGGCCATAGGCAAAGATGATTTCAAGGGTGGTTATATTGAACCCCGCGACCTCGAACTCGCCAGAGAAGCGTATTTTGCAAAGTATCCGAGAGATTACGCTGTGGTTACTCGTCGAATGGTGATGCATTTCTGTATGTTATGGTCGTCCTTCATCGTTCGTGTAGAAGCTAATCTTCACCTGTAATAGTTGATATGGAGCCGCTCGAGTTTGAGAAGAGGTTTGTGCCAAGAGCATATGCAGCTACGATGGAGGCGAGAGTTAAGGCTTTGGAGGCGGCTTCCAAGCAAGCGTCTCCATTAAAGCAAGCCCCTCCGTCAAAACAAGCCCCTCCGTCAAAACAAACTCCTCCAATAAGACAGCCCCCTCCATCCAAGAAGGTTAATCAATCAAAGCCACCTCCATATGCACATGAACTTGAAGCTCCCTTAAATTCCCGGCCATCTCCCAAGACCGTGAGTACCTCGAATCCCGTCCATCTCAAGTTTTGATTGGAAACAACATATCTTCAGCTGGTTCTCTCAACCTTCAGCTCATTTACACTGCTAATTCAGTCTTTTGTCTTAGATCAATCGTACAAGACTCGATCCTGAACTCCGCGAATACCACGAAGCTAAAACGAAGGAAGCGCTCGCTTATGCTCTATTCAAGAGAGGTAGGCTCCCGGCAGAAGAGTATGCCCAATTTCGTGCGGAGAACTGTGAGAGCGCAGCGAAATAGAAAGTCATAGTGAAGGCGGGGTGAAATGTGGAATTACTCACCATTGAGATGGAGAGTAGAAAGGTTCTTTGGCTACTAGATATGTCGGTACTTCATTTAAAAAGCAATGCATTCTTTCAATCTAGTCAATACAGATGTACCTCTCCAAAAGTAATATTCCATTTCTTAAGAATCTTTGCCAAACACAGGATCTCAATTACCATTTTGCAAATAATGTTGAAGAGTGTATCCTGGCCTGTTGAAAGGTTTAATTTCACTTCATAAACAACATTACCACCAAGGTCAGACAGGAATCCGAGGCACTCAATTGCCGCACAGGTTAAACTTGAACCAGAGTCATGCAATAAATTTATCAAAACAGACCAATGAAATTCCAGTCTGAGTTTATAAATGTAAAGTAGCTCATCTTAGAATTGTCAGAACGTCTTCTGGTTATGGACTCGGTTTCAGACACTAAGACGATGGATTTGAAAGGCTGATGAAGAAAGAAGTAGAATAAATTATTAAATCCAAGAGATATCATTGTTCAATCATTACTCGTCCAAGAATTAAGTCATTTTTACCAATCTTCTGTATGTTCATCTCATCTCATCATGATCCACTATCTATTGACCTTCCAAATATCAACATAAACCATTGAACCATCGTTTAAAGCGACTCTGATTTCATCAACTCTTCATGCTTAGTATCACCCATTCCACCCTCATCAGACTTATGGCCATTCTCCTTTCTGAAGATATCACTCTCGGAAACAGGAGAGAAGACCTTGCCCCATCTTCCATGAATAAAATCATTGGCGGTAACCATAGAACTTCTCAAGTTCTCCTTGACAAGCTGACCTGTGGGTTGACTGAAGATAACATCGATTTCCTCAAGAGTCTTGTTCTTCGTTTCGGGCATGAACAATACTTGATAGAACCAACCCACCACTGCAATACCACCATAGAAACCAAGTGTGAGACCGATGTTAGACATAGCGCTTTGCATCTCGGCGAAGAAATATGTAACGAGGAAAGAGCAAAGGAAGAGCATGGTATCAGATGTTTCCATTCCATAAGATCGGAGGTATGTTGGATAAACCTCAGATGGAATGACCCAGGTAAGACATGCGTATGATCCAAAGAAACCTTCATAGAGGATAAGACCTGCGATGTAAGTACCTTGAGAACCAGCCTTATTGGACACAGGAATCAAGTATGAGCATCCGATAATGAGTAGACCGATGAAGAAACCAGGAAGCATAGCAATAGCCCAGAAACGTCTACCAAACTTCTCCATATAAAGAATGGCTGGAATAGTACCAATGAGAAGAGATCCACCACCAACAAGGGACATGAATACAGCTTCCTTATCATTGAATCCAACTTGTTGCATAAGTGTAGCCATATAATATTGGATAGCGTTGATACCAGTAAATTGTCCCAAGAAGATCATGACATTGGCGTAAACGATGGCGCGACGAGCTCGCGGAACGGTAAAAAAATCGAGCCATGCAAATCTCTTGCGGGCACCCTCCATATTACGCTCGGAATCAACGGAGTGTTTCATGACGAAGAACTCTTTACGAGCATCTTCATCCGTACCACGAATGCGCCTCCAGACACTCCAAGCATCGGCTGTGCTACCTTTATGCATGAGGAACCGAGGTGATTCCGGCATGAAAAGAATACCAACGAGCATAATGGTAGAAAAGATGAGGGACGACCCTAACATATATCTCCAGCCACCAGATTCTACACCGACAAAGATAGCCGCGACGACATAGCCAAGAACTTCCCCAAGTGCAATCATAAACTGGTATAGGGAGACGAGATTTCCACGGTACTTGGGTGAAACAGACTCGGCGACGTAGACGGGAACTGTTCCACCTTCGAGACCAACACCGAGACCGAGGATAACACGTCCAGCCATCATCATGGGAAAGTTGATGGCACCAGCTTCTAGAGCAGCTCCAATCGTGTATAGAAACAAGGACCAGACGATAGCTTGCTTTCGTCCAACAGCTTCATTGAGAGGACCAAGCATTAATGCACCACCGACAGCACCCAATGGAACACCAGAGCTGACCAAACTAATTTGTTTTATATCGAGGCCGAGTGATTTAGGCATGTATAGATTGGCGCCGGAAATCAAAGATTGATCGATACCGGAAAGAAGACCTCCCATAGAGGCAAATGCTACCAATAACCTGGATGGTATGTGTTAGATCGTTTTATTTTCTCGACAAATCGTGTACAATTAAGGACATACCAAGTGTAATGTCTAGGATCCTTAAAGCTCAACTGAAATATGTCGGCACGAGATGTACCTCTAGCTGTAACCTCTGCTTCCAAATCTTCCACTTCGTTATCAATGGTTTCCATATCACCTGCGGCAGCAATCTGAATAGCTTCCCATTCTGAAACTCGAACACCGATATGATTTGGGCGAGTAGGAGTGGCGCCCTTTTCATTACCGACGTCTGAAGCTTCTTCTTCGCTCAGCTTAGTTGGTATAGTGTGATTAGATGAACTAATGTCCTCCTTCGTATGGAGATCTGACATAGCTGAGGATTATATTATGATATGTGAATACAAATAGTTTGCAAACGAGAAAAATGTGTCAGAGGGAGCTGTCCTCTCAGGACTAGAACTGGAGACACTGTCCAGGTCTTGGAAATAAGATTGAGAATGGAAGATGGGGAAAAGCACAGTAATTTAGGGGGATTTGTGAAGGTATATGACTTGAAGACTAGCCCGGGCACCAAAACAACTTTCTTAGGCTAGAGTTCGTAGCCGAAGGAAGTTCTCTTAAGGGTTAGACTTCCTTGGATGATAGATGGACTCTCTTCCCTATTATGGTAAGGTGGCAGAAGGATATCATGTTGTTGTCGTTGTTGTTGAGTTCTTCCCGAGATCTTTTGGTAAGTGAAAGTTTGGAACAAATTACAAAAACAGACGCCAATCCGCTGAACCACTTAGAGCATAGGACTTGACTCCAAAGTTCCATAATAAATCGCTCCTGGGGTCTCCAGCTCACACTAAAGCTTGCAGCAAAACTCCTCGTTTCTCCCCAAGGAATATGCAACTCCACCTAACATGGCGTCTGTTGGGGTCTGGAGAGCGGAGAGTGGGGGTTTCCAATCTGATGGGTTGGTAAAATGTCGGAGAAACTTCGTTGCACAACTTGTGCTTAAACTGAAGTTTATACGCGATTGATTTAAAAGGACAAAGCAATTTCATGTCAGGGATATGACCATGCAACAATTCAACCATGCAATCATGCGCAAAGGGATCCTTGGCCGGCGTCTGGCGGTTCAACCGGTAGGGTAAGTTCACTCGCTGTCATTGTTGTATAAAAAGACGAGATAAGTTGAAAAAGGCCTCGAAATAAACCGGATAAAGTATCTTCCCTTGCGAGCTTCGACTAATATCTAATATGATTTGTTGATCGGCTCAAATTCTCGTACTAAATAATTCGATGCTACTACGTACCCACAAAGAGGCCGAATTTAGGATTTATGACTCCATAAAAACACGAACCACTTATCTTGTTGCTTCTGTCAGCCTTTGTCAGGTCGCCAGCGGCCAACCACATTCAAGTCATGAATATCACTGGTCCACACCTCCAACACCATGGATAATTAACCCCTAGCCCCTGATATCCAGTTTTGAGGGAAAAGTTAATCTTCCACGCGACAACCAACTTATTGGAAAAGAAGTGGAACAATGCAAGTTATCCCCCAATACTCCAGTCTCCAGTTTCCAGTCCCCAACTTCTAGAATCCAGATCAACTGATTGCGGATCCATCAGTCAATTATTTCGCGGGGATGCTCTCGGTCCGATTAGAAACCACTGTACTGTATAATGATTCCCAGGGCTATTATATGATAACAAACTGTAACCCAACCTCAGTCAGAGTCACCTCCGACGGGAGCTGGTTTCGATTGCTTAACCACCTTCTTGTCGTCCGTGTAATGCTCAATAACCAAGGTAAATCCAGTCCATACAATTCCTGTTACTATGAATTGGAATGCCCACGAAGAGATCAAAAGTTTCAAGCTAGGCATCTGGAAACCTATCTCATAGAAGTCTGCCAAACTGATACCAACTTTATTTCCGTATGTTCTACCAACGATTCGTAGCATCATGGCCTCGAGTGGCGTTGTAAGGATCGAAGCAGCTAAATCTCTAAATCCTTGAGCGGCAAGTATGGTTGGAAGCATGGTAAGACCAGTTTTGCGATATTTGATATCCTTCGATTCGCCAGGATCGTTTGCACTTCTCAATTCTGCTGACCATGTTCCCAAACCAGAAGATGGTTCAACAGGTGTAGATGCGTGATCAACATCAAAGCTGATTAGTGTCGGTCGCGCATCTTCATCCTCATCAACACTTATGGAGGCATTTGTATGTCTTCGAGATCGAGGTTCTGTTCTTTCCAATGCAGGTAATCCTTCAAGAGCTCGCAATGTATCTTCCTCTCCACCACGAATTGGGCCATGCTCTTCTGGATCATCCGGGGTGTCAAATTCCAATATGGGAGCTCCAAATCCAAGTCCAGTAAACATACTCTCTCCCTTTGGTCGTGGTAAGGATTTATAGACAGGACGATATAAGAGGCGCGACACAATATGTTTTATCTTCCCATGAAATAGAATTGCCACAATTGGAGTTGTGGAACGAACCAAGGCAAATGCCCACGAAAGAATCGATTTGATATTCGCCGAAGGTGGAGGCGGTGCTTGAAGTAGTGATGATTTCGAGAATGGGATCAGTGACATCAATGGGGGTAAAAGCTGATTGGAATTGATCAACTCAAATTGGTATAACATAGCAAACATACGTAAGTGTAACGTAATGTAGTGAAAGCCTATGTCGAGGCTACGTTATCATTAGCTGCGTCGAACATCTCCTTGAGTATATTAACACTTACAACTTATCGGCTATGTACTTGATCCATACGTCTTGCGGGGTAAGTTCATTCTCGGTTTCATCATACATTTGATCTAGGATATCTGCCAAGCGACATGCTAGCCAGTTTGATATATGATATGCTATGACAGTGGGAAGTCCAGAAAAGAATGAGTTCGCGACCGATCTTCTTGCTCTTTCACGCTGGATCAACCCTAGGATTCCAATATCAGAATATGATCTGTAGAGCTTCAACGTGTAAGTATAGCACTGAATCAAGTTGCTCAATCAACTTACCAAAATCCTCTGTCTGAACCCAATAACACCCCAGACACCAGCCTGGAGTGTCTCACTTCCTGCTTCCAATATCTGTAAACCTTTGATCGTCTCTTCCATATTCTGATTGTTGTGTAATCTTGCAGCTGCCCTCACAACAGTTAGATTTTCAACGATACCCGTGACTTGCATTACCTCATTGGCTGCACGTATATTCTCTCGTTCTCTCCGTTTGGTTTCGGAATTTCTTGGATGACCATGTTCATCGTATCGTTGTAGGTAACCAGTATCACTTAAAAGACGTGGTAGAGGTGGCCGGATTACTTGGTCTTCATATGGAGTTCGACCCTAGGATTTGTGAGTGAGTAACCGGAATTAAGCTTGTGTAGGTATATTATCTGGCAGTAAGTCGTCTGACAATTTTGAAGCTTTCAGACCGTAGAGGACACCAATCGAATGTGAGGAGACCAGACGAATTGTGAAATAAGGCAACAAACTGACACGATATAAAGGTTTTCGCCGGTTGGTAATAAGAAAAGTGTGTTAACCTACCAATGCCCAAGCTGTCAAAGATTCCAACCTTCCCATGATTGCTGATTGTAGATGTTCTGATTATTGCGCGCATGATCTGCCTTTTTATGAGAATTTAACGTCGTACTTATCGATATCATACAACGAAGATAGGGAGCTGATGATTTTGATGAAGAGAACTACCTAGGTCGGTACATGTACACTCGAGCTCTACTTCTTCCTTCCCTTCAAACAAAGGAACTTGATCCAGAAACGAAGGAAACACACGTCGACACGTGATATTGAACGCTAAGATTGAAACCTATCGTTCACCCCTGTCAACATCAAAATATTTTTGAGCGAAGAGAAAATATTAAGAACATCAAAATCAATATCAACAGCTTCAATTGTGAGATATTTGACCATTGTATCCAGCAAACGAGTTCGCGAGACTTTTAATTCGGTCATAATGGCTACCAAAGCCCCTTACAAAACGACATTCGAACCCGAGCATACTATACAACCAATATATACTGGAGGAAGTGTTGCGCTTGACCAAGCTGGTCGCATACTTGCTACAACACTGGGTGAGGATGCATTATTGACGGATTTGAATACCGGCAAAGAATTGGCTAGGATAGAAGGAGTGAGTTCCTATTTTTCACGGTTCAGCTTTTGGCAATTGCTAACTTCAGCGTGAAGGATGGCGAAATTATCTCGACGTTGAGTCGTAAGTCATGTCGCATAAGTCCCCTCTTCTTAGAGATTACTGACAAAATCACAGTGACTCCATCTGCTTCTCATCTTATCATATGTTCGAGATCACTCTCTATGCGAGTTTACTCTCTGCGACCATCACTCGCCTCTGACCTCACTCTCAATTACGAACTTCTTCGAACACTTAAGCCGCATGCTACACCAGTGGTCGTTTTAGCTGTGGACCAGACGAGCACATTGTTAGCAACTGGAGCAGCAGATGGGATGGTAAAGGTTTGGGATATTGTTGGAGGTTACGTCACACATACATTTCGAGGTCCCAATGTACTCATATCCGCCTTACACTTCTTCGAATTGGTCGCGAGCGGTAGGGACGAGGAATTGGGAATATCAGCACGAAATCGAAAGAACGAACGTCGAAAGAGTCATACAGATGACGACAACAATGAGAACGAAGCAGCGAGAGGGTTCCGTCTCGCATCTGGTAGTCAAGATGGAAAAGTCCGTATCTGGGATCTCTATAAGCGAAATTGTGCTTCAGTTCTAGATTCACACGTATCAGATGTACGAGCTTTAGACTATTCGCCAGAAGAAAATGCACTTCTTACCGGAAGTCGAGATAAGACAATAATGTGGTGGGATGCGAAGACGTGGAAGATTAGGAAAGTTATACCCGTGCTTGAGGAAGTTGAAGCTGCTGGATTTATCGACGCCGGAAAGTTTACATACACTGGAGGATCGAATGGCACCATCAGGGTTTGGCAAACGGAGAATGGCAGAGAGATCACAAAACCGCAAGCGAATGGTGTAGAGGCGGATGCTATAGTGGATGCGATCTCATTTCATGGTCTTCCTTTCATTCTATCAATCCAAGCAGATCATACATTGATCCTTCACTCAACAGCCCCCATGGAAAATGCAGATTACAACATCATCATCTCGGCTCTACCTCAAATTCGACGAATTTCAGGAACTCATGACGAGATTATTGATTTAGGATTTCTTTTACCGGATCGATCCCTCCTTGCTTTGGCTACCAATTCTGAGGAAATTCGAATCGTCTCTCTAAATCAAAATTTCTCAAATGACTCTACAGAATCTACCGAATATTTTGGTGCTGATGTTGCTCAGCTCAAGGGACATGAAGATATCATCATCTGCTTAGATATTGACTGGTCAGGTCACTGGATTGCCACTGGGGCTAAAGATAATACTGCTCGACTTTGGCGTATTGATGCTGAAAACTCCTCGTTCACCTGCCATACAACTTTCACCGGACATGCCGAATCCCTTGGTGCTATCGCACTTCCTCACACACCACCACCAGAATCTTCACCAGCCTACAAGTCCCCCTTGGAGCACCCCCCAAAGTTCTTGTTGACCGGTTCTCAAGATCAAACTATCAAGCGGTGGGATATTCAAGCTCAGACAGTGACGGGGAAAGCACCAAGAGCTTTATACACCCGCAAAGCACACGACAAAGACATCAACGCACTAGACATTAACCACACCTCTCAATTATTTGCATCGGCATCTCAAGATAAAACCGTCAAGATCTGGTCTGCCGAAGAAGGAGAAGTTCAAGGTGTATTACGTGGTCACCGCCGTGGTGTCTGGTCTGTAAAATTCGCACCGAAAGATACCCCAACTCTCGTAGGAGATTCCGGTCCCGCTTCAGGGAAAGGCTTAATACTTACAGGAAGTGGAGATAAAACGGTCAAAATATGGAGTCTCTCCGACTACAGCTGCTTGCGAACATTCGAAGGGCATACGAACTCTGTCCTCAAGGTGGCCTGGTTGAAACTACCTGCCCCCGAAGATAGAAACAGAAAGCACGTGCAAATAGCCACAGCAGGTGGAGATGGACTTGTCAAGGTCTGGAGTGCCACAAACGGGGAAGTGGAGTGCACATTAGATAACCACGAAGATCGAGTTTGGGCTCTCACCGTCCACCCCAAAACCAATATGATAGTATCAGGAAGCGGAGACTCAACGGTCACATTCTGGAAAGATACTACATCGGCAACAATAGCTGCAAGGGAAGCAGCTAATACCCAATTTATAGAGCAGGAACAAGAATTGCAGAATTTCATACATTCTGGAAGTTACAGAGAAGCTATTGTTCTTGCGCTTGCGCTCAATCACCCTGCAAGATTACTCTCACTATTCATGACTGTTGTCAATGGCGCACACGAAGAAGGAAGTATCTCTGGTCTCAAAGCCGTTGATACTGTCCTTGCATCATTATCCGACGCTCAAATTTTCAGCCTTCTTCTCAGATTACGAGACTGGAATACCAACGCTAGGACTGCTTCAGTAGCACAAAGGATCTTATCCACTCTCGTGAAGAGTTATCCTTCTTCGAGACTGTCAAATCTAAAAATAAAGGGAGCACAAGGACAGAGAAGTCTGAAGGAAGTCTTAGATGCTTTGAAGGTGTATACAGAAAGGCATTACAAAAGGATGGAAGAGCTGGTTGATGAGAGTTATCTTGTGGAGTATACTTTAAGAGAGATGGATGGTCTTGGTTTTATTGAGAATGGTGGAGCTGGAGCGCTGAATGTTGATGGGGATACTATTATGGTGTAATTTGGTCGATTTTACGGTATCTCGTTAACCATATCGAAGAGTTTCATTGCGTATCACATCTCGTGCTATTTCTTCATTCTTTGATGTTATCAAAGTTACTGCAATCAAAACAAGATATAATGTTCAAATTGAGATTCTGCTGGCCAAACATTGAGTGTTTTGTAAATATTTAAATGTAACAGGATCAAATTTGGCCAGCTAGTAAAGCGATTGCTTACAGCAGATAGCTTGTTAATACCCCTATAACATATCATAACTTCACCTCAGTTTCAATTTCCAATATCAGTCAATCCTTGGGTCAATCCATCCCTTATCATCCCTAAAGCCCAAGTCTGAGTTTCAAAGTTTTCAGATATCTGCTCGAAATACTTAGTAGTTGCCATCGAAGAGTTACGCACAAATTGGACTCGAAAACATAGTAGACGTAGCTGGCGCCATTTTATCGCAGTAGTCGATAATTTGCCAGCAACAATGATTTAGTAGAAGGTAAGCCACGAGACTTACATGCAGCAGTCAGCGACTACGGATGAGCCTGACATAGAAAGTTATTACTACTCAGTAGTACTTTTATAATATCAATACGAAACTAAAAGTCAAGCATATCAATCGTAAATCACCAACTAAAAGACAGACAATTTTTCCAATGCAGAGAGTTTCAAGTTATCTTCGTTATTATTGGAGTATCTAAACTACACCATGCCATGTGCAATCATGCGGATTGTAATGAATAAGACTATGGAAACGTCAAATCCTCCAAAGAGTTACCTTCGGTACAATAGCAATTGTTTTCAATCTAAGAAGTGTGTATATTCAAGTTGGACAATGAACCAGATTATAACTCGTTCTTGCTAAGCTGCACCCACTTTTCGGTGGATTTTGAAAGCGAAAGGGGCTTCAATGACCAAGGCCACCGATACCGCGCTATCAGGATTCAACATATCACCGAAAGTAACGAATTATCGCATTACCATCATCGGTAATGCCATCGTTACTTCGACCATGGTACGGGTTTTGTTTTGCCTATGAGCTGGCGCAAGGATAGAGGGAAGAAAGAAGATGATGGTGGTTGAAATGATGAAGTTCAATAGATGAGAAGAAGAGAGGAAGCAATGAAGAGAATGTGGATCTTGGAAGATTTAAGAATATGATTTAAAAGGGATAGGTGATGAGTGATAACGAAAGAGATGCGCAAACTTGAGCAGCGAGGAGAAATGTGATGTAAAGGTTTGGAGGAATTTACTTTGTGGGAAGATTGCGAAGACTTTATAAGTGAAGAAATCTGGAATAGAATAGCCGAGTGCTGGTCTAGGGCATTTTCTTAAGTCAGGCAGGGCAGGGCAGGACAGTGAATGTTTTGCTTATTTGACTTGATAATGAAAGCCACCAACTATTGGTGCAGTAGTGCCTGGTCCTGAATGAGACGATAACATGAAAACCATATGATAAAGATATTCGCCGCCTCTCAAGTTTCAACCCAGGAAATATTTCCTCTGTTTTTGGTAGTTCAAGGATTAAAAAAAAAACATGATTTCATCTTCCAAGACCAGAATCCCGCTTTCCAACCCCTCATCCAAATTATCTTCGACTAAATTATTTGAAGTTGATGTACTGCTAATCGCTGCTTGTTGATCTGATACTACGTTTCTGCCCGGGCTGAGGGTCAGGGCCGTGATTTTGGGCAAGTTCAGAGAAGCAAGCATGCGAGAGCGCAGAATCCGCAGAAGCTCGTATTGCTGGGTCCCAGGCAAGCATTCGACTGAGCAAATTACCAATGGTGGAGGTAGGTTCCTTTTGCAATAATGCAAATTTAAGATCGAAGCTTAATTTGTCTTTTACGGCGTGTCTCCAGCCAAGCTTGCCGTCGTCCGTAATGAACATCTGATAGCCAATAATACCAAGAGCCCATATATCAACACCGTTCCCATATGGTGTCCGCTCCATTTCCGGGGCGAGATATGGAATTGTTCCTACACGGCCGGGATTAGGCTCACAGAGTTTTGCCTCAACTGTCTGGCCATAATCTAAGATAACTGTGCTGATTTCTTCGGTAACGGTTTCGACGACTCCAAGATTTGCGGGCTTCAGGTCTCGATGAATGAAGCCTGCATGGTGAAGAGCACGCACACCTTGGAGGATCTGCCAGAAGGCAACGAGGCGTGTTGAATCTGACATTTTATCAAGAAGCTCTTGGAATGTGGCGCGAGCGAAGGGCTTGAATATGATAGCCACTTTGTCTGGGCGTGCTTCGAAGTTGTATCGTTCGTCTGCTTCATCGACAGCTCCTGTGAACCATCGGCCTCTCTCATAGAGCTCATCGCAAAACTGGAGGAGTTGTGGCTGCGTCGGAAACATGTCAGTAGATGCTCGACCTTTAAAGGGCTATATTTTTATACATACGTGAGCTGGTAGGCGCTTTAGGAGATTTGTTTCCTTTGCAATAGTGTCTAATGTCTTTACGGTTCGGATAAGGACTTTTGCTGCCCCTGCAACACCGGTATATCTTTGTTTTGCAGCACTCACTGTTGCAAACGTTCATGATGAGAACGACTGGCTTACGATGTCCAGTGGATCTCTTAGGAGTACACGATGACACGCATAGTAAGGAAGGGTATGAGGATGTATGTGACAGCTAATGTGTCACGGGCTGGTAAATTGAATATGTGTGGAGAAATAATGTGATCCCATTCGGATTCTGCAAAAGCACGAGGATTCACTCAGCCTCTCCTAGACTCGCGCGCTAAATCTAGTGTGTAGAACGAGTATATTCCTTGACCTAGACACTCACAATTAGTACCATATATCATGATTACAAAAAGATCTGCTCCTTGAAAGTACGGCCGCTTCTGCTTGCTCTGATGAGCTAGTCTCAGATGTGAGTGGATCCGGATGGAGGGGTGATACAGCGATTGCTCATTGATAAAAATAGTAATCATTGCCGCTGCCATATTCCAGGCCAAACTCTAGCGTAATTCATCACCGACCACCCCTCGTCCGGTGCTCTATCTCCGACTCTTCCTTCCACCTTTATCCGTCAACCTCAGCGGTAGTATAAGGGCTCATAGAGTCCGAAGTTTGAAAAACTCTTGGCCCGTTCCAACGCTCCCCTGAAACTCACCCCAACGCAGTCCGCATTAGCCTGCAGCCCCACTACTAATGTCAGTCCTAGTGTGCTAAGCGTGTCAGGGTAGCCGTCCTAGGCTTGGATGTGTTCTGGTACATTTGTCCTGGGACCACATCCTAGATCAGACGTCCCAGATCGTATAACCGTCTGAGGTATACACAACTCTAGAAAGAATGTCCTATGTATTATGTTCTACAAGGACAGTATATACAACTCTAAGTAGAGTGTTCTATGTGACCAAAAGGGTATAAACAGGACTCCGATTGTATACTTAGAATTTATAAATGAAAAATTATATAGAATACTAAAAAAAGAATTATATATATAGATATTAAAAACTATAAAGATTAGGTTTAAAAAAGTAAAAGAATCCTAAATATATAATATCTAGATTTAAAGCTATAAAACTAAGATTCTAAATTATAAAAAAAAATTATAAAAAACTATTATATTACATTATATATATAATATATAAATTTATAAAATTTATAATGTTCTACAAGGAAAATAGTTTATAATATTAGAACTATTTAATATTAAAAAATCTATTCTTTATTACTCGAGTATAACGAAAAGGGTATAAACAGAACTCCGATTGTATACTTAGAATCTACAAGTGAAGAGCTATATAGAGTACTAAAAGGAGGATTATATATATAGATATTTGGAAGCTATAAGAGCTAGGCCCAGAAGAGTAAAAGAGTCCTAGAGATAAGTATTATACAATACCTAGGTCTAGAGCTATAAAGCTAGGGTTCTAAGCTATAAAAGGAAGATCTAAGAAAATTATTATATTTGTCACGGGTTCATCACCCTTACCACCCTTACCACCCATTCCTAGCTAACTCGGATGGATACCTTAAGCATTCATCCATTATATAATCAACGTCGCTCCGCGTGCGTTCTTTTCTCCTGATCGAATATCATATATTATATCTAGTACCTACCAGAACCCGTACCAGCCCCATAATAATATATTCGACCCTTCAAAAAGGTTCCACTGCCAATCAACCCAACCTTGATTCTTTTATTTTACAAAAAACTTGCAGGGTTATTGTTTATTATACGATATAATTAATCATTTAACAAAAAGTAAACTTGAACAACTTCATTTTACAAAAATATTAATATTACAAATATCTTAATATTACGAATACCTTGATACTACAAAGCTTAAGAACTTTGAATTCTATTTTCATTTCACAATAAGTAATACTAAAGATCCATAGATTACTCTAATAAATACTATTAGTGTAAGCATATTCATCACTGCAGATATCAAAACACTTGATGATTTTAAAGCTTATATCTATATTACTTTTTATAAAAATCCTTTTATTATTAGTATACTTTCGAATCGATCTAACACACTGAACCCATATCCATTAATTCAGCTATTTACTAATAAAGCTAATGAATCATCTATCAGAATCTATATCAGATACTTATTTTCAATATTTGAGAATATTATTATACAATAATACAAGACTGAAACAAATCTTGAAATGAAGCAAGCAAATATTCAAAAAGAATATATTGCTTATACAATCATTGAAAAAAACCTTGCTACAATCTAAGTTCAGCTTATAAGAGTATAAATACAATTTTAACAAAATAATATACTAACTACTGAAATACAGAATCTGAATAATAGAATTCCCTAAACTCATCAAACCATATATAATCCTGAGCTTTTTAAAAAAAAAAGAAAAATATATATTAATATAATAAAAAGAATATATTTCCTAGAAAATAGATTTATAACTTTGGTAAGAATAAGATATTGCTTATTTCAATATTGAAAAAAAAATGCTTTTTTCATCTTATTATATTGCTCAAAGACTTTATAAGATAAGAAAGAC